TTCTGCTTCGTCGGGGAGTATCCTCGTGGTAATCCCATTGAGCTCACGGCATGTCTTTCTTATCTAAATACTCGTTCTACATGGTCCCAAGAAGGCACCAAGGCCCTCTACAACGGCCTGGTGGAGTTTGCTGGATATATTATTGACAACCTGTTTATGCGTTGTAGGCTGCGTTGCCTTATCTAATATGCGTGATGCTGATTTTATTTAGTCTTGGGACCTTTGAACGCCTCGATTCTTTGAGAGAAGACTGTCTCATACGAGACAGACATCGATGTGTCATTACTAGACAATTGTCTCGGGATAAACGCAATAAGACAACTAAAGATAGACGGTACTGCATACACGGATGACAATGGCCAACCCTACCAGAGCGACAAACGACACAAAACTTAGAAGTGGCACATATCTTCCCACACTCCTTAAGGGCCTTGAGTAAAGGGAAATATGAGCTTGTGTGTACAGTTATACCAAACTGCCCACAAACTTCTGAGCATATTCGACCCGGCCATTGTTCCCCGTATTAGTGGGACGGACATTGATCGTCCGATGAACGCCATCACATTGACCTTTGATGCTTACCAGATGTTTGGTAATCTTGAGATCGCATTCGAGCATATGTATGGGCATACATATAAAATTGACTACGTGGACCCAAACCAATTCTTCCCCACCATCCAGCTTCCTGTCACCCGCACCTAAAATCCTTTAGCGTTGTTCTCGTCGGGACTTGGTTGTTGTTTTAGTTCTTATTTATTTGACCACGTAGTTCTTGGAAATTTTGGCTGAAAAAATCATGCAGAACAGGCTCTTGTTCCATAATATTCAGAAAGGAAAATGGATATGACAATGAAGTAGTATGGCTGACCGCCCGAAACATGTCAGGATATATATCTCCGGTCGAGTCGGCGGCAGCATATCCCCCACAACTATCCAGGCCGGTGGAGAACTGATCGGCACAGTAGCCTTGTCTTAAAATATCCCCTGAATGATAGTTTATTCTATTTTATGCAGGTTTACCAAATCTGAGTAGGCGAGCACCTCTGAAACACCTCATGTGTTCGACACGCGAAGAAACGGTCGGCGAAAAAGACGCATTGGGATCTGGAAAGCCCGGATAACATTCGTGGAACAAATGAGATCAGATACATTTATCTATCTGTATATATACACTCTTCCGATTGACAAGCTATATATATACATGTCTATGCGTATTCACAAATTATGCGCTATAATCCACAACAGCCACCAAGCGCACCGACTTCGTGTTGAGCGAACCACCAATGCCGTCCACCGAGGCCTCGGACTTGGTATACGCGTTGGTCACTGTCGATGCCCCAGAAGTGATCGTGGAGCAGGTTTCTCCGTTGTGGTTACAGATCTTCATGCCCTGGACGGTTTGTCCAGCCGACTGCGCCTGGATAGCCGAGACATCCCATCCAGACCAGCCGTCATTGATGGTGCTTCCGAAGTCGAACTCTCCCCAGGTGCACGAGTATCCGCCGTAATCATCCGTCGGGAGCGAAGAGCCCTTTGCCGCGCCCCAGCCTCCCTGCGAGTCCTCGTCGAAGGCGACATACTTCGTTTCGCCGGCACCCAAGGTGAAGTTCAGAGCTGAATGACCGTACCAGCCGTCCATCTTACCATCGGGGCCGATCTTGTTCCAGAAAACGACGGTCCAGTCGTCGGTGTTGCTGCCGGTGAACTGGACGACATATCTGTATTGGTATGCGGTACTGGCGCTCACTTCGATGATGTTGCTTCCCCAGGGGCTGCCGACGTTGCCGCTGTACTCGATGCCGCTACCAGAGGAGTTGGTGCGCGCTCCAAATCCACTAGTGGAGAACTCTCCGCTGGAGGGAGTGGACGTCCAGCTGGTGGATCCTCCTGAGGCTGTGGTGCTGGCCGCTGGGGTGCTGGTTGGTGCGATGCTTTCGGCACTGGGGATAAGAGAAGGTGTGGTGGTAGAGGCTCCAATGCTGGCACCAAGGTCAACGCTTATCACATCTTCGTGGGTATCGGCGGGGGTGATCTCGGCTTCTGCTGCCGCCGCGGTAGTCGTGCTGCTGGAGGTTGGGGCCGGGGCTTCAGCCACGGGCTGGCCGGTAATAGTAGTAGTGACGGTGACGACATCCAGGTCGACGACGGTCTTAACTTCCAAGTCTCTGGCTTTCAGATTCGCCTCCGGGCCTTGCAAATTCGGATGCGCGGGATGATGTCGGTGCCGACGCTGATGGCCATGGAGGCGAGCCAGGCCCGAGTCGGCAATGGCAACGAACAAAAGGAATGACTTCCACTGCATGGTGGATGGTATCAAGATAAGGAGTGTTAGTAGACCAGCTAAAAAGGAGCGAAAAACTATCCAAGCTAAACGTTCAGGAGTCAAGGAGCGGGCGCGCTGCGTGGTGTATATAATGCTGCCGGTCGACGGAACAACTCCCAGTTTTCCGTACTAAGTAAGTGGAGTCCGAAATATCAATCGTCAGCACCAAGACCCAATATCCATGATGAGATGAGGGCCAAGGCTTGTCGCTACGTTTCGAATCACACCGTCGGGGCGACTAACCGTAGTGTTGAATGGATAGCCCCAAGTCGGACAGCCAAACGAACAGCATTTGAAACACTCGCAAGTCCTTCTATGGATAAAAATGGGCGACTCTCTTTTGCAGACACGTCTTGTGGCTTCCACTGGCATTTAGCGCGCGTTGATTGTTGATGTTCTCCACAATCTCACATTCAGGCACGAACATGCCATTCGTCCCTACGCAACGGCACCCCTTGCGTCGTCACCTTCCTTGACCAGTCAATGGCTGTCGTTGTCCATGCTTTCGCCATGTGTCCCGCGAATCAAAAACCTTCGTCAGCGATGCCCCAGTGCGCTGTCGCATTGAGTCATGTCGGGATTGGTTGTGGCATTTTCTGGCGCGACATTGTGGCTCTGCTGCTGGCATAGTTCATTGTGGGGGTGACCAATTCGGCGGTCCAGACTATTCGACAGATTAGCTAAAGCTTGTCACGGCCCAGGCAGACATATTCCGATCTCACGGGAGTTCCTCGCGGGTGCGAATAAGGAATTGAGTTATGGTTCCTCTCCCTTGTTTACTCTGACAGGGAGATCTCAGATCGATCGGCAACACATGTGGTGCATATTGATTCAGTTCGCGATTCACACAGGAATTTCTCCAAGACGCGATTGAAGCAGACGAGAATTCACTTGTGTTAGTAAAGAACTCGACTAAAGTGAAGAACAGCCGAAAAATCGGGGCTAATGAACAGTGGGTCCGGCATACGTATACGCCTCGACTGGAAATCCTCAGCCACCAATCGATGAACTGCACACTAGGAGTCGTAAGAACTGTGATCAAATACGGAGATTGGATGACGAACACATCACTGAGAGTGCTATACTCTATTTCATTGTATTGTTTTAATTTTGGCAATTTGTACGGAGTCGTACGTATGGAAAGGGTGGTTCTCAGAGCTTTTCTATCGTGTTCAAAACATGACAACTGTCGCGTCACGCCTACAACGGGGTATTTCCATACATCAAAACCATGATACCATGAATCATGAGTCGAGGAGGAAACTTTAATTTTACCGTTCAACTTTACTTGTCCTGTACCTTGCCCACCCAAAAACATTTTTAGTTCTTTGAACTGAATTTTCTGCCCCTCGATTTCGGCATTCGCCGATAGGGCAGGGGTGGTCATATGTCACCACTAACCGCGAGTCCAGACCATGCTTAACCCTATCCTAGGGCTTGTGAGACGTGATTTATCACATCTTAAGGAAATAACCTTGAATGGGCCCTGAGGGCGATATCCGATGCTTTCCCGTGGAAAGACCGCAGGCATCCATGGGTCCGTGGCTGTCACTAGCCTATCATACCTATACTGTGTGATCTTATGTTAACTGCAGTCATCCTTAATATCCCTGTCACCTCTGACTTGTTTCATACCCTGGGCCAATACGCTATTCACACAGGTTTTGGTCTTTCTGTGGAGTTTGACTCGCCGTCATGGTTGTATCAGTGGCATTATGCCTGTCGATGTTGATGTTGACACCTCATTTTGATAGAGAGTCTCCAGGATGAAGAGGTAAACGTACAGATATGCTATTCGTAGCGTATATCAATAGCCAAGCTTCGTACCAAGGATCCAAGTGAGGAGGAAGAGAAGGATGAATGAAGTAAAGCGAGGCGATTGTACATCTACCACATTGCTAGAACAGACGGAATAACTACGACACACAAAGCTCACCTCGAAACACACAATCCTGCGACAGAATGCTTGTTATGTTTAAATATGCGTAAGACACTCTGTACAGTTTCCATGCAAAATGATTGTTCGCAAACCATGTAAACGATCAAAACCCTACGTGATCCACCCGGATCTTCATCCATTCGGAATACATTCTTAGCCCTACTCATGAACAGCCCCCTCCACCTCTTTCGTACACATACTATCGAAAGGCTCCACAAGCAAACTAATACCCCCTCCAATGTATCCCTCGCCGCCCTCTATTAACCTCAAAAAATAAAACCTTACTCTCGCCCCCAAACATATAATCTCATCCCTAAAGTTCAAGCAGACCCCGCTTTTCGCTCCGTTCTTCTTAGTCTCCTTGTGGGATACATTCAAGCAGATAAATGGTTTTTTCTTTTTTATTATTCTAAATGAGTGACATGGATGGCGAAGGTTGTGGGGTTTCGAGGTAGCGGAGAGTTTGATATGGTGACGGAGGGATCATCCCCAGCGGTTTGCGTGCTACACATGGTGGAGTTAAGGACAAAGTTCGTAAATGAAGGTTTATGAAGCTTAAGCGTATTTCTTATTTTCGACATGACTGGGGAATCTATCTCGTCAATTGGTTTATGAACATGGCATATGTACAGAGATGTTCGGTTTAACATTATACACAGAGCACTATCCTCATCTTCCATAGCTATTAATCACGCAATCCACAACGTCGGCAACATTGCAGTCGCCCCAAAAGAATCATTACAAAGCAAGAAGAAGACCAGCGCCCGCGAGGCCAGAGAGCAGATGTCTCGTATTACTGGTCGGCAAGGCAGCGATGCCGCTCGAGGAAGTGGTCTTAGCCGCGCCAGAATTCGACTCCGTAGTGGTGGTTTTCGGACCACCGATCGTGATGGTATGCACGATATCTGTGGCGGATGCAACGGTAGCCGAAGTGACAGCGGACTCGACCGGGGTGGCGCCGGGCACGGCGCTGGTGCCGGTGCCGATCTCCAAGATGTCGTCTTTCTCCGGAGAGAAGTTTGTGTTGGCGAGAGAGATCTCGTTGTTACCGAGGTCATACACGACGTATGCACTGCGCAGGAAGGTGTCGCCCAGGATGTACATGGCGTCTTGGCTGTCTCCGCTGGGCACAACGCCAAAGGTGCAGGTTCCCTCGGGGAAGTCCCTGGCAATCACTCTCAGGACCAGTTCGTTGATTCCAACGGCGATGGTGGCGCCGGAGAAGTCGAAGTTGACGGTATAATCCTTTTCGATGAGGTCGCAGTCCACATATGCCAGTCCGTCATCCTCGAGGAAGGTGGCGTTGAACTTTTTGTAGAGCGAGTCAGCGAGCGAGTTAGGCAGATATGTCAAGGTGGTACCCGAGTCGAGCAACACTACTATCGGAAGCTGCGAGGAGTAATCGTCAGACTCCTTGCCGTGTTCCACAGAAACGCCGGTCAGGGTAACGGCTAGATAAGAATACCCTCCAAGCGTGCGCACAATGGGGATAGTCTGGAGTTCGCCTTTGTACATGGCCTTGTTAACGCCACCGAAGAGAATAGAGCCCCGACTCGCTGCGGGATCATTAAGCCACAGGCTGTAGGCGGGCGATTTAATGGCGCCACTATTGACTAGGGCTTGGGGGAGATTGGCGTATGTCTTGCCTTCATGTGCAGCTTCGTTGGTGAGAGTGTCATAAGCTACACCGACGATACCCTCTGATGAACGTGAATATTAACGGTTAGCAAGGGACATTTCTACAATCCTAACAGAGAACCCACGTGTTATCGTAGTGGATTCGGCAACGCCAAATTGCATGTCATCAACATGTATATCACCCAGGCCGAGTTTATCAGTGGCATAGTAACCGTAGGCGTTGGTGCCGTCACCGTAGGTTGCATTGAAATCAACATCCAGGTCCTTGTATGTCGAGGATGCGTCGGGATCATACAAGCCAAAAGGTTTGCATGGATTACCCCGGGACGAACAATAGGACGAGTTGGCGACATTCACCCAGAGGTCACTGCTGCCTGTATCCAAAGCGACCGCGAACTGCTGCGCTGGCGTTCCTAGCGTCAGGTTTAGGATATAAAAACTATCATACTATCCAACTGCATTAGTCATATTTCACAGGTGGTTAGCAGCACGGAGAAGGGTCAGAGACATACGTAGTTTATGAGTGGCAGATCCAGCGTCGAATCTCGCTTCTGCAGGCCTCCAGCATGCTTCCTACGCTCGATAGGCAGCTCGACGGTGGCTGGGGTATCACGCCTGTGAAGCGAGAGAGCGTCCACGCACGACAAGGCAGTTAAAGCAACGGGGAGGAAAGATGGGCCCAGCATCGTGAAATCAATACAACCCACACTTCCTCTAGACTTTGACACAACTTCTCCAGTAGATGAGGAAAAGGGCGGGGTGGTGGGCAAGCCTTATAAATTGAAATTGTTGCCTCCACTTATGACACCGGATGGGGCGGAAACCCTGAACGGTAGTATTTGGGAGAGGTGTAAATTTCCATAGCTTCCACCTAGGGCGAATAGCGTATGTAACATTGACCGTTAGAGTCGGACAGCCAGTCACCTACGATATGCAACACCAGTGGTCCAGGGCTAAGCAATGCATGGCAAGGCTGCGAACCAGTCAGGCAGAAGCCGGATCACCGGCGTCAGAAGTCTTAGCAAGCGAGACATCTTAGCCGTGATTAGTCCGTGATAGTTCGGACCGGTTTGCTAATAGGTAGCTGCAATCTAGCGAGGATACAGGGTCTAATCTGGAACTGTGGTCCAATTGTAAGCCTCTCTTGATTATCTATGTTGACCGTAACCGAGTGATCCGGAGTGTAAATCCGCTGGTGGATCGGCGGATGTGCCCATAGGCATCCCGATTGGCAAATTGCCGTATCTTTTGGAGAAAACCTCCGATCCGAAAAATGAGTGTCGATGCCCGTGCCATAACTGGATTGACATTTCAGCCTCTAGTTGCCTCCTTTTCTACTTTCTGTAACTCAGGAACACCTTCCAAACCAGGAAATGAAGTTAGGTCGACTGGGGGTCGGGCAGATTTTTCTCCATGGTTCAATGGTTGTGGGTCAGCTAATCTCCCCTTCGGATGAAAGTCTGAGACAAGCTCCAAGCACCAAAATCTTAGCAGTCCTAATAGGCTGGCAGGCGCTTAGCCGTCTTGGCATAGCATCGGTATGAGAGAGCTGTCTTAAACGTTCCTGGCAGCGTTAAAGGAAGCGAACAAATCGCCTTCTGCTTTATGTCAGGGGGCGTCATGCAATCTCCCGAAAGGTCACATTACTCCGTACACAGTATTAGCGTCCAAGCTTTAGAGTGGGGAATTGTGGCGTTTTGAAGAAGGGTCGTGAGCCTCCTCCTATCAATGAATTCATCGCGCCAGTGGCTGGTTAATTCACCCCCTTATGTGACAATCCAGCACTTCATGATTTACTCAAACAAAGTTCCTCCTCCAATCCAGCTCGATGTGTGTCCTTGCGATGACAATGGAGAAACATGGTAGTTAATGCTCTGTAGACGATACGAATTCGTTTCAAACTTGGCACATTAGTGGATGATGGGTGACTCCTTATGCATCTATGTAGCCTATTGATGTAGTTAGCTATTACTGGGAGGCCTGGCTCAATATTACACGATATCTAAAACTTGCCCTATCAGCTGAAACCACACGCTTGCCTATCTGCTTGGATCTTGTATCAGGGATCAAGAATAGATACTGTGTTGCACACATACTGGATCTGATTACACATGACATGGCATCTCTCACATTCTCACGGAAGATGACAACCAATGGTCGTAAGTTCTGTAGGTCTTGTTCAAGATACATTGAGGATCAGCCCTAACATACATCAATCGATGCCTCAGGAATCTCGGCAAAGCTGCCTGGCAACGTGCCATGACGCAATGCTGAGTAATCGTCAACAGACCCCTAAGCAGCCAATCAGCATGCTCGTGTACCTTGCCGATGGCAACCGAAGCGATGTTGAACCTCCTCCATCTTCATTAGCAACCAAAACAACAACTTACAGCTCAACAATCAATTCTACCGTTCAATCTCCGCCATCATGTTCGCTGCCCGCCGTGTCACCGCTAGCGTTCCCCGCGCCTTATCCCAGAGGGCTCTGTTCCACAACACTGCTCCCGCTTTCGTCCAGAAGGGAGACTCCATCCCCAACCTTGATGTCCTGGTTGAGGACTCTCCCGGTAACAAGGTCAACCTCGCCAACGAGCTCAAGGGCAAGGGCGTCATTGTTGGCGTCCCCGCAGCTTTCAGTATGCACTTCATTTCCTTCCCCGAAGGATCCTCCGCGGTGCAATTCTAACATGGTCCGTGACAGGCCCTGCTTGCTCCAGCTCCCACGTCCCGGGATTTATCAACCACCCCAAGCTCAAGGAAGCCGGCCAGGTCTTCGTTGTCTCCGTCAATGATCCTTTTGTGTAAGTGGCCGATGGATCTGCATTTCTTCGGCGAGCAGGCTCAATTGGCTAATTATACAAACAGCATGAAGGCGTGGGCTGCCTCTCTCGACCCCTCCGGCAAGAGCGGTGTAAGTATTTACTTTATATGTCCAATTTTATTATCTAGTCGTATGCTGATGAGGACCGTAAGATCCGCTTCCTGGGCGACCCGACCGGCAAGTTCTCCGAGGCGCTCGATGTCACCTTCGATAGCTCGTCCATCTTCGGCAACCACCGCAGCAAGCGCTACGCCCTGCTGGTCGAGAATGGCAAGGTTAAGGAGGCTTTCGTGGAGCCCGACAACACCGGTCTCGACGGTACGATTCTCCCCTGCCAATTCTCCCCTCTTCCAATTCACCAATATACTAATCTCTCCTCAGTCTCCGCCGCCGAGAAGGTCCTTGCTTAAAATAACCATAGTTATCCATACAACCGATATCTAATGTATGCAAATACAAAGCAAAACCCCTCCATCTACCGTATAATATATCCATAGTCATGTCTTTTATTTCCACCCACCATAGCCCAAGACCAGTATACTATAGCCCACAGCTGGATAGCGACGACAAATGTACATTAATGAAAACTCCAACGCCGGCGTATATGCTTCCAGCGCGTCGAATACCCAGGATATATGAAGTTTCTTCATCCGTTTCTTTTATTTTGGGCCGTAATATAACAGGAAAAATCTATCATCCTCTACTGCTGCAACGCCTGCCACTGCTCCGGGGTATAACACTTCGGGGTCCACGCATGGATGGCCGCGATCTCCGCCTTCAGAACCGAGTTCACCAACCGGTGACGAGCGAGCATGGTCTTCTTCTCGAACTGCGGGGATACGATCACCGCCTGGAATGCCTGGCCACAGCCGCCTATCAGAAACAGAGAAAACTATGTTAGTGTATTTGTTTCCCAAGGTATATCCAACCGGAGATTCTGGATCTGTTTCATACCCGAAAGGTCCTCAATCTCAACATGCTGTGCCTGCAACTGCTCGATCAACTTGCTCTTCAGTCCGTCGGCGGTCACACCCGCGGTCGCGTCGGCCATGGCTGCGTTGACGGCTGCGAAGGAGCGCGCGGAGATCGAAAAGGTCTGTCGCTGGTGGACGGGGGCGCGGAAGAAGTACCGGCAGCTTCTGCTCAAGATGGAGGCGCGGGAGTACATCAAGTGGGCGGGGGATTTGTTGACCGGAGAGAGGGGTGATTGCGTCCGGAGGCCAGGCGATCAGAAGTTTCGACTGGAGTCTGGTGGTTGGAGTCAAGGCGGCGCAACAAAAGTTTTTGGATGCTTTCTCCGGATTTTTGATAGTTAGTTGATTGTTAATGACGACGGGGCATTAATCATCATCGGCTTGGTTCCGTATCTGATGTCACGTGATGGGAACATCACATATTCTCTGGCCGGTTTGTTTGAACTCGTTCGCGAGTCATGTTGAACTTGCTCTATCACAGATTCCATGTTGATATTCACCTCTATTTCTGCAATTACTCTGGCGTTGCAGAAGGCTGGAATCGTACTAGTAGTTATTTCAGCGGCAGGGCTCCACAATGACCGAGAAGGATTGCATCGAATATAATTGGATCAACGGGGTGGATATATAGGAAAAGTACCAAATTGGAGGTTATCAGAAATTGTCTGATTCAGCTTACTGTCTTGATATCTTCAGCCTGTTCCCAGTTCGCGTACACTATACTATACACATAACTGAAATTCTCAACCTTACCAAAGCCCTAACTACAGTCTACAAGTCTGCAATTACTTCAAGTGGTGAATGGGGAGAATTGAATACGTTGGAAATTATGCAAGATAGATTCTCTTGAATTGAATTGTATTAACTTGAAATGTATTGAGTCACGCTTGGCTAAACTGAGAATAATGACGAGTCCGGTATATAAATTATGCTCTATCTTCTGGAAGCTGTTCCGAAAGCATCAACTTCATAATCGCGAGGATCCTTGTTTTGATTGATATCGTTCTTACGAGAATGGCTCTATATCTACTCGCTGAATACAAATTATAAACATAAGGGCTTCTTGTGAAAAGTTCTTCCTTGTAATGACATTTTTATTTTCTACTTTCTTTAATCTGGCAACAGTGATGGATATCTTTTAAATCTTGTCTTTTGAGACACGAGCTTCAGGTCAGGTTTGTCTAACTTTTCTCTTTGTTATAGTCTTTGCCCCTCTTTTCTATCATACTAAAGTTGTTTAGCTCCTGAAAATCCTCCAACTTTTGAAAATTATCCAACGTGAAAAATATCCAACTCTTGAAAATCATCCAGCTCTTCAGGCTTTGTCACGACACAACGTCAGTCGGAGGCAGCAGCTCGCCGATTTATTCGCAAGTGGCAGCCTGAGCTGTTAAGCCTTGAGGAAATTATAAGTAAGTCTTTATAGTACTTATTTCCAGAGAAAAAGCTAATCAGAAGATTCGGGATCTAGTGGAAAGAGACGTCACATTTAGAAGAAGAGATAAAACACGAACAAGAGATGATTGCTAAAAAGGAAGAGCGCAAGCGACTGATTCAAATGGAAATCAGCGCCCGTGCGGTAAGTGTGCTGAGACGGTTGCTTATGGTTTCTTCGGCTAATAGAATATGTGTTGAACAATAGGATCCACTTGCTGAGCCTCCTCCTACGCAAGACCAAGACAAAGGCCCGTCTCCGTTCGGTGGCAGTAGGGAGTCTGGCCATGGCAAAGAGGCAGGCAAAGACGTTGCCATTGAAGAGATCTGACCTTATAGACGGGCACACTTACTATGGAGAGTATGCTGGGGCTATATAGGTCTCCGCCGATGGCTTCTCTTTCTGATGCTTATTCCAGTCCTGTAATCAAGGCTGGGCTTTCCTTTAAGGGAGACCTGTTGAGTGATGTTATTAGTTGGCGATATGCATTACATTAGGGAATCGAGCTCACGTGTTGATGCTCTCGGAAAATCATGGACACGATATCGCAAACGTAGAGTCATCCTGGCCAGCTTTTCTATAAGACAGCATTCTATTCTCATTTCTGGCTTTAGTTAGCGGATATTATTTCCGTTTGATGGAACAATTCAAAACCTATCATACATCTACCAAGCAAAGCATACCATGTTTCATGGTTGATAAAGACTACTGAGAGCATGAGCCTTATATCATGTCATGAAGCTGGTCCACTGCCAGACACAACAATGAACTGGAAGTTCAACAAGTAAAAGCTGAACTTGTCATATAAGTCAGCATTGCTCAGCCAGGTCCTCTATCCATTGGTCCCATCCTACGCGACCTCCACTCCGTCATACTCAGCACCGAGCTCCTCCACATGCCTCTCTAAATCCCCCCAAGACGGCCCCGTATCATTGACCAACAGAATGCCCCAACGTTTCTGAATATCGATTATACACAACCGGACTCTGGTTGCATAAAAGGAACACGCGATATCACGCATACGGGAATCTTTGTTTACAGGAATCCCGGTCCTGTCGACGGGGTTATATGCCCGTAGTTCTTCGAGCAACCGCTCGAGCCTTCCCGTGCTGTATTTGAACAAGGCTTTGATTTCGCCGGGTGACTTGAGGCTGTTGGCTTTATTTTTGGTCCGCACTAGGAATGAACCTACCTTGGTTAGTGCGTATAATTCCCCTTCGATAAAGTCTGCTTTGGATTTTCTTTTTGTGGTTGTTTGGTGGCTTCGTATCAGGTGGATGATGTCTCTGATGAGGTCGGCTATGTGGTCTGTGCTTGTGTCCATCTCTGAGTATTGTGGGCTGGTTGTTGCTGTGGGCATTGTTCATAGGCGTTGCTACATGTTGTGATGATGATTATGTACATTGGAGATAGGGTATATATAGACAGTTCATGTTGTTTGTTGTTGGAGTATACCGTATACATCAATGATGAAAAGTGTAAGAGACTGTGTCGGCTAGCAGTAGTCCGTGAAAGATCCTCAGGCATCTACCGGGATTGGTATCTACAGTAATGCAGACAAGTATAGTGTCCATTCTTCTCCTAGACCGACTTCCTGAAAGAGACTCCAGTGACCTCACTTTCTCAGTCTGAACCAGAGTCAATACCATGGCACCATAATAACTATACAAACCATATACTGTGACTGATATCCAGGCTTTGAGCCATCACAAACCACCCCATAGATCCTATCTACTAGAAAGCCTCGACCATCCCAGATAGGCCTAGCGCCAGACTCCCTTATCCATAGAACCAAGTCATGCAAGCCCTAACTGTCCTAGATCGCAATCCAGAACAATACTCCCCTTAGTAGAGCCACACTATAGTTCGGACATTTGACTATACTCCCTTCACGTCAGACCAAAATGCATTATTCACTAGTACTACCCTAGCACTCTACAATTCAATCAATTAAATCGATGCAAGATGACGTAGCGCTCCCGCCTTGCCAAGATACGCTGGCGATATTAAATAAGAGGGGCAGATGGCGGGGTTCGCTGTCGATCACCATCCATCACTCATACCACCATTCTATTATACATACAATACAGTGTCCAGATCTACCTATCTCCCATAGCAATGGCTCCTTCAGAGTACTCTATCAGACTACAGAAGGGTAGGCAATCATCCCATCCTCAGAACTGCAAGTCGTAAACTGACAAACTTCAAGGTATCACAGGAGGTTTCGCACCCCCTACCCCATCCGCGATCTTGCAACTGGTCAAGAGCGCTGGGGATTCGAATATCATCATCAGCGAAGCTGTCCGACCAGATGGCCAGCCGGGATTGCAACAGCAACCCGAGAAAACCCTTGACGCGTCAGACGGAGAGGCAGAGAGTCTTGTAACTGAGCTTTATGAGATTCTGAAAGACTTGCCATTGGAGATTCCGCCGGGGTCGGAGGATATCTATCGAATGGACACTTCTATTGCCTGGGGCAGTGAGGATCTGGTATGGCATAATGGTGGGCCGCAGGGATGTGTGCGAGCCACGAGCGATGTACAGCCTTCTGAGACGGAGCGGGCCGGGTTCAGGAGGGCTGTCGATATAGTGTGGGAGTTGGTGGGTATGGCGAACCCCTAGATATGTGTTAAGGGATGTTGTCCTTTGTCGACTTTGGTTATCGCAGGTTTTTGTTTGGGTAACTGTGTGGTTGCTTGGTGGTCGATATTTCGCTTGGGCTGCTGGCAGCATAGGTCCCCGGCTTGAAGTGATTCTTGGATATTCTTTCATGCTCATGAATCTTACTTGAAATTTGAAGAATGTCCTATCTCCGAAACTCTCATAGCATGGGTTTCTGAATAAACTTGAGGACTGTCACTATCTTGGTACCACAGTGTAATCGCAGTGACTAATATCCCGGACCATACATTCTCAATATAACCAATTCTCTATACCGCATTTCAGCCACCTTTTTGACTCCTGCGTACACCAGCAGTAACAGTAGTATAACTACAACGCTATAACTAGTATTATTAAGTGAAACTCCCCAGAGCATCTAGATAACAATAAACCATAAACAGGATACACAGGCATGGCTCTGGCAAGCCAGCCTAAACGACAGTCTAATGAATGCCCTGTGGTCAAACAGCGAAATATAAGATATGATCCGTGCTTGATACTAGTAGTAGTACTAGTAGTAGTATAGCCGAGCAAGATTAAGCTTAACATTAACCTTGGGCCAACCGGGTTTATTCCGAGGAACTTGGATATAGAAAGTAAAACGGACATTCATGACATGTAGGATATCCTGCTATTAAGAAATGATGCCATTTATGCTATCATGGGGTGTTCTGCCTGGTCAAGGGGTGGTTACTTTGGGTGTTGGCTTGCACTCCGTGCATATTTATAAGCAGCTGTAATTTTATTGTGATATGACAGAATACCGGATAATCAGCTGACATCGTTTAATTATTGTGTTGGTATGTTTTATTTCAATAGAATTACAGAGTCCAAGCGTCTACGGAATATATATAAAGATCGCAATTTTGCACCAGAGAAATATTCTCAATTCTAGCTACCTTGGTATCTTCAGCACGAGCTCGTAAGCTGGATATCTTCAAATCCCACTTTTCATCCATGAAATCATTTTCCTCCACAAGAAATAATCACAACTTTTTGATCCATATTAAAACGTACTATGATGGGTCAAACCAGCTAAACCCATATGCAAGCCCAAAAATCAAGACGCCACAGATGCAATTAGAGCCCAATAAACTTCATCAAGAGCCGATAGCTCAGTCAGCATCATTGGTCTAGTGGTAGAATTCATCGTTGCCATCGATGAGGCCCGTGTTCGATTCACGGATGATGCATTCCTTTTTGTTTTCTTTTTTTCCGTCTCTGAGAGACGGTTGCTGTTCCCGACGGAATTTATAGGCGGTGACCGGCCGCATTTCGTTCCTCGTCCCAGATCGCGTACCCCCATTGCCATCCGGCGGAGTTTCCAATCGTTCGCTCAATCCACGGTTCCTGGAGGTTGTCGCTGCGGACCACTTCCCGGACGCGGTGGATAGGCCCGTAGCCGTGCCAGTGGTGCTTCCAGCCACTGTTGGGTTGCTCGATGGCCGGCATCAGCGGGAGGGCTCTGCCGATGTCTTCGCTTTCGTACTTGTCGGCTGGGTACAGGAGGGACGGAGGGTCCCGGGAGACCTCGACCAGGATCATGAAGGAAGATTTGGAGGAGACGGCATTACAGGCAATGAGGTTGCGGCGTGCCTCGTAGGACGGTTGACGGAGGACTTTGTAAAGGAAGGATGGGCCCAGGGAGACTAGATGGTTGCGGTAATCGTTGTAGTCGTTTCCGTCGCTTCCTATTCGTCTTCATTAGTCTCTGATGTCTTCGATATAATAGTAGATAGGGAAGAGGAGCTTACCATCGCCGTCAACGCTGGGGAACAGTTCCATGCCGTCGACCGTGGGTCGGAGAGATTGCCATTTGTGACTGTTTCGTGGGAACTCCTGGGCAATCTCGGAAAAGATCTCCGTGTACTGCTGTTGGAGGAAGACCCAGAGACAGCCGAATTCTTCGACCTCCCAGGGGGGCATGGTGCCAAAGATCATACCCCACATTTCATGGAGGTTGAAGTTGCGGTACCAGCTGGAGGATCTGCGCTTGAAGCGGGGTTGTGAGGGGGAGGATACGTCGGTCTGTTGGTGTTCTTCGCTCCATTCTCGGGCGCCGAAGATGTTGCAGTAGGTTTGGAGACGGCAGAGGGCACGGATGATGCGGGCTTTTTCAGTATTGGAGGGGTTAATGGGACGGTTCTGGTCCCATGTTTCTTGCGACACGCCAGGTGGGCAAGAAGCTTGGGCGCAGTAGACGTCGAGGAGGTGTTCGAGGTGGCGGTAGAAGTGGGAGAGCCGCAAGCATTCCTCCATGTCTGCGGGGGCGTTTTCGGAACCCGGTAGCTCGCCATGACGACGGCGACGGTCGAGGAGAGTGACAATCTGATCCCGGTTGGCCGGTACGTCGGCATGGAGACCTTGGGAGCGAATGGCTGCCACTGGCTCAGCCAGGTCTACGAGACCGTACTGTCGTTGGAGGATGTCATGGAGGAGTCTCTTCTTGGAGAGGGAATATGTGTTGTAGTAGATCGGGGATGCATGAACCAGAGACTTGAGGGATTGGACATCGGGGAGCTGTTGGATCACAAGGATGCGAAGCTCTGTTGGGAGGGATTCAAGCGCCATGACTGCCGGCAGCACATTGGCCAGTGATTAGATCGATCTGATAAGGAAGGCGAAGGTATGATGACACGATTTTGTCAGCTGGGAGGATTGCCGAAGTGGCTGTGGTCGGGGGGGTTATATATATGACCGGGAATTGGGATTGGGTTCATGTTGACCGTTCCCAATTGCTGACCGAAGATTCATTGGAACGACGTGATCCTCAACAATGGAAACGTGAGGCAAAATGGAAGCTTGACAACGTCAGTGGATCCGCTGTTCTGGACCAGTCACGGCGATGCGCTTCTCGGCATTTACCTAATGAAAATGCGGGGGGAAGAAAAATGCGGAGGACCTGAACTGCTTTTCTCCTCCCTGTCGATCTCCCTTTTTTTTATATTATTTATTTTTTTCAAAATTGGGGAAACTCATCTAATTGAGATTTACAGAAAATCTCTCATACAAGGGGAACATCACTGGATTGTCAGGCACCGAATTCTATTCCCTTCCTCCCGTCCCTCCTTTCTGCCATACTACCAAAATCGCCCCTCGACCTATTCAAATAATACATAAATAAATCTCAAATTTAATGCTCCAGCAGATCCATTCACGACAGCCACGCAATTCTTTGCGTGATGATATTAATAGACGATCCATGCCAATGGCCGTGACGTGATCGCAACGTGATTTCATCCTAAGAAATCTCTTCATTTCTATTACCTAAAACTATGGACGCCGGGCCGGTCTAGAATGAGCGCCATGGGTCAGCAGCCTATCCCTTTCTCTTTTCAGGCCATCACGCGGTGAGGGATAAAATCTCTCACTGGAAAGCCCTTCCCTTTAGAATGATAGCTCCTTCTTGGGGTTCCTTCGATTTATCCGACCTTCCACCGTTGTTCCACACTGGAAAGCGTCGGCTACCACAGGCGATTCGTTGTTCGTTCAAAACGCCGTCGCCGGGCCGATGACGTCAGATCCACCGCACCCTAGCCCTAACCCGGTCCGGTCATGTGAATCCGGTGAGCCTGGTTCCCCTGGTTTCTCTCCCTAGCCTGTTTGGGCATGGCGCTTCTCCTTCCGTATGGGGAACTGGCCGGGGTCACGGTACCTGAGTCACGGGGGGAATATTTTCGAACTATAGAATTTTCATCGTGACTCAAATCAATACCACTATCCACACTATCCACAGTGGATGTGGCGTGGATATGTATACTCCGGAGTACCACTACGCAGCATAACCGGTGGAAATTCATTCAATGCAAACTTTAATGGTTGAGTCACGTTGAGAATTGAATTCTCTATTTTTCGGCCAGACTATTCCCCAGGTTTGGAGACAGAAAATACTAATGGTAGCCTCTGAACCTAATATTGAACTCTGAATCTCAAATCCAGTTTCTGTATCCCCAGTATGTACTAAGAAACGTACAACCAACAGTATTCTCACAAAGGCCATGGCTGGAAGGCAAAGTATTTGTTGAAGATGGTGGCAAGGTGACTATGTTACCAGAGGCTTTTGCCCCCACTGAGTAGCTTCAGTAGGAAAAAAATCCGGCATGACAGCGTGACCGTGGACTGAGAACTAGACTCCGGGAGGTCAGCGGATCAAGCGCAATATTTTTAGAAGCTGAGAATACACTATAATTTAAGCAACTCAATCAATTGAATCGAATTTTTATCCAATTTATTTAAGCATTTTCTGGAGTCTAGGTCCTGGCGGTTTAATGAAGAATACTACAGGAATATAGTCACGTGGCAGTACAATTGAGTGACCAATCAGAATGCAGAAGCCCGGAAAAACTCCGAACTACTACTAGGTATAATAACTTGAAAACAATAAAATGATAGCTCTGCTATTAGATATAAAAAGGATGCTGCGTCACTCCAAGCTGAAAGATTGATGTATTGTCTCGCAATACTTAAGTCTATTGTTTATCCATTACCCACCGTTCATAATGTGCCTCGACACACTTTGCACGACCCTCTTGAGCTGATGAGGATGTCGACGCTACTGACAAGGGACAAAGACGGTTGTACAACATCGGCACAAGTGTGGGATTCTTGGCAGGAGCAGGTTCACAAACACTCATCCTTTGCCATGGAAAGATAATTGGATCCCTCTGTCTTTAATATCATTCATTTTGTCACTTTTGTGATCTATTTTACCCAACGTCCTGCGATTCGTAGCTATTATGGCTACCGGTGATCTAGAATACTCGTTTGACAAAGAGATTGCTTGATTCTTTGACAAGACAACAGTTACTCGCGCAGCCTGTGACGCATATGCGGCAGAGCACCTTGGGGGCGATGTAATTCCTGTCGCCGTACAAGGCGTGTGCAGCTACACTGTCTATGCTGGACCCAATGGCGAATTCATGACCCAGTTTCGCCTTAGGTTTCTTGAGCTGAACATGGAGACTGCTAATCTTGCTCGAACCATATATGGCCACTTTGCCCCCAACGTCGCTTTTAATGGGCATATTGGAGAGGATATGGAGGGTAAAGAACCAGTCTACATCTATGTCATGGACCGAATACGTGGTATTAGTTACTTGGATTTTATCCTCGCCCATAACAACCGTATACCGGAAAATTCCGGTACATTTTCTTCCTGGCGGAGGACTCTTATAACTGATATCGTGAGGTCTGCCTGGCACTTTATGTTACGCCCTCATCCAATACTAACTATATATGCTATTATGTTTTTTGCTCTGTCGTGGAATGCCCAACAAACTGTTACTCAACATTATCCACCTCGAGAGGGGTTGGATCAGATACAATGACTACGTCATCTTGGAGGAAATATTTTGGACCACCTTTCTCAAAGAGGTTGGAGAGTTGGACGATGAAACGATTAGAGTCGTCAAATTAGCAAGGGTTATGGGACTCTTGTTATCCTGTGGCTTCACAAGTCGCCTGGCGAATGAACCGGTGCCAGCACCCATCCAAGATAATGAAAATGGAGCGTACAACATGCAGGTTTTGGATGGGTTGTTAATTAATCCGGACACGAGGTTTACAGAATTGACATAACTAGACTAGTCTTTGGAGTAGAGAGAAATATGTATGGTAGTGGAACGACTGACGGGAACTGGCTATAAAAATGATGGGCATTCAATGAAGCACAGCTTAAAGAACACCGGCCACAGTCAGAACTTCTATCAGACCTCCAACATTTTCCATCTTGGGGAGAGGCTTCCCAGCATTGACAACCTTGTGGTTAGTAGTATCGTGTTCACATACTCGAGAAAGCCGTCTATATTCAAGGACCAGAAGAATCTTGAGTACTCTCAAATCCCCAATCTTGTCTGTTCCAGTAGTCTATCAAGTCTCCTTCACCCTGGACTACATGGAACATTCAGTATGCAATACTGTATGATTTGCATGTACCAACAATGTTTCTCTCTATAGTAGTTTACTATAGTTTACAAGGAATGTGGGCTGGCGGGGCAGAGTACGTAAAATGAGGTTCCATCGTCCCCACCGTGTGTAAACCCTCGAAGGGCTTGGCACTATAAAAATACCTATGCGTCCTACAGCCACCTGCCAAATATACTCCCAGGATAGATCGTTTGATGCTACATCAAACTAGCAATTTCCATGGATATTCCTGGGAGATTGACAGGAGTGGGATAATGTAATCCCGAATGACTTCCATTTCAAACCATTCCTACCCCTTTGCCAAAACACAAATGCTGACAACTGTGAGCGAATACGCTCACAAACAGCATGTACGGGACTTTCTGGAAGCAGACCTTGAATATATACCAGCGTAAACCTTCTTGTCTACAGAAGCAGACTATATGTTTCTTCTCTTCCTTGCGCTCGAGCGCGGGCGGATCGGGATCTCACCGACCCGAGTTATGCGTTGAAAGATCCAATGGAACTTGTATCTCTTTCCTGTGTACCCCCGTACATCTCGGATAATTGATCAACTAATAATTTCCAAGATGAGAACATCCCTGAAGAAGACTTATTCAGATACACCAGACACCGATGGTTGTATGGAACCCTGCTGCTTTGAAGCGAGCACTCACTCATCCGTGCTTGTAAAGATTCAACGCAAGAGAAGAGCTGTCTAAACGCTATGTCAAGTTCAATCTCCAGCGGCTTATCGATGTTGCTGTAAAAGCTAGTGAGGGGGGTAGATATTGTACGCTTTGGTTCTTGCCCTACAAAATGTTCTACTGATATCGTCGATAGGCACCCGGGTTCTTAAATGCTCAGAGGGCCTACACAATAAGGCATTTATTTTATCAATGGATAATGGGGCTGAGGTATTTGCGAAGCTCCCAAATCCAAATGCTGGGCCCTCTGGATACACCACCGCTTCTGAGGTCGCTACGCACGTGTTGGTAAGCAGACCCCCCTGTTGTTTCTATGTTTTGGATGGCATGTTGATAAATGCGGTAGCTACGTGATGTTTTCAAGATTCCCGTTCCACAGGTTCTTGCATGGTCCTTTGATGCAACAAATAGCCCTGTTGAGGCGGAATATATCGTTACAGAGAAGGCACCAGGGATCAGACTTGGCTCTGTCTGGAGCCAATGGCCACAGGAAGCGAAGCTGAAGCTCATCAGACAAATTGTTGACATAGAGGATAGGTTGACCACTATATCATTTTCTCAGCACGGCTGTATTTATTTCAAGGACGACCTTCGTTCATTGGCCGGAGACGCAGAGGACATTAATATCGAGTCTCCTACTGCTGAATCCCTCAGTCGCTTTTCCATCGGGCCATTAACGTCCGCAGAACTGTGGGAGGGTACTAAGAGGGGTATGCGATTAGACCGTGGTCCCTGTGAGTCAATGCATATCTAGTGCCTATGTAGGATTGCTAACCATCTCTGGGAAGGGCGTGACCCACAAGAGTATACACAAGCATTAGGGCGAAATGAAATTGCATGGATTAAATCACACGCCTGTCCTCGAATGAATTACTACAGGTCAGACCGAGAGCATGAGCTTCCTGATGATGGTGTTGCTCTTCTTACCAAGTATATGGACGTGGCACCTTATCTAGTTCCTTCACCCACCAATGAAGCAGCAATGTCCAAAGTGATCTGGCACCCTGATCTTCACCTGGACAATGTCTTTATCGATCCGGATACATATGAAATCACCTCCATTGTGGACTGGCAATCTGCATGTATTGCTCCTCTATTCTATCAATCGGAAGTTCCGAGGATGTTTAGACATCCGGGGCCTGTTCGAGAGGGCTGGGTTGTACCAGAACGTCCTGAAAACTTCGATACCCTAAGTGAAGACGAGCGAAGGATGATAGACGAGAATTTGGAAAGTGAGACTATACATAAATATTACGAGGCTCAGGTTTACAAACGAGCACCTTCTCACTGGGATGTACTTCACGATTCATCCATTCCAATCCTCAGGAAACCTGTCTGGCTGGTAAGTGGCGTGTGGCAAAATCGGGATCTCTTCTTCTTGCGTCAGTCACTTCTATCCCTCGCTACCCATTGGCAAGAAATTTTTGCAAACGATCAGTTAACCTGTCCGATCGAGTTCACCGAGGAGGAACTTGAGCTTTACTCTAAGGAGGAAGAAAATATTGATGGGGTTGGACGCATGCTTGCATTGTTTCGGGACCAGGGGGTCCTACCAGTCGATGGAATGGTGGACCCGGAAGACTACGAAACTGTTATTGAAAATAGACGCAGATTCAAGGACATCTTTGTTGGATTGGCCAAAGATGAAGCCGAGAGGAAGTTATATGAAAAACTCTGGCCATATCAAATGTGAGAAGTCACCTTTTGGAGAGGATAGCCCTAGTTCCCCCACGGCTGTTTATACTCTGTAGTTCTCTGCGCTCCATCCTCGAAATTTTTAATCTGCCTCAGCTTCATGGCTAAGGCCTTCTGCTGATCGGCTTTGTTGTGGAGCATCCTCTTAGTCTGTCTCAGTATCACTCTCACTCATCCCAACTGCTTCACACGTGAACCCTCCTTCGTCATCAACTTCATCATCCTTGGTCTCCTCTTGGCCCCAGTTTTTCCAATTGGGTTTGAAAGTGTAAGTCTGGATCACATGCCGGGTCTCATCTGAATCGGATGTAGTCTTTGGAATTGGGGCGCTTATTGTGTGTTTATACTCTTTGAAGGGCTACTTCGGGTTAGTTGATAGCAATGAAATGTATTTTAGGGGCATAGGCGCATACAGCCTTTCCAACCAAATTCTTCGTCCTCGAGAAAACATGTCTGACTCCCGCAAACGAGACGACATAGCCCTTGCTGTTCTGCACAACGTCAGCAACCGTGGCCCAGCCCGGATGCAGGGTACTTAGGATAACAAGTTCTACTTACCTCGACCGGGGGGTATGACCGACACCCCTCCCTCTTGAGCTGCTCAAACACTCCGATGCCGCTGCCCAGCTTACCTATCCCCGTCGCTCCCACGTCAAAGGACAAGTCTAGGTCTTGCTTCTTGCCGCTGGCCAACTTGATCGCACACTCCTTGGTAACCCATGTGGCTGCGACCACCCATAACTCCTCCTTCTGCTTGAGTGCGCGACCAAAGTCCGGATGCTCAAGAAGTTCGGTTGTATTATCTGTCACCCAATCGATCATCCGATACTTGGCGTGACCCGAAATCCCATGTTTTTGCACCTCCGACCTGGTGATGAGGCTGCTGAGCCGGTCGACGAGTTGCTCACCTTCACCTGAACTGATGCCTCAGCTGGGGCCGCAGCCATGGCGCCGGACCCTTCGGCCGTGCCTCGGTAGCTCCGTCCCTTCTCAATCTCTGAAGAGTTGTTTTCCCAAACGATCGGCTGCGGCTCGGCATATTCCAGGCCTTCCCGGCGGAATGGCTTGTACCCATCTCGTTCTGGACGGCCTTCCTCCATGAGATTGGTGACTTGATGCCACTCTCCAGTTTTATCGAAATAGCCCACTGATCCTAGAGTCATGTTGGAAAACCATTGAGGAGTAAAGAGGAAGGTGCCATAGGTCCTATCCCCCATGATTTTTCTATACTCCTCGTGATCGGACTCCATGATGTAAGATATGAAGCGGGCGGAATGAAAGAGTTGATTTTTCAGAAGTGAATGAGTATCCAAGATGCGACGGGATTATATCTCTTCTTGGGGATCACTCTGCATTAATACCCGAGAAAGTCTCGGGCCCACAACTTGCCGATGGTAGATCGTTTTCTCCTGGGCCCTTGTGTAGATCCCAAATTCATGCGGGAGTCGATCACCACCTCTATGTAGATCGAGCTGACTCAAGATCTACTGCGCGATTTACCACAGTGGGTACCCCTACTCAAGTACCGACTGTTTTCGAATCTCTGTGACGGGATAAGCTCTCACTCAACAATTCGTGGAGAACGTGGGTCTCTTTTCAGCTCGTCATGACTTTCTCCACCTTCGTTATGTCAGAGTGAAATCAGCAATCAATGGTGGATATGCTACGAGAATATTGTCGCCCATTTGAGCTTTTACTGGCTGAACTCGCGCGCGACGTGGGTGGTCGGTGCTCTCTCTAAACGCATCTGGAAAGCACCTAGCAGCCTCAAAACCCCGTTCACGAATATAAACAGCCTGCCAGAAGGTATGTGGTGGGGTACAGAATGCATGTCGCCGCTGTCACCTTTAGCCTAGGGCTTCCGCAAGCGGACGAAGGGCCTGAGTGTCCCTTGGCACCGCTACCTGGCATAGCCCTATCGCACGTCTTCAGATGCTGTGTAATCCGTGGGTGTAATCCACCTTCATTAAACCGCTGCCTAAATAGTGTAAACAGTTGGATGTTTCAAAGATGCTGACAGGGTCAAGGAACATAGTCCAGTTGGTTTACGAATATAACACCTCTGTAGTAGATCCTTGCTGCTTCGTAATCTTGTGAATCAGGAGGGACGGACTGTGATACAGATGCAACGAGCTATATAATCCAACTAGTAAAAAGGCGGAAACTAGACAGGAAATCTGGAAAGCAGTCACACTTGTGAAACATCATAGGTATGCTCGTGATACCTAACCACTGGCTTTTCACTAAGCTTTATTCCGATGGGCGATCACCCGCCGCAATTGCCGGACAGATGTCCCAATAAGTGGGTCTACTTCAGGTCTGATAGTATACCCCGGAATGTGCCATTGGCATTGTCTTTTCCGGGGTAGCTCACAGAGCCTGGTTGTCGGCTGTGGAGTACGTAGTGGTAGTCTAGTCTCCAGCTTAACGCGGCTTTCCATATATGCGTAGAGTGCACTCTTCATGGAGGCGCAGTGATCAAGATCCTATCAGCGTGTTGGAGGCCGTGGACGGCTGTATTGCGAGTTACGAGCTGTTCATCTCGACATAACCTGCGCAATAGCCTCTTCCTTACACTATTGTTTCCTTCGCTGGGAAATAAAGCTATCATAGCAGAAAATTAATACCATTCTCGCCGCCGACAGATCAGCGAACTACAGGCGTCAAACGAAGCTTCAGTGGCTTCATATCCCAAGCAAGATAAGCCGGGATATCCTTATCCCAATCCGTCGAGGCCGGGTCCAACTCCCAGTCAAACTCCCATATAAGACGCGACAGCAAAAGGCGCAGCTCCAACTTCGCCAGGTTCTGACCAATACAATTCCGCAGCCCGACGCTGAATGCCTGCATGGCAGCGCGATCATCATCTTCGTACTCAGGATCACCCAACCACCGCTCGGGGACGTATTTCTGGGGGTCCTTGAAGTTGATGCTCGAGTTGTTCGTAGCAAAACGGCACATACCAACGTGCGTGCCCCCCGGAATCCAATGTCCTGCGACATATGCCCCCTCGTTTGGGACACGGCGGGAAAATACAGCGGGAGCGGGAGGGAATATCCGCATAGCTTCGGTGAAGCACGCAGGGAGGAACTTGAGCAGATTGACGTTGATCGCGGTGATTTGGTCTGCGCTGGAGAAGGTACTTCGAACCTTTTTGGTGACCTGCGTCTTCACTTCAGGGTTTTGCGTCAGATAGTATGTAGTGGCGCTGAGGGCAGTGGTGGTGGTTTCATTGCCGGCTAAAATGAGTATGGAGCTGTTGCCGTCGATGTCATACCTTTCGAGGTCGTGTTTCGGGTCTATTAGATTCGAGACTAGGTCGGTGTAGCTGACTGTCCGTTCTATTCGACGCTGAACGTTTTCAGTCGTCAGCTTCTGATGGGCTATGGATGCTTCCTGATAGGACTTTGGGATCAGTCGCGAGAAGAGCTTCAATAGTACTGGATAGTATCCTAATGCTTGAGTCCAGATTCTGAACCTTATAGATGGGGATAACATGGTTAACCACGGATGCAGCCGCGCGTTCTCCAGACATTTAGAAGATTCGCCAAAAGTAAGCTGTACAATTAGGTCAAATGTGAAGAACTATACAGGATAAGCGGTCAGTGATCCTCGAGGTGAGCAGACAGAAAGATAGCCCACTTTGAACCACGATGTCATCTCCGGTGTACCACCGTTTGCTACCTCAGCATGAAGCTGTGTCATTAACACATCGATCTTCTGCTGTACGATATGCTCCTGCTCTCGCAGGGCAGCCCCTGAAAACCCCTTTGAAAGTAGACGTCGATACCGGCGATGCAGGTCGTGGCCCGCTTCGGCAATCGTTTGAGGTCCTCGAAAATTTCGGTATAATGGTGTGTCTTTGCTCATCTCAGGCTCACCCTGCTGAGAGCCGTAGATGTCGCTCCATGCTTGGCTCGAGGTGAAAAGAACTTCGTTGGGGGCGACCCGCACTACTGCTCCGTACTTTTCATGTGCTTGATGGAGGTAATAGACTAGCCGGCCGGAAACGAGGTGGTGGCAATACAACACACGGGTTATCGCTGTCAGCTTCGGTCCAGGGTACTTTGCAAGTGGGTGGAGGGTGAGGCTGGTAGATTGCGTAGAGTGTGTAGTACTGATCAAGAGAAGTCAGTAGATGCCGCGTGAACGGGATGTAGCCATTAGAGTTGCCACAGTCAAGTAAAATTAGCGTGATAGAGAAGACGGACCACCACTGGTAGGGATAAGGCGGCAGCCAAGATATGGAGTCCGCAGATTTGTTGAGCGGTATCACTGATCGCCTGTGGCAGCTGGAGGAATCCTGCGTTCAAGGTCATCTTCTGTGGGTTCAAGAATAGAGACCATCGAGAAATGTATAATTTGAGTGAATATCATATACTTGAGCGGCATCTGGTCCGACTGCGAGTATTTATGCATCTGCCACGGGCAACCCAAAGCCAACTCGACATGCAAGCAATGACGATTCTGTCGTAACATGCACCCTGCGGTATAACGAAACACAAGGGTGCGCGCATCGGCTGACGCAGTAATAGCGGTCAATAGGACAATACGACCCATGAGATTCGTTTGGCTTAGCCATCCTACAGTTCAGATAGTTAGAATGACTAGGACGGTGTATCAAGGCAGAAGCTTGTCGACGACTTGTATACGTTCAATTTAAGTTACAACGGTTCTCCAAGCCCATACTATTTCGGGGATGATAGTCTTGCACACCAGCCGGGTGTCATGGAAGGTTCCAGGGAGCCCTAATGTGGGTTTGCAGCTATACATTGACATTGCTCTGTTAGTACCAAGGCAGGTTAATATGACACATTTAGACAATTTAGTGTATAGTATGAGGTTACGACTGCCAACAGTATCTCAAACTTTTTAGCTTGGAGGTCAGTCTAGCTAAAGGTTTAGCCCCTTGTCTATATTTAGCAAAAGTAAGAAACTGAGCCTAAGCTAGTAGAGTAATAGGAGGTTGCAGTCAATATTGCCCTGTATATTGATAAATCGGTCCAGATCGACCATAGCTAGTATCATTGTAAATAGCTGCCCGATACTATACACAATTTGACTACTTTTTGCCTATACCACACGAGCCATGCCGGCTATTCTCCGGAGGATGCGCTCTGAAACCGCTACTGCTAGAGTGCAAGGATTAAATCCGCATGTGCTTTCGAGCTAAAGCCGAAGGGTGGTGGAGCCGAACACAATTTGTGCTCAGATTAATTTATATGGCCTGCGCAGCTCCAGACCGGCCTTGAGGGCCCACCTGGTGCGTCCAAGCAGAATCTAGCGGGGCGCCCTAAGAGAACGGTGTATGGGCGATGATACCGTGCCACATCCCACCATTGAAGGAGATTTGCCTGCGCAGGGATTATTTGATTGATTTCACGGAAGTTAAACTAGTTATTATTTTCTAGTTAGTTACTAATTCCTGTGGCATTCAGAAATCCCGAGCTAGAAAGGCACATTTTCCATCTACAAAACCAGGGGTCCCTCGCAACGTGTTGGCGCAACTTCTTACGCCCAGTCCTATACAACACTCTAAATTTCACATGACGATGGAGAAGCCAGATATCGAGCCCCGCGTCGCCGAATCCTTGAGTAACGACTTCGATCCAGCCTTGGAGAAGAAGTTGCTACGGAAGTTGGACTGGCGCATCATCCCTGCACTATGGTTCCTGTTCCTCGTATCATTCATGGACCGATCGAACATCGGGTAAGTTGTCTGCTCCTGCTCGACACAATCTGGTACTCGGAAACTAAATGTGGATATTTCACTCTAGAAATGCCAAAATCGCTGGAATGGTCAAAGAGCTGCATATGGTCGGAAATGATTACAATGTCGCCGTTACAATGTTCACTGTCGCATATGTGATTTTCGGAGTGCCCGCCAATCTCCTGGTCAAGAAATTCGGCCCCAGAATGCTGGTCATTTACATGTTCACCTGGGGTGAGACCACACTGCCTTGCGTCAATCGGTAGTGTGCTAATGAAGGATCGCACGATAGGGCTGTTTGTGATGGGTCAGGGCTTGACAAAGACTGCGACGGGGCTGATCGCGTGTCGGTTTTTCATGGGAATGTGTGAAGCAGGGTTTGTTCCTGGTTCGTGGGAAGTCCAAAAAACTTCGTCGGAGGAACGGCTACTGATAAATGCGTCATCTTCAGGCTGCGCATATTTGATTGGGAGTTACTATAAGCGAGATGAGTTTCTGCGTCGCTATGCAATTTTCTTTAGTGCTAATATGGCAGCCGGCGCGATCAATGGGGTTAGTTCTAGTTGATGATACTCGCTTATATCACTGTTGACTCTAGATACAGCTATTCTCGAGTCTCTTAACGGGATTGAACCTCAGCGGATACGCAGGGTGGCGATGGTAGGTTTTCTTCCTCGTTGAATGTTCCTTCCATCTGACCATCTAGGCTTTTCTTGATCGAAGCCATCATCACCATGGGTATTAGCATCGTTTGCTATTGGATTGTCGTACCGTTTCCGGAAGACGCGGATTTCTTGACGCCCGAGGAGAAGGCGTTACTGCTAGCTCGCCTGGAGGCCGATGGTGGTGGTGTCCGCAATGACCCCATTTCCTTGAAACGGGTATTCAGTATGGCGGCCGACTGGAAGATCTGGATCTGGTAAGCCTTCCTCTCTTACTGTGACTCAATTATCGACCAACTAATCGTACAACAGCGTCCTGGCCTATATCGGTGCCGAAGAAAGCGCTAGTTCTCTGGTGGCATTCCAGCCCACCATCCTCAAGGACCTTGGCTGGACTGCTCGTTCCGCACAAGCGCATGGCATTCCTATCTATGCAGTTGCATTCGTTTTGACTCTTTCTAGTGCCTGGTTGAGTGATTACCTCCGACACCGCTTCCTATTCACTCTCTTCGGCTCGGTTCTGATCATTATCGGATGGAGTGTTCAGCTGGCACACTACCTGCCAGCGGCTGTCCGCTACATGGGCATGTTCTTTGTGGCTTCCGGTGCCTTTATCATGATGTCAATCACGGTGGTATGGTTGTGCATTAACCTCGGCAAGGGGGTCAAGCGCAGTGTGGGTATGGGCTTGCTTCCAGCATTTGGCAATTGCGGTGCCTTTGTGTCCGGGAACGTGTTCATCACCAGCCAGTCCCCCAAATACCCAGTGGGATTCGGCGTTGGGTTAGCTTTTGCAGTCATGGCCGGCGTGGCAAGCACGGTGTACTATTTCGGCTTGCGCGCGGAGAACCGCCGGCGCGACAGCCAGCCCGAGCACGAGTGGACCCCGGAAAGTGCTCAGGATCTCGGAGATGCGCACCCAGATTTTCGGTTTCACCTGTAAGAGATGCTGGATCGTATGAGGGCGCATTGTACCGATACTGGCCCGCGCTAAGTGGGCTGCTTTCATTTAATTTAATCTGCAATACGGGATATTCTACAATGATTACTTGTCTTTACTCCGTACAGCCTAGTCAGTGTTTCGTCGGAGTTGTAGTGTAGCGCGATTTGTTGGTTGGTCTCATATTACGTAGCCCTAAGTGTAGATCCACCCAGACCGAGGTTTTTCATATGCTTAGATTGAACAAGATTTGGCCAGCCGCCAGGAATCGCAACTGACAGTCCTAATTCGTCAACTTGGGAGACGTTTCGCTATCTATTGGTCCGGGGAATCGACCAAAAGCCCACTCTAGGTGGATCTTTTCCACCAGGAACGGACCGGAATAAAACTAAAGAGTCGAGACCCACGCCTGTACTTTTACGCAATGCGACCATCCTATAACATAGCCAGTCCGATTGATGATGGCACCATGAACCATGTCCATAGACTCCATACCCCTGCTCAACTAACGAGTTTTATTTCTAGTGTTTCCTGTGGGCTAGTAAGTTATGGCCAGTGTGCCGATAACCATTTGCGTATCTGCCAGTGGAAGTTAGTTTCATCAATTACCGTGTACCAATTCTACCCGAAGGCGATGTGTGCAGGGATGGAACATACCAGTAATCGACCTATCTAGAGGGAATACCAGGGTCTCGGCTTAGCGGATCCTGCAGCAGGGTTTGCTTCCGGAAAGAGCCCATCGAGTGCACAGGATGTGGCCAGGTCTGGTAGTTTAAGGAGCAGGATTCCTTCCACGAGGGCCGGATCATGATCGTTTCTGAGACTTTTCCCGTCTGGCAGGCTGGCGATTACGTTCCTTAAGTCCCCTTTCACACTCGTTTCTTCCCTTTCTTTTAAACTCATGATTTGTGTTTGTTCTTCCGTCCATTCTTTGCGCAGGGTACTGTGACAGTTGTCCGAGGGAAGCTATGGTGTTGGATCCCTCCGATGTCCCAAATAAAGGACCCCGGTTTGTCAAGGTGACCGCAATCTTGACGGCGATTGCTTTCATATTAGTAGCCTACCGAATAATATGGAAGGTGTACATGAAAAGCAAAATCGCCGCCGATGATATGATCATCTCTTTCTCCATGGTATGTCTTCCGTTGGTCAGTGTTGCTCAATTATACCAACAAAGGCAATAGGTTATACAGATTGTAAATACAGTCATGGGCGACTTGGGTATACTTTCTCTCCAATCAATAATATATCATAACTTCTAAACATGGCCCCCATTTTAGCATGCCACTACGCCTTCGGTCGCCACCGCGCCGATGTAGTTCGAACAGGGGGCAACCGAGTGCTCGCATTGAAGGTGTGATTCATCAAGAAGATAATACACAGTGGTCCCGACTAACCGCATGACTGGGTAGTTCTTCTGGCTTTTTCAGATCTTCTACAAACTTGTTCTATGCCTCAACAAGCTATCCTTCCTCGCTTTCTACCTCCGCCTCTTCCCAACCCCTAAATTCCGCCTTGTCTGCTGGATCACTATCACCCTCGTCCTATCCAGTACCTTCGGATTCGTCATCGCCACCATTTTCCAATGCATCCCCGTTCACGCGAGCTGGCACAAGGACATCCCCAAAACATGCGTGAAAAACGCCGAATTCCGCTGGTCCTGGGCGGGCTACAATACGGCTATGGACATCTGGGTGTGTCTAATGCCTCTCCCGGTTCTGGCGCAGCTACACCTCGACCGTTTCCGTAAAATCGGGGTAATGCTCGTGTTCTGCATGGGCCTTTTCGTCTGCATAACGAGCATTATTCGCATGTGGGCTATGACCGAGAGTACAAAGACGCACGATCCAACATGGGGATCGTTCGATGCGCTGATGTGGAGTGCTATCGAGGCTAGCACGGGTATTATATGCGCATGTCTGCCATTCTTGAAGCACCCGATTCAGAGGATCATTCCTAGTTGGCTTGTTTCGTTGTCGAATGGCTCGAGGAAGACTCGCCCGAGTTATCGGATGAGTCGCCTCGGCTCTCAATCAGGGATGCGGACGGGTGGGCAGAGGGATGAGGATTTCTATGGGGAGGCTGATGCTGAGAGTATGGGTAGTCAGGGGCCGATTGCGAAGGGTCAGATTCTTATGAAGACGGATATTGTCATGCGTAGTGAGCGGGCTTATTCGTGATATGATCTCTATGTTCTTAGAAAAGATCCAAATCAGAAATGTACATTTGCGAAGTACGTTCATGGTGAAATTAGGGTAGAGGTCCTGTGTATCATATGATGCCTTGATGGCCATAATGCCACGGCATATTACTCCCCTTCTACGGCTTCGCAAGGCTTCTTTTTTTCTTATTTTCTCTCGCTGCGTGTATCAGCCGGCTGCTGTGGAGCTTGACCCACTCAGTGCGCGCCCTAAATTAGCTTAATTCCACTGACAGGGATCTTGGCCGAGTACGAGGACACAGAATGAAACATTAATTAAATGGTCATGGCGTGATAGTCCTAGTCAGGTAGTGCTCCGGTGGACTTCCGAAGATTGATTGCGTTCTTCCCGTCTGTCCATTAATCCCTGTTACCGCAACAGCACATACTCCGACAGTCCCAGTACTCCCAGTTACTCGCATAAAGCGACAGTGCTAAGGGATCGTCACGAATATCCTCACCTCAGCTCAGTCCACTTCAAGTATAGCTGCAAAATGGCGGAGGAGAATACTGCAGGAAGTACTATCGTGGCGGATGCCTTTCTGGAGGCTTTGGCAGAGGTACTGCCTATCCCATGTCTTCTCTGGTGAACAGAATCTAAATCATGACAGGCTGGTGTCGACTACCTCTTCACTGTACTTGGCTCCGATCACCCTAGTATCATTGAAGCCTATATCCGCCGCCAAAATGACCCCACCCGCCAGTATCCCAAAATGATCCTATTCCAGCACGAGGTCAGTCCCTGTTTCCTCCACCAGGATCAGCACATGGAACCCCACTGACCGACAACCAGTTCGTGGCCATGTCAGCTGCCGATGGCTACACTAGGATCAGTCACAAACCGGCATGTGTGATTGCCCACGTGGACGTGGGGACTGCTGCCCTGGGCCAGGGCCTGCACAATGCATCTAGCGGTCGTGCCCCTGTCGTAATCTTCGCCGGTGTTGCCCCATCCACGCTGTTGGGTGAGGCTCCGGGTTCTCGTTCAGAGCATGTCCAGTGGTACCAAGATATTCGCGACCAGGCGGCCATCGTGGCGCCCTATAGTCGTTTTAGCGCGGAGATCAAGTCCCCGCATAATGTGGGCAGTGTGGTACATCGCGCTGTCCTGATGGCTACGACTGGGTCCCCAGGTCCGGTGTATCTCACTGCAACTCGGGAAATCCTAGCTACCCCTATCCCCTCTGTGGAGCCCCGGCCAAAGCCCATCCCATCCTGTCATTTGGGGTCCCTGTCTCCGGAGGCCGTGGAGATGATCGGTAACGCACTGCTGGACGCAAAAGCCCCTCTCGTGATCACAGGGTATCTGGGCCGAAGCCACCGCGCAGTTCAGCAGTTAATAACCCTAGCGGACACGGTTCAAGGGATCCGAGTCTTTGACTCCGAGCTGCGCGAGGTCTGCTTCCCAGCAACTCACCCCGCCTGCGTAACCCGTAGCACAGGCGCCGCACCAGCCATCCAATCCGCCGACCTAATCCTCGTCCTAGATGCCGATGTACCCTGGATCCCACGGCGAGTGCACCCCTCCCCAGACGCAGAAATCTACCACATCGACCTCGACCCGCGCAAAGAGCGCATGAACATGTTCGACATCGGCGCCTCCGCAGCCTTCCACGCCGACACAGCATCAGCCCTAACTCAGCTAAACACCTACATAGCCAGCTCCCCCCGCCTCCCAGCCCTCCAGAAGTCCTGGTCCCCGCGAGCTGGAGATCTCCTCGCTGCTCATGAAGAAGGGAAAGCCCGCATCGACGCCCGCGCCGCAACACCCCTCTCCACCCCCAGCGAACCCTGCACCGTCGACTACCTGTGTAGTCGCATCCGCGCCTCCGTCCCCCAGGACACAATCTACATCACAGACTCGGTGACTAACCAAGTCCCCATGACCGAACAGCTTCGACTCACCCGTCCCGGATCTCATCTAACCAAAGGAGGCAGCGGACTGGGCTGGTCCGGCGGCGCTGCCATCGGCGTTTCGCTCGCGACATCCCGATACGATATCTCCGATCGTCCTAACCTGCGCCTTAACGAAACCACCACACCACCTTTCATCTGTAACATCGTGGGCGACGGAAGCTTTGTTTTCTCCGTACCGACGGCAGTATACTGGGCCGCGCATCGGTATCATACTCCGTTCTTGACAGTGATCTTGAATAACGGGGGGTGGAATGCGACCAGGCAGTGTTTAGCCGATGTGCATCCTAGTGGTGTGGCGGCGGGATTGTCGAACCAGGACCTCGGGATCTCGCTGGTGGAAGATGGGCCGGACTATGGAGAGGTGGCTAGGGCAGCTGCTAATGGGAATTTGTGGACGAAGAGGGTGCGCAGTGTCGGGGAGTTGGATGAGGTGCTGAGGGAGGGGATCAGGGTTGTGGTTGAAGAGCGAAAGTCGGTTGTTTTGGACGTTATAATTAGGTAGTAGGGTTGGTCTGGTTTGTTTCCTGTATATACATTGACTCAGTTCATTGAGCATATTTTCGCACCATGCAGATCAAGTTCACCCAGTCACCGTCGCTCCCTCCCCGACCTGTAAACCTACTAGCGTCGAAGTGTATAATACTCTTGTCCTCTTGAGAAGATATCTCTTCAAACCCCTTTCTCTTGTATACCGGGTGTCCCTTCTTCGAGGCCTCAAGGTAGCACTCAATTCCAAGTCTGTCGGCAACATCACAACCCCACTGTGTCAAAAGAGAAGCTGCTCCACGACGCTCATAACGAGGATCAGTAGCCAGCAATGCCAGCACTACGTTGGCAATCAACATCAAGCCGTTTTAGAAGCAGCAGCGCACAGAACTTACAACAATGATCTCTCCCCTCCTCTCCAAAAAACTCTCTCCGTCTTTCCAGTAATTTGCCCTTACAAAATCGAAAGCCTTCCTCGTTTGCTCCAATCGGAATCTCCATACCCTCATCCGTTCTCACAGAAGCGCGCCATTTCGTCAGTCCCTCGTCCCCATGGTAAACATGCCACTTGGCAAACGCAACCATCTCCCCCGAGTCGTCGTCAACAGCTTTCAAAAAATAACAGGTGGGATCTTTATCCCAGTTCTCCGAGACTCGAGATATCTTGTTTGCCCTGCAAGGCGACGCAGATACCTCTTCCGGTGTCCCGTCTATGTTGGGCACATCGCCTGTACTGCGGAAGAAGGCACTGGCTCCCATGGCCATCTGTTGGATGTCGACCATGCGTGGGATGTCGGCTTGGGTAATGGATTCAACGTGTAGTGGCATCGTGCTCCTCGATCTCTTTTATCACTGGGATATGTGTCTGTCTTACGAGGTATGGAGTGTGATATTGCTGTACGGAGGAATAGAGATATGTACTTTCTATTTCTTCTAAATAGTCTTACCTTGGTTGGTATGGTCCATTAAATACTAGTAATAGTAGGTATCCCTCGTATCTGCACGTCGGTGATGCGGGCCAATGGTGTCGTGGTTGAGATAACTCACGGCCGACTCGTCGATTGACAGCCTTATCTTGGATAATTCTGATATTTCGGTGGAATTAAACTTAAAGGCATACCGTTGAGCATTTACAGAGGTCGAATTGAGCGATTGCTGGTCGACGGTGTTGGTTTGAGACTTGGAGATTAACTTGTCTAGGGCTCGCCACGACATATATATTTACGATGCAAAGCGAACAGCAAAGTAAAGCAGCTAGCGTAACCCTTATTTCCTCGAGTAGATACGATATTCTTCCTGTTTGACAGGGTGACGATAGCTAAATTAACTACGGATACACATAAAATGTCCTAAAGCCCGGGATTTTTCAACGTCTCTTTGCAGACTACTCCGGAGTATGGTAAGGTGAAAAGATGAGTAGAAGTTCTTGAAAAGTGCTTTATATACCAGTAACAGAAGCAACCTTTCACCAATTCAAGGTGCTGTAGTGTAGTGGTGATCACGTTTCGTTGTGGTAGTTTCCGCAATTCCGAATCGACCTGGGTTCGATTCCCAGCAGCGCCAAATGGCGTCTGTACTTGATTGGTCTTTCTTTTTGCTTTCTTTCTTTTTTTTCTCCATATTTTCCTATGAGTCCAGTAGTTGAAATTGCATACAAATGGACTTGTTCCTGTTCTGGAGATCTTCATCATGGTGTGTTTAGCCATGGTCGGTTCTTCATGCCAAGCACTAGATCAACCATAGCTTGCAACTGCATGAAATTATAATACGTGATTGATATCATAGTGGACGAGAGTAGAGTAGAAGACACTGCTAAAATAACTGGCCGGGGAGGGTTGCACAGATGGCAGGTTGCTTATGGAGAGGAGATAATAAGATAGATAATCAGTCGGAATAACCGCCAGAGTAGTCTAAGCATACCTTATACTGGCTTGAGATCGTTTAGATGCTAGTCCGATTAGATTAGGAGAGATAGTACAAAAGGAGATAGATTTATCCAACACAGTGAATTAAGCCCATTTGACACTATGGAATCAACGGCCCTTCCCTACAATACCCAGATACGCTATTTTGAAGCCTTGCACGGCTCGAATGATCAGGAGGCGTGGCAGTCAATTTCCTGAGCATGTATGACGGCGGCCTCCAACGCCGATACCTTTTCGGTTTGTTCATAATCCCGGTGAAACTGGGACACCAGTTTGCTCATGACCTTGGGCCACTCTGCATCCTCGCGTGGCACTGCGGCTGCAACGGCTTCGGTCTCCTCAACCCTCTTCTTGCTTTCCTCCAGCTCCAGTTGCTGGTATATTTCCTCAATGGTGACATGAGGATCTTTGCCATCCTCCGCCCTGCTGAAAATCTGCCGAACCAAGACTCCGGCCAGTCGCTTGACATCGCGCGCGTTGGCCCAGCACTCCATCTTTCTTAGTCTGGAGAAGGCACCCGTTACTTTGGCAACGCCGCCACTTTCTTCTATAATCTGGATATCCACGGACGCCAGTTCCCTCTGCAGTAGTCGCCAACAATCACCCGCTGACAGAGGTTGGAAGACAACGTCGGTGGGAAACCGGCTGCGTAGCCCCCGGTTCACCTGCATCAGCTCCACCATCTCGCGGTTGTACCCTGCGAGCACCACGATAAGTTTCTGGGCATACCGCGTCTTGGTAAGCCCATCCACCAGCTCATCAACCGCCTGCTTCTCGTGTTCACCCGCCGCTAGCCGATATGCCTCGTCGATGAACAGCACCTTACCCAGCGCCTGTTCCAAGAGGTCAACCACCTGCTTTCCTGTCTGTCCCTGGTACGATGCGATCAGGTCGCTAACCGAGCACTCGATCACCTCCGCTGCCGACAGAAAGCCCATATCATAAAAGATCTGGCCCACCTTGCGCGCCGTGGATGTTTTGCCTGTGCCCGGGGGGCCCCGAAAGACAAAGGTAAACGGGATATACGGACGGGGATTGACGTCTCTCCGCCGCATGCTAGCGACCGCCTTCTGGTATTCTTGCATCTGGACGATGATCTCCTCCACCCCGACCAGGTCCTGAAAACGGGATTCACACTCGGCTGCGGCCTGCAGATGCCGACGGTGATGCAGGTCAAAGTCCTCTGGCTCGAGCACAACATCTATCGGGCTCTCTAGCATTGGCGTGATTGCACGCTTCCCGTACGCCTCCGTGGCGTGGCTGAGGAGATTCTCAACGTCTCCGCCATTCCCAAAGTTCGGTCGCTCGGACGCTTTTTCTAGCATCTGCATCGCAACTTTCCGGGCCTCGTCCGTCACCTGTAAGCCTTGGTTGTTCAACTTCAGGTCTAGAATCTGGCCGAGTTGCTCCACGGTGTAGTTTGTGAAATGAAACGCATCGGCCAGGGCAAACCGTCGAGCTAGCCCGGGATTGCTCTTCCGGAACATTTCCTGCATCTCTTCCTCGTATCCCAGAAGAATCACACACCGGTCGTTCCCAGGGGTGTTATCAAGCTCGGCGACCAATGTGTCGATCACTGCAACTCGGAATTCGTCCGGCTGAATATGTGCGCCAGCCCTCGCCCCGGAGTATAACATGTATGCATCATCGATTATTAATACCTTACCCTTCGTCTCCTTCAGGATTTTCTTAGTTCTGTGCTCGGAATGTCCGATATAGCCAGCAATAAAATCTGACGGGTTCTTGACAACAACCTCTGCGCTTGATATCAGCCCGAGATCGGCCAGGATTTGCCCATAGAGCGTGGCAACCGTGGTCTTTCCTGTGCCCGGCGGCCCCAGGAACACGCGGTTCAGGCTGGACTGCAGCGGCACATAACCTTGCTGCAGGCGGTGGTAGTTCCAGGTCGCACGATCAAACAGGAGCTGTACGGACGACTTGACGGCCTCCATCCCGATCATAGCCTGGAGCTTGGTCCATGCTGGGCTTTCGCGATGGGCCTTGGCCGGATCGGGGCCGATGAGATCCTCTCTGGTGAGCAACAGACAGTCCGGGTGTTTCCCCTCGCTCTGTTCCTGGTGGATGCGCTCTGTCTGGCGATCCAGTGCTCTATTCCATGCTTCCTTCAAGGCATAGATATTGCGAAATCCTGACCCGCGCGCACTGCCCACAAGACGTACCATCATCCACATGTATTTCCCATTTGGTCCTCCCTCAACCTTCCACTGCGTGCCGGCGATTATCCCTACCATGATCCGCTGCAGCTCATCATCAGAGTAGTCCGGTAGATTGAGTGCGATCTTGAGATCGTGGGTCTGGTCCCTGGTATAGCAAGAGGCGTAACCAGCGCGCGCAGTTCTGACAGAAACCCGTGGTACAAGCGTTCCAATATTGATCTTCCTGCTCAAGTAAGAATCATATCTATTGCGAGAATATGGGCTGCACACCTATTCCGCTGTTACCCACGATGGCTATAGCCAGGTCGTCGCTCGGCAGCTCCTTTTTCTGCCTCTTCGCTATCTGCACTATAGCCCGCATCCGAAGAAAAAATGCCTTGGCATCTTCCAGTCCCACCATCTGCATAAGTTTGTCCAGATATTTACTCTGGGCGCCTTCGGTACGCTTTAGTCGGATCCATTCCAGCCGGGATGGGGAATTGTCCTTTACCCTTTCGACAGGATCGTCCGGTGCTGATAGTTCTAGTAGTAGAGGGGATAGTGCCTTGCAGAGGTTGTGAAACTCGATAGCATAATCGCGATATTCCGGAATCGATTCCAGTAGCAGAGGAGACAACGCCCTGCAGAGACCGCGAAACTCGATCTCGCTGGATTTCCAGTGGCAGCTTGTCTGCCTTCCCTGCCCGGAGTCTTTCGTCATCGCCGCGAGCCAGGAAAGTAGACCAACTAAAGATAAAAGGGTGCGCAATAAAACTGGTAATCAGGATGCAGTGGGTACACTGTTTCCTATAGTCAGGAAGAGTACTACCTATATTTAAGCTATGTTTAGTTCAGAAAAGCGGTGTCCACGTCTAAGGGGCATTACATGCCTAACAGGCAGCAGCTCCCCCCTCGCCTTCCACATTCTTATGCCGTCTGGCAGTATCAAATCTCTAGCTCTTTCGGGCCCGCATATTCTCACTGTTCAGTGATTGTGATTGCCAGACCGCATTGCAGAAGTCGCTCACCACTTGTTAATGCGCTGTTGTTCGCCTCGTTGGGTGGTTTCTACGCCTGTGATCTTCCCAGCCTCATACACTGTCCGCAGCTAGAGTACCGAATTCTGCCCCGCACAGTCATCGAGGAGCTGTTAGAGGTTACTTAACTGAGCCATACATTCAATATTGTGCAGTTGGCAGGTTGATTTTGCATTCATTGGTGAACTAATACAAGATCGCGCGGCTTTAGCCTTCGGTTGGCTGATCCGCAGAATCGGCTCCTACTAGCCTTGCAGATTAGTAAAACTTAGTGTTGCTGCTTATAATCTATCTGTAACACATTCTGAGCTGTATTGTTACAATTATGCCCCCCAGCCAGCTGGCTGTGGGTCTCTTGTATGGAAAGCCATCTATTATCAGATCTTAGAGTTGAGCCTCTTGAGGTACGGCTTGAGAGAAGAAACCACCTCGAAGAGGAATAGAAACAATACTACAGTGTACAAACCTTATGAATCTTGCTAAATTAAGGATAGATGTAGAAATGCAACTATTATCTCAGAAGAATAATATCTATACGGTGTATACCTCAGGGCTCCACGTTCAAGTAGATCTCCCTAGTCCCACTAGTGGGACCAGAGTTCTAGCAACCTAGTGTAGACCCTAAATAATGAAGGAACAAACAAGAAGCGTAGGCTCAAGCTATTTTGACCGTCTTAGACTTTGCCAAGCACAAGTGGGTTAGTTCTAACTCTCGCTGTAGGTCTTATCAAGGCGATCCCTGTGCATAATTATGACAGCGGTTGCATTGTTTCAGGCAGCCATGCTGTACAACTGCCCGTCCTGAGTGTGTACCTGGCTTCCTTGCTCTGCCGATCGCAGAGTTGCCTAGATCCCTTTCCACCAGCCAGTTCCCGAGAATAATAGGTAGTACTCGAGGCTCTAGTGTCTGAATGAGAGTGACAGAGCTTGTGGCACCTAGTTTTCCGACCAGCCTCTAGCCCTCTGCATGTGGAGAGCCCCGATCAACGTGTACCTTCCTTCTTGACAAAGAAAAACCTCGCAAGTATCAGGGCCAGAACGATCGAGTTATTCTCGATAACATCAAAGCCCACAAAATGAATACCCAGCAGCTTTCCTTCAACCCCATCCAATACATTCCAGCCCAAGACAAGCAGTCAATCGCCAATTTGTCCATCTCATCCCTCCTCGCCGTCGCCCACGAGCCCCTCCCCCAGGGGGCAACCACTGGAGCATCTACCTCACCTGCGAAACAGGCTACGTCCGCTTAGACATGGCGCCCTCCTACACCATCCCCGTTACAGTGAGTCCCGGCGGCTCTAAGGGAATTCTCATCGTCAGCCGCGTGGATGACCTCCGCTTACGCACGGCAACTAAAACAGTACGACTTGATGTCCGGGAAGGTCTGAAGGTCATAGATTTTGTCCATCTGCTTGTGAGAGAGAAACGGCATCTCTACGAGTTCAACAATGCGGGACAGGGGTGTAGATTCTGGGTGCATCATCAGATAGGTCTTTTCTGGGATGAGGGTTTGGCAGTGAGTGGTGCGCAGGTGGAGGAGGCGAGAAGTGCCATTCTAGTGATGTATCCTCAGATGGTGGGGTATAGTCTTGTTGTTGGAGACTATTATTCTTGATCTTTTTTTATTTTCATTTATCGGGTTGGTCAGTACCATGTCGGCTACTGTATATTTTTTCCTTATATACATGTTGAAGTCGCAAGGCGTCTCGTGACCAGCTACACAATGGCCCTAAGGCATTGGATGAAATACTCGTCTTTAAGCCTTTCAATGCCGCCATAACCCCTACCAGTGTACCTGTGATCCTCCATCGATTAAACATCTTCCACCTTTTAGACCCGTATAGCGGCTGATCATAATAGTTGCTATGTTGCGCAGCTTGCGTCAGAATGAGCATAATCTGCCGCAAGGTGAGCTCCTCATAAATTACATCGAATGGGTACCTCGGGATTTCCCAGCGTGCCTTCTCTAAGCGGACCTCTCTTGGAGCAGGCAAAGATGGCAAGCAACTTTCCAGCAGTTTTGCTGCTTGTAGGATGCTTTCTTCATCTTTTGTGTCTGCGAGTACCCCTCGCGTGAATCCCATGACAGGTTGATCAGACTCGTCTTCTGCGTTTCGTTTGTGTTCAATCAGCACGATATTGGTTCCTTCCATCAGAAACAGTTCGTCTCCCTCATTGAGCTTCGTGGCCGTCAGGCAGCTGTCATAAGGCCCCAAGGACAACAGGGGACCGCAGTTATGGGCAGCCAGACTACACTGTATCGCGTCTACCACAAACTCTGAAATGGCCTTTCCACGTAACTCTTGTTGAAGGTGCTCACCCAGTTCAAAGGTGGGGTGTTTCTGTTTCTGCATCTTGCTCTGGGATTTACACCAGTCGCATACCGATGATTGAGAGTTCGCATGTCGAATGTGTCCAAGATGTGTGAGCCCGACTTCGAAACCGAGATCACAGATTGTGTCCGGAATGCCGACGTCCCATGCACAGTCATGGACATGGTGCAGTTGTAGGATATTAAAAATATTTAGTGCAGTATCATTCAATGGAAGGATGTATGGCATGTTACTGAGCAGCCGGACGAACAGATTGACTGTCGTCGCGGAATAATCGGCCATAATCCTAAGGCCCCGACTGTCCTCTGGCATTCTGGCGAGCCCAAGCAGGCCATACACACGATCGCGGACATCTCGACATTGAGCTTTCCCAAACTTGACCACGATTTTGTCTATCGTCTCGTTAAAGATGCTGTCCTCTCTATCTTTCCTGTTTAAATAGCTGAGCAATTTCCTTGTATGCAACCCCATGGACGAACTGCCAAGTTGTATATCCATTCCAGTGAACCCCCCGAGAACAAATTCTCCTTTGGCGGCAGTTGTTAGCCTTCTGAACGACGACCAAGGCGCAGATTTGGAACCACAGAAGATGACCGCATCCCGTGCAAGGAATAGCTCTTGGATAATCCAAAGCCTTGTCCAGTAAGAACGCTGGTACAGCATATCAAGCGCCTTTCCGCTGGAGCCCTGCAGGTCTATTTCTTCTTGCTTTGCCTCTGCACATATGTCGAAAATGAGATCAGACCCAGCGGCTCCAGGTCCCAGCCAGACTAGAACCTGCTGGGCCTGACGATATAAATCGCCCATGTGCTGCACTTGGAAATTGCGCTCAGGAATGTCTTCTTGATTTATGCAGATCGCGTCCGCGAAGAACGGGGTACTGCGCTGCTCACTGCCAGCCAGAATCCTCAGAAAGCGATGTAAGTTGTCGCGGATGAGGAATGGACGATTGTTGATGAATATTGTTCGATCTGCCCTGCCATCCCCCCACTCATAGGAGAGAGCATTGTATACCGGTTCGCCTGAGCATTTGTACACTCCTAAGCTAAGTCTGATAGACTCCGTTGATGCCGTGTCTTCGAACTTCAGAAGCCGAATATGGTGTGCGTCTGTTGGAAGCACCGTGTGGGCAAACGCTGAAGTATCAGAAGTCATAGGGGTCTGCTCTAGTTGAATGTGAAACCGAATATGTGTATAGAAGAGTACAGAGGGTTTGTGTGTCAAGAGTGGGCGTAAAGTTTCCGTGTGAACAGGGTGTGGCTAAGATAAATAGGCCAGTTGTCCAGCGGGGCTATGCACGCGGGGCTGTGGATCCCACGGTGGCTGGCCGCTTATTCTCACATACATTTATTTACTAGTAACTTTCCTTTGGTCGATCAAGAGGCTTATAATATCCCAAAAGGGTGATGCCATCAAGCTCAAGCTATAACTTATTAGGCAACGATCTTCTCATTCCGTTGCTTGCCTATACTGGCACGGCATGCGGATAGGCATTTTCCTATTCGATGAAAGGCTAGCCACGTATTATGAGAAAGTCTGAAGCTCACACACTGTATCCCGTGAATGCTAGTATTCAGGCCATGGCCAGGAATAATGATGCCAGTTGGGACGCATGACAATGCATAACCTGCTTGAACCTGACCATACCTTGTATGAGGCTCGGAACAGTCTCCATCAACACCTTAAATAATTAAGTGAAAGCAGGACAATCCATGTTTTGGAAGTGACATTTGCCTGCCTCACAAAAGAAGAAGAGTCGAGATTCGAAAGAGAGTTGACAACTTACTAAGCAGTCCCATAAAACTCTTAAGAGATGACACAGAATGATGCATAGATCTAATCATCAACGAGTCAGAGTCTTCCTCTGAAACCCCGTCAGACTCGTTCTATCCTCCACCATTTCACTACAATCATAGAAACTCTTATGGCGACTGAGCAACACTCGTACAAAAGCTACCGTCGGATCGGGTCAGGATTCTGTGGCACTGTCTGGGCTAGAAGGCTCGAAGGCCCTGCAATCAAACGAGAGGATGGAGGACCATACCGATCACTAGCAAATGACTTTGCGATGCACAATCGAACACTTGAGGCTTTTCAAAAATTGTCATCGATTAAGAGCAGCATTCAGGATCAGCCCATACGGCCTCAAGTTTGCATTCCACAATGTCACACCTACCTGACACTGCAAGACACCTGGTGGGAAGAGAATACCACCAATTTCCCACTGGGATACTCACCCTGCAATGCCATCTCCTCCGAACGCATCCCACCATTTCCAGACGATGTAAGGGCACTTCTTGTGGAGAGATACTGCCCTCCAGAAATCAGAAACCAAATAATGTGTAGCGAAAGCAACCGGGCCTGCCTAATCAGACCATATATTGGCCGCAATCGAACCTACAAAACGGCAATGAACGTGAGGTCGAGATTCAGTGGTTTTTCGCTGCAGAACTATCCGCTCCATTTGGACCAGATGGTGGAACTGGGGATTCCTTCAAACCACGTTGAATGCTATGCTGCCATGATGGGGGAAGCATTAGCTACGCTGCACTGGCTGGGCGAGATCGATGGGAACGACGTCGAATTTGTCCTCGCTCCACCACCAAAACGGGACGATGGCAGCACCATTGTCATGAGGAATGTGTTGGGACAGCACACCATGTGGATGCTGGATTTTGATCTTTGTTGCTCTATTTCTATGGATTTAGAAGGCGTCAAGCAAGTTGTCAATGCATTTTGCAAAAATGATCCCTTCTACCCGCGGCCGCACACAGACCAGTGGGCTGCTTTTCGCCAGCAGTACTTGCAGACCTCTGTGGATTTGATACAAAGTTTTCATGAGGATGAGGCAGAGACTCGGATTGGCCTTTGCAGAAAGTTCATAGAATTGTTGGAGACCAAGTAGGACTGGACACTGCGATTTGCAGTGAATACAGGTGGGGGATGTGTTACTGCTAAGCAAGATATTACTCCTTATCCTCACCTTGAACAGTATCGACGGCCTTTCCATCCGTGAAATAGCCATATGCACGTCACTATTATGTCCCAGTTTGTCCACGGCTGGAAAACCAATGAAGTAATAATGAACGGACCAAAGCTTGACTAGACCATCACATTATACCTGTTAACAAAACTTCAGAAACCGACGACTAGTGTTTCACTCAAAAGAGACCTCTGTTGTCGTATCAGCTCATTCCAAGATGAAGAATATCACAGCATCATATCTGATTGCCATACTATCCTTGGCGGCCTTTGCTTATACCAGTCCGGATGACGATCTACCCAACTGCGGATATGTTGTTTTCGTCTGCGCAAAAATGTTTAGCTCGTATAATGCCTTTCATGAATGCGTTCGCGACGAGCGAGGATGCTCCTGGCGTGACTGAATAGTATGTCTTCTTGCCTCATAGACTGCACCTGTTCTATTGTTGACAGAGAGTGCCTTAACTAGCGTTTTATTCCTACCTATCGTTGGTCCAGTTACTTGAAGACTGCGAACTGAATGTTATTATATCATTGAAGGGGATACTGAGATGGAAGATGGGAAGACAAATGGTGGTGTTCTCTATGGTGGCTAGCAGGCAAGAACGATCAACCTCCAATATAACGCGTTCAATGGTCTTGAATATTATATTCCTATGCATGCAAGTTTCAATCGACGATGACATAATGTGTAGTCTTTTCACGTCATTAGGCATATAAACGTAAATGACTTGGAGTAAGCACGTCCTTCGAAGAAAAGCTGTAATACGCATATGACTCGGGGTCATCCACATATCTCTCGTCTCCGTGCCCAATTCCACTTTCACCTGCACCGTGCTGTGTAACAGATATGATATGCACTAATCTCATTAACTATATCCTTCAACATGTCCCTCTATACTTGGTTCACTGGCAGGAACGCGCATGGAAGACCCGTTGTTTTCAACACTTTGTGGGGCGGCGGGGGAGATACATCGGGAGTTAAAGGAGAGTCTGCTATATCTTGCTAAGGCTTGTAAATTGTTAGTTTGGGTCAGGATTAGCTGTTGTTGATGTTGACGTCTTTCAAATTATTAAATATGGACATAGTACGACCACGCTGTCTGAATCTAGTTATTAACCCAGTCCCTTTGCAAATGTCAGACGCTTCTAATGTAGTAATTCTATATGTTCATCCAAAGGACACGGTATTCACTAGCTACCAGCAGATGTCATACAGCACTTTGCACATTCCCCTTCTCCTGCGATGGAGGCGTGTTCTTCTGCAACCCCCATTCACCCTCCCCGATCCGTGCCCCATAAAATTTAACCAATAGCCCGACCGTAACCGGACCGATAATCGTGTTCAACAAGATCGCCCATACACCGGTAATGAACCCCTCCTCGCTCACGTACTCTGTGGAGTTGTAACCAATCTCGATAATCAACAGACCAATCTCGCCGCGCGCAACCATCGCAGAACCAAGTAATAAGGCCGATAACATTGTTGCATTATCCTTGGGAGTCTCAACTGGTGCGTCCGGAGCCGTGGGAGACTCCTTAGCCTCTTTCCCGGTCTTGGATTTGGTCCCTGGCAAGTATTTCCATATAGGGATCCATATTCCCACGACAAACTAGACCCGTTAGCCAATACTATCTGATGAATGGAAGAAAGAAACCCACCTTTGCGACGACCATTAGAAGCGTGTACAATATCCCCCTCCAAATGCGCTTCCCCGTCCACAGCTCCACAAACGGAATGGCGAATCCAATGCTAGCAAAGAATAGAGGTTCCATCAGATACGTCTGCACGCCTAGAAGATAGGCCTCGAAGGTATGAACGAAGGTCGGGCTTTTATCCTCATTTTGCTCGCCTTCTTCGCGACTCATGACCACGAATGGGCCATCGGGACGCTTGCTTGGCAGATAGGAGAGAAAGGTGCCGGCGAGAAAGGCGCCAAAGAGGACCGATGTGCCCGTGTACGCAGCGATGGAGATAAATGCGCATAGGACCAGCGTCATTAATATGATGTTAGAGATGTGGTCGAAGCGGGCGAAGTGGAACTCGATGTATTTTCGGAATATCGGCGCAAAGAGAAACTTCGTCACGACGGGCGTGAGAATGGCCATTGCCACCGAGGCTACAATAGGGCGACCTATGATCCAGCCGAGGTTGGCGTCGCTGTTGGAGAGTTTACCCAGGTCGGAGATGATGCTGTTGGTTTCGGGGTGAGTTTGGGTCGGATTTTCGAAATTTGGGGCACTGACCTGGAAAGCACGAGACCAACTACATCGTCAATGACGGCCGCGCTTACGAGAACTGAGCCCACGCGGGTCTGCGCGAGATCTACTGTTTTCGAAGCTGATGAGATTACCGCGAATGTGGTGCCTGACCAGTTTGTTAGATCGCAAGGGTAAGTTAGGGCTTGGCTGCGGATGCTTACCCAAAGAGGTGGCGGAAAGTGCCGCCCCAATGATGAACGTCTCGACCGCACCTGATTGACGTTAGATCTTATTCATAAACAGCATGGAAGATAATACCATATCCATATCCCAAGTATAGCAGAAGATAAGAAAGCCCGATAGGAAAACACACCCCTGTGGCGGCGCCGATCGTGCTCACCACCAGATTTTCCTTCAGAAGATCGAGCCGGGCGCCAAGGCCGCCTGGAGATGATTGACGTCAACACCGACAGACGCTGCAGAACTTTCAAGCCACCAACCTTCAAATATAATCAGGATCAAGCCAACATATCCAAGCGCTAGGAAAGTCTGTTGCCAGTCCCATTCAAGGATATTTGCCAGCGGTACACCGTATATAATGCCAACTGCAATCTGTCCAATGATCCCAGCGCGGAGAACTTTGGCGGAGACCCATTCCGCCAAGGAGAGGAAGAAAAAGAATGAGATGATAATCAGGATTTCAACAACTAAACGAGTGAGCTTTGCGATCGTGCGTAGTACTAGGGACGAATATCCAATGGTTCATACTTACTACCGGGCTCATGGTACGGGAGGAAGCCACCTGCCATTATGTATGAGCGGACTAGGGCGGAGCATGGAAGCAGGAATAATCTCCAGCTGGAGAGGCGAAGGGCCCATCAAATAGTGAATTTCTCAAGTACAGATATCCCAAGCACAGTATTGGCATTAGCTAAGATTTCTCTTGGGTATCAGTCAAGAAGGCGAAGATGGTGAAAGGTGGAGTAAGGCCAAGAGACTAAGTCTTGGTTCTTCATGAAGACCCTGAAAGAATGGGTGCAACGGTCTGGACCCATGTGATATGGCCTTTAGTTTGTGGGGACTTCGTGGGATATGGCATAAGGCCGACGCTAGAATCAGTAACTGTGGAGCATATCCAGACTTTGCCCGAGCTAATTTATAAGCTCAGGTGGCTGCGATGCTTGTCGTGATCCATCTCCTGAAGAAGCCGAGAACCACCATTTCATATTGTGCAGGTGATACTAGAGTGCCTTTTCTGTTAGAACATCACTTTTCACCTCCAATCCTTTTGCTTTCTTTCGTGGCTTGTATGCTCATGTGTATCGTGGTGGGAGAGAAGTGATTCGGCATATCCGCCCAAAAAGTCTATGATCCACCCTCGGATGATCATTAATGTCTGAGTCTCCACTGCTGCGCTGTATGCAGTAGTCGAAGCGAAATGACCAGTCCAGTTGTAACCTTACAGATCTGTGTTTAGCTTCACCATGATATTGGCGTACTTGTCGAGGATGCCGGAACATCTGCAAGCTAGTCAAACAGCCAAGCATCTCAAGGATATGTGGCAACATAGTTCCAGTTGTGTGCCTATAATCTCCTGAAATTAGCACTAAGCAAAGATGGATTGGGTGACCTGGTCTCTAGATACAGGCCAATGAGCGCAAGGACTAATGGATGAAAGAGAACAATGAGGATTGACTATACAAGCACTACAGGCATTTGGCCCTCAACACGTATGGAAATACACACCGTTCGCCCCGGTAGAGCCCAGTATCATCTCGTATTGCCCTTTATTCCACCCCGAATATGGGATTCAGCATCTTGAGTGAATTACACGCCTGAACAAAGCGCCCTGAATTGGCGTTATATACCAGTTGCATCATTTTTTCTTTGGCAGATTATAGTCAAAATGATACAAAACAATGAGTTGGGGTGAACCAAGAATAATGGGCATTACTCCCAACCAAGCACCCTGAGGTTGCCGAAGGCTTTGTTAAATTTGTACAACGTTTTCACATACATTGTAGTCTCCTGTTCTTTGCGCAAATTCCCTTTCATATTTGACCCGGTCAAGGCTATGTGATAATTGTGGCCTAGCAGACTTTCCCGTCTTGAATCGGACTATCTGCAAAGTCCCTGGTGATCTCCCGAGATATAACAAGATATAAATGTCCATCTATCTCATACAGCAGTTGATAGTAACTCTCACAAATTCTATCGGAGGAACCAAGTGCTAGTGTCCAAAGGCCAATAGTCTACCACAATCACCCAGAAATAGTACACCTGCCAAAGACAAAACATTCCTTGCTCCAATGGCTCAACCACCAGCCGTATCAGATAATTATATGGCGCAGTTGCACACGAACCGAAGTCGCAAAAAGCGCTTGAAAATTGCGGCCTTTGTTCTCCTAGGACTGCTTCTCATTATGGCCTTCGTACTCATCATCTTAAGTGCCACCGGGGTTTGGGTTGTTGGTTCGACGAAGACAAAACCAAGGACGCCTAGATAGCTTTTTGCACATCGGCGATGCTTGAAATAGCCCTTTTATGTGGCAGGGGTGTGCGAATATGGAGCGGTTTTTTTTCGTTGAATGGTTAGTGGTTGATCAGTTATATGCCCACTACTTCCTTGAGACAACGTGGAGGTCACTATACCGCTAACCATTTATCGGTTCTCTTGCCCCTTCGTCAGTGCATTTAACTTTGTCGTATTTTTGCTCTTTTTGTACCTTGTCGTTCCTTGTTGTAATATAAGTAAGACTCTTTGAAATACGAAGCAGTTAAATGCGCTGGTGATGAAATCAGCAGGAAAGATGGCTGCTTTTGGTGTGTCATCTCAATCTACTGAGTAATATACCGGGAAGTCTCTCGCTAAGCACACATACTTTTGCGAACCTTGTATGTACGTGATGGATAGAAAGCTACAAGATCGTACCCTGAAATGTACCTGGCACTGTTTTTAAAAGCCCAGCCCTTCAAAGGGTCGTTAATCACATCATTAAGAATAGCTTTATCTATTCGCGTGGCATATCGTCAACTCCTCCCGGTTTTCATGAAGTTTATCCTAGAATCCTGATGTGATGTCAAGATCCGACAGGTTCAGGAAAAGAACAATTGTCAGACAGGATAAATATCCCAACAACTTGCATTTCAAAAATAGCCAGAAAAGCTATAAAGGGCTTGTTCACCGGGTTTCTCTCATACACCGACAGCTCCCAGGAACCTTCAGTAAATAGGGAATGATCCTAGACCAACATCTCACCAATCCAGTTACAGTCACTTCCATATATCCACATCCCTAAGAATCTATCGTCTGGGGTCTCCGACCCCAACGAAGTCGATCAAACGTGGAAAGGAATCTTTTTGAATAGCTCCGGTCCCTGCGCAATGACGGAAAAATCTGGTCTCGACACAATGACTTCAACCGAAGATAATTACATGGGCAAGCGAGACCCCGACCCAACCCCGACCTCTCATTGGCCTTGTAACAGCTACTTCGAACAAGTAAAACCGGTGAATAAGACAAGTAAGGGAGAGCTACCTTCTCCCAGAGAGAACAGACAAGACCATCCCCACGCAATCTACTTCCTCGAAATAGCCCAGAGCTCAAAGATCACGAACAGGGCCTTTTTCGACCACAATGGACGGATTCTCCGCAGTGTGGACGGCGGAAAGAATGTCACTGCACTAGTATCTGGTCTTAAAAGTCCCGATGGTCTTGACGTATCGCAGTCCACCGGCCGCATGTTTTGGACGAGTATGGGACTTAGCACATCTAAACAAGACGGCTCGGTACTGTCTGCAAATCTCGATGGCAGCGATATAAGAACTGTCATTCCCGAGGGTTCCGTGCACACACCCAAACAACTGGCTGTCGACGATCGGAATCGGAAGCTCTACATTTGCGATCGTGAGGGCATGAGTGTTCACCGTTGTAATTTCGATGGCCAACACCACGAAATCCTGGTTCTCCGCGGAGATTGCAAGAGCAGCGACAAGGAGGATCAAATGCGGTGGTGTGTGGGGATAACCTTGGATCTCGAGAACGGGAAGTTCTATTGGACACAGAAAGGAACGAACAGAGGATACAAAGGGCGCATTTTCCGTGCGAATATCAATATGCCATTTGGGGAAAATGCCCTCTGTCGATCAGATATTGAGACATTGTTCGTGGGTCTCCCCGAGCCCATTGACCTGGACTTTGTGTCTGAGACGCAGACACTTTACTGGACAGACCGGGGCGAAGATCCGTATGGTAATACACTGAATAAGGCGAGAGTTGGGGATGAGAACCCTCAGGTGCATATTCTAGCACGGCAGTTGCATCAGGCTATTGGATTAAAGGTTGATTCAATCAACCAGTATGTCTATGTCACTGACTTGGGCGGTAGTGTGTATCGAGTCAGTGTGGATGGGGGTGGAAAGGAGGTTATACATCGTGGGGATGGATTTTACACTGGCATCACTTTTGTGTAAGGTTGCTGTCATCAGTGTAATTGAACTTCCAGAGAGCGTATCTGGCAAGGTGTTGGATATGTGAGTTGAAATAACGAGCATTGGGTAGAAGTAGCCTCTCGGCATCTCATCCGCGGATGCCGCGGACCTACCCGCGGGGCTCGTAGACCAAGTCCTCGGCATGCCGGCCATTTTCCACGGGCCCGCGGTATTGATAGATGGACCATGTATATGCCTCAGTTCGGTCGGAAATTCAACTGTGTTGAATAATCAACAACCAGACCTATGGAAATTGTAGGAACTCTGGTTTTTGGAACCGGGTTGCTGAGTTTCAGTAGTGGCATTGGATATATATTTAGCACCCTCCCGAGCTTGACCATCCACCAACGTCACAATCTTTATATACATACACCAACCATTCCATTACTCATCGTCATCCCTAATACCAAGTGATTATACGTTACTTCCAAGATGTCCATTGCAGGCAAGAACGTGATTAAAACAGTTGCCACTATCGGCACCGGCGTTATAGGAGCCAGCTGGACTGCTCTATTTCTGGCTCGAGGGCTCAAGGTCCTAGTGACGGATCCTGCTCCGAACGCAGAGAAGAACCTCAAGACATATTTGCAAGCGCAATGGCCAACACTTACTCGAATTGGGCTCAGCGAAGGGGCTTCCCTAAAAAATTACACCTTTGTGAATTCACTGGATAATCATTTCGACGAGATTGATTTCATCCAAGAGGTACCGCCTACTTGTACACATACTGTCCACGATTCTACTAACCGTAATAAAGAATGGCCCCGAGCGGGTAGAATTCAAACGCACCCTGTTCGCCTACCTAGACGAAAAAGCACGCCCAGAGGTCATCATCGCATCTTCGTCGTCTGGAATCCCATCTTCCGAATATGTGTCAGCGTGCCGTCATCACCCTGAGCGGGTCCTGGTCGGGCATCCTTTCAACCCACCACATTTAATTCCTCTCGTGGAGGTCGTGCCACATGCAGCTACAAATCGGGAGACTGTTGTCCCACGAGCTATGGACTTCTACAAAAGTCTGGGAAAGAAGCCAGTGCTTATTCAGAAAGAGATCCCCGGGTTCATCGTCAACAGGCTCCAAGCTGCCATATTGATGGAAGCATATAGCTTGGTGAGCAGAGGTATTATTTCAGCAGCAGACTTAGGTAAGATGCTATAACCCCCCTAGCTTTCTTGACAGATAGTCTCGTTGATATAACGCTAACTCTAATGAAATTGTAAAGATACCACAATGACGTCTTCTCTTGGTCTACGGTGGGCGCTCAATGGTCCTTTTGCCCTGAACGCTATGGCGGGCAATGGGAGTTTTCAGCACTTCTTGGAGCATCTTGGCCCGGCTGCTAAATCGTGGCATGATGACATGCGTAACATACGTTTGAAATGACGCCCCAAGCAATTCAGGATTTAAGCAAAACAGTGGAACCGATGGTGCAGGCAACTGATTTGGATGCTTTGCAGAAAGAGAGAGATGATGTACTCTTGAAACTTATGGACATGAAAACGAAGTCATCTTTGCTAGAATAGACTTAAGCGAGTCAATTAGATTGGTTGGCAGAAGATCGTTATGTATTATAGAAATTAATTCATGCGGATAAACCGACTTTGTACAGTTGCAATTTCGGGTAGGAGGGAATCGTGTCGTGTTGCTGCCAAGGAAGTGAAATCAGAGCCATATTACCTCTTCCTTGAACCCTTGATGCACAGCACATACCTCTGCAATTCTAGCCTCGCTCGATTCAAGGGGTCTGAGTGTCGGAACATAGCGTAGTTCAAGACTAAAGCCGCCAGGGATACATAAACTAGATGAGATAGAAGGCCCCCAGGCAATGACACCCCGAGATATGAACATGCAACAAGCACAAGTACTTCCTAAGAGGGTTAGCAAATTCCTAATCTCTTGGTGTCGCTCAGTCAACTTCGCAGGTGAGTGGAAATAGGACTGTCGAACATTCCGCAACGCCAATTGAAACTGGGAACCCAGGTTTGAGAAGAAGCAAGGGATACGCCGGGTGTACCTGCCGCCATCGACCTCACACGAACGTCAGGATCTCGTGGTGTATAGGCATGAACATGCTGAAATACAATGACGACTATGATTTAAATCGAGAGAAGAAAAAGAGGGTTAGAGTATATTCAAGGGACTGTACCGTATGTACAGGTTATACGTAGTGGATATTGAAGATAGGCTAAGTAGTGGGGATAGACATACTCTGTAAACTCTCGTCGAGTATAACATCGCGACAACAATTATAATACGCCTAACAAGTATTGAAGTCCTAGGGGCGAAAGGATTATCTGATCGGCGGTCTGTCTGGGAAATTAGTTGTCGTGATTGAATGTTTTGACGAGAATGTAGACGGCAGGGACGAAATCCCAGCTGGAATGCAGCATAGTTGAAGCTACACAACTTCTCAACAATGCAAATTTGTTTATTTTCACTTGGGGATACGGACCATAAATTTGGATTGGTAACCCCGTCTTGTCTCACTATCGTTGTGTTTCACAGATCACAGTCCGCCCAATTGTCTATACACTCAAAATGAGACCCTACAGCCTGCTCAGCAGTTTAGCTATCCTCGGCCCTGCAGCCTTGACGGTTGCACAAACCCTGAACATTGTTGCACATCAAGATGATGATCTACTCTTTATGTCCCCAGACCTCCTTAGTGAAGTACGGTCAGGTCGAGCAGTCCGTACCGTCTTCCTCACAGCCGGCGACGCAGGCAACGGCGAAGACTACTGGACAAGCCGTCAAGCCGGCTCCCTAGCGACCTATGCACAAATCGCCGGTGTTGCCAATGAATGGAACGAAGGCGATGCAGGCATCGAGGGATTTGACATCCCGGTATACGAACTCGCGGCCCAACCCCAGATTGAACTTGCCTTCCTACACATCCCGGATGGCAACCTGGACGGGTCAGGTTTTGCTTCAACAGGCAGCGTCAGTCTTCAGAAGCTCTGGGAGGGAACCATCGATCAGATCGGCACAGTCGACGCCTCCGGCACTACCTATACGAGGCAACAGCTCCTTGATGTCCTATCCGACATCATTGAGAACTTCAGCCCCGACCGTATCAACACTCTCGACTTCGTCAATGATATCGGCGACGGGGACCACAGCGACCACTACACCACTGGGTTCTTTGCAGACCACGCGTCTCAGGCTGCTGATAATAATGCCGACTTCTTCGGCTACATGGGCTATCCGGTAGCCTCGCTGCCCGCAAACCTGAGTCCTGATCAAATTGCTGATAAGAAGGCCATTTTCTATTTCTATGCCGGCTATGATTCTGGGACCTGCAATAGCGACGCTGCTTGTGCTGGCCGACCGGAGCTGGCTTGGTTGGAGCGCCAGTATCAGGTATGATTTGGGATTTAACGACATGAATGTGATACGGGAAACTCAATTGGAAGTTGCCAACGTCTTAATGTAACGAGGAGCGGTTCTGTCTGACCTTACTCGTGGTCGACTCTTACGATTCTTGAAGCAGAACATTGTATGTATGTAGCAAATTTAATGACACAAAAGATGACCGTATTCAGCGGTCTGCTTTTAATTCACATTGAATCATGAGTAGCTTTTTATACATTTCTGCAATGTATATGTCACATGCACTATTTAGCTGGAGATCAGCTGTTGAACAAAGTATAAATCTATTACATTGACAGCCATTCCTTGGAAACATGTTCGCTTAGGAATACTTACAACTTCGCATGAGGTACACCTTGTCTAGCTCAATGGAACTACAACTTTGATTTCGCTGGGCTTAAAAACCATGGATGGGCGCGACGTGCATTCTTGACAATCGAAAGACCATAGATACTGGCAAGAGCTGGTCTTGTGACTGAATAGTTTCGATATAGTACCGAAGATTAAGTGTCCCATAGCCAGTCCCCGTGGCCGGTCAGGGGACAAGAACAAACGTAGAAGAGGTTATTTAGCTCTACCAGAACAGTGAATGCTGTTGCAGCTATCAAGTCGCGTGAGGACAATTAAACTCCTGTACGGCTCTTCCATTAGCAGCAATCACGATGGAGCTAGCAAATGTGACAACCGTCGCCATTAAGCCGTACATTGCAGTGAAGGACCATTGATGAGGAGCACCATGCCCTGCCCAAGGTACGATGTATCCGTTCTCTTGATCACCTTTGAAAACCTTCATATTCAGCCTTTCCCACGAAGCGCGAGAGAGCAAGGAAACGTACGATCCGGTAGACCTAGCAAGGTAGGCTGTTATGTACCTGGACTTTCTGCGGTTTCGGACTCGGCCAAAGCATTAATTGCAAATCTACAGTAGACTCTGGTTAGTACGATAAATTTAATACGCTACCGCACTAATCGCGCATCATTCGTCCTTTTGGATCTGCACCGGAAGTTGAAAACTCTGGCTGGCTCTCATCCCCGAGGGCCAGACGCGCCATTTGTGCGCCAAAATAATCCACTAGTAGCGAGTCCGAGGACGATTCTTGGATGAGCACTAAATCATTATCCATGATGGTCTAATTATTTTTCCTACACGCTAGATCTGTCGAAGTTGATTGTGTTGGGACGGATTTATGGAATATACGCGCACATGTTGTCTGTACAGGAACATATATTTAGATATTATCATCCACTTTCCACCCACCATGTGTCCAGTCGTACGTGTTGCTCTCTCCTTTCAAGACTTCATCCGGTGGGCCACTCAGCGTTGGCTTAGATAGAATGAGGGACACCGTCAATTTCGCCACTGTGAACATCTTTGCCCTTTTCCTTTATGGCTGCGAGCACGGCGTCGTATGGAAGCGAGGGTTCGGCGACGATAGAAACGGTTTGCTGTTCAAGGCTGATATCCAGGGACTTAAGTCCTGTTGAGAGATCCATCTAATCAGTATGATGCATGACACGGACAACGTAGAGACAAAGCTATCTATGGTATATACATTATGGACAATGGCAGTTTGGGCTCTATTGGTAGTCACGCACCGCTGAGTGGTCTGAGAGTGTCCTGGATAGCATTTGAACAGCCGGAACATCCCATCTTGACATTGAACTTGTATTGATGATTGGACATTATTGTGACTTTTGTTTGGTGATTGGTGGCAATAGTTGAAGTGAATTGGTCACAGGCGAAGGTATGTTCAAATGCTGAAGTTGATCAAAGTTTAGGTTGAGGGAATCTGATCTGGGGAATGGAGAGAAAGATTCATTCTATTTATAAGCCGAGTGATGCCTCTACCTGGTGAGGTATTTGTGCCCAGAGCCCAAGCCGTTGGCTTCCCTGCATCTTTCCGAATTCTGGATGTGGGTCGTTCTATGCGCCTTTTTCGCGTTAGTTCCTCAGTAGGAGGATAGATATCCTACAATTAGCTGAATACAATCACTGTTCCTATGGGCACATAAGGCTCCTCAACAACCCATCTGAAAACCCCAACTTTGGTTCTATAACATTGCGGTAAGCCACAACCGCAAGCATACAGGCTAGCCGCCGAGCAATGATCAGCGGCTGTCTCTTCTTCATTACCAATTACCGCACTTCTTCGCCGCTTCTTTCACCGCCTCTCCCGCTCGAGATGACTTGTACATAGTCCGTCTGCATCTGAATTTCCTCCTATGTTTTCAATTCATCCCTTCGATTACCTGGAACCAAACAGTTAACCAATGTGGCCGTTATGGGAACCGGAGATTCGGGTCTTCCAGATACTGACCATCCCCCCCAGCCCGACGATAGTGATGAATCCAGCAGTGATGAGGATATAACTTGGTTCCCTGGGGATGGAGTCTGTCCTACAACAGCAGAGTTTAACCATTGCTGTCAGTTAAAGCTTGAAAATTGGAAAAATGCGGCCGTTGCTTATCAAGAAGGCACGGAATCTTTCCAGTACTATTTAACAGCCTTTCTCGATCTCCTTGACAATATCCCTCCATTCTATCACCGTCTCCCAGGAGCCGTCAACACTTCAGGTAGACCAAGATCCTTTCTTGTTTTAAAGTCTACTTTACAGGTGAAAACGACGGAAGATTTAACTGCGATCAACCTCAGAAGTCAATCGATTATCTGCAGTGCCTCGGATGTCCAGCGCCAGTAACCTACAGGACGAAGGCGGAGGCCCAGCTGGATGCCGCCATTCCTATTTGCGCCAAGCCTCTTCGTTCTGGGTATTTTACCAGCATTGTTCTGGCCTGGTCCTATATAATTTCCTGCCGTTGGGTGGAGATACTCCAACAGGCGGGTGAGGAAAGCCAGATCTTTCACGAGCAAGGTATGCAGATAGAAGACGATTTCTGGGATGTCATCACACAGGGCTATTGGGTAGCTCGAGTGAAAAAGCACAAAGGCGCCTTCTATTCGCCATGGATGTTGAGAAGAGAAGGAACCTCAATCAAGCGGTATGTTCATCATATGAAGCATCTTTTCTCCTTAGCGGCTAATAAGTCTGCAGACGCGACTGGAAACCAGTCACATCAAATTCGTCCCTTGCGTTCGATATCCTTTTAGGCTTCTGCGTGTTGGAGGGTCTGGAAGGGGAATTTCTCACTGGCTTTGCCTCTGTTCTAATGTTGACCTCACGGCACACGCCTCCACCCAAATTTGCTCCTCCTATGCTGATTTCGGCAGCTCCTAGGCGCTCTTCACTTAGACCGAAAGACATGGTATTTCTTGAACTTTATCGATCAATTGATAAGTTCATGTCTCTTAGCTCTACACAAGATGCTCTGGATTCGTTACTCTGCGGCGTATTTTTTCATCCATCCGTTCCATGTAACCTTGTCGGGGCCGTATCCTTGGGTGTCAAAAAAGCTCTCTCGGAAGTGGACAGGATTGACAACCGCCACCTCCTCTCTGCAGTTACCAATATGAAACCCTATCTAAGTCTCTTATGGGCTGCTGCAGTGTGCAACGACCAAGTAGCTTCATTCCTGAATATGGCTCTCAGTGGTCTACCGCCGATATGTCTAGTGGCTGCCTTCTGGACAAATACGGCTCAATCCTTTCTTCAGATAGTGTATCCTGCACATGACTCAGAAGAATCCATCACTTCCAGGGCACATGAGTTTCAGACTTCCTTCTTCTGCCGACTGGAATTATCAGTGCCATGGTCGCCAGCACCCCCCTTCGGCACAACACCGGTGAAAAACCTCAGTCTTGAAGTGAGAGCCCACGTTGCTCATACACACAGGCCTATTTCTTGGAGAATATACTGGATCTTAGACTCAGGAGAAGGGTTCCGGCCAGCGCAGAGTATGCACTTAAGCCTATTAAAGCTTCCATTCAATGTGACACTTGCGCCGCAGATGAGACAAATGAGTAAGTCTAACATAGGCTGAATTTTGACATAATTTCTGATTACCAAGGTTCCCCCACCCCGAGCGATATATTGCTGATGAGCAATCGGGATCTGCAACATCACGCCTATTCAATTGGCAAAGAAGCTACGATGATGGTATCTGGCTCGATGATGGCAGAGGGGATATTGAGTTTATTCGTCGACTTCAAATACATGCATGGATCATAGACCCGTTTGATAACGGAGACGACGATCCAGTTGAGGAACCCAGGCACCGTGAGCTTTCTGTTGAGCGTATTTTGCGGTGGAATAGTGAGTGTGTAAAAGCTACTGATGACCAATGAACTCGTAGATCCGCATAGTGCAATCTGACGACTGAGAGTTGCAGCTGCAATGGGCCGTGTGCTAGCTGGGCTTGTAGAGATTTAAGAGTTCTACAATTTCCAAAGGACCTTATCTGTTAGGCTTGGCTGGCTAGCTCGTGGCGCCTACCATGCTCCTTGAAAGAAACCGCTCATCAAGGTCAAGGTCGAGTAACTTTTACACGCATGGACTGTCAGTATTGTACAAAATTGGCCATGACCAATGTTGAGATGTATACGCAGCGGCATTGAATGTGCCATCAGCTTCAAGGCTTTCACCGAAGTAAGAATCTACTGGCCGCACCGAACACCTTATCTTTCCAAATCGTTGGCGCGTCTCTCATACCTCTCCCACTTTTGCTTCTCGTCTGGGCGCAAAGGCCCTGGGAAAAAAGTCTTTAGCATACTCCTCCCCACGCGGGGATATGCGTCCTCAACCGCGAACAGCGTCGGCATGACCTTGGTTTGTCCGAAAACCACCAGAGGCCTCAATGGAATACCGAAACTCTTCGGTGACCTCCTCACCCCAGCAGCAATTATGTTCTGGATCATACCAAGACCGCCGACTGCGAGCAAAAACCAGGTGTTATGGTGTAGACCGGCTGCCGTGATTAGGAGCAAGATCCATAGTGTAGCAAGAACGATCAAGAACACTCTTGTAAACAACGAGGCAGAAACATCAGCCGTGAGGGGGCCTGTTGCGAGATCTTCCAAGTCAAGACCTACATCATCGCCAATGATGACGATAGCATGCTGACTGCCGTTTCCTCTTGTGAGAATCACTGCTTTGTTCGTGTTCCGGCGACAGGCCCATTTCTCTCGCTTCCACTGCGGGAGAGCGCCAACAGCAAAGGAGAGCGCTATCCCACTACCCGTCACCAGTAGAATGCCCCAGTCCCCGTATATACCACAAGGAATTGCTGCGATTCCTAGCTGGACAATGCTCGTGGCAAGCCCAAGGCAGTAGACCCAATCGCGGCCAGGATACCCTGGTTTCGCAATCCCAGCCTTGTACACCGACACGCAAAGACCGGCCTGTGCTGGTTTCTTAACCTGCGCTCCTGTTCCTGGTTCCTCCGCCTCGGCATTATCTATCTTTGATTTCCAAAGTTCATCAATCATCTGCTTTACGCGCGTATGAATTGGCCCGTCCTTGTTCCCATCATCCATCCAGCTTTCATAGTCCCGCATGATCCGACCGATAACCCAGCTTGAATTATCCCGGACGTACCCCGTGCGTCCGTTGATGATTTTACACGCACAGTCGGGCAGGGGCATTAGTTTGTTCTCGCCAACAGCGGAGACGACGGCTGTAACAGCATAGGCGACCCATCCTAGCGGAGACACGGCATGGTCAGTTTGCAAGAGCAGTAACTAGGTATAGAAGGCGTTTTGTGAGGGGCCACACCGAACGAAAATGCGACAGGAGTCACGGGTGAGCCTGCGAGCTGAGCAAGCGCCCGACCTACGACGTCGCCTCCGAGAATGAGGAGAACGGAGAATACATCGCTGGGGTTTGTCCACTGGTCGGAGAACGCGACGGATGGGGCGCTCGCATTGAAGTCTCGCGGAACGATATGAGGGCTTGTTGGCGGCATATTGTCAGGAGTGGATTAGCTCCATCTGTACTTGCATCATGAGGGTTATGGAATGGAAGCCGAATGAGTGTCTGTTTTAAGACCGCTGGAAATGGAGCCCAGCGCTGGGAGAGTGGTATCATGTTGTGGCTTTTACTGTTTTCGACAAGCACCTGGTCTAGACCTTTCTTTTGGATATAACCAGTTCATTGGACAGACCAGAGACGGAATCTTTGGATCTCAGGTCTAGTTCACTGGTCATGATATCGATCTTCGCCGCTGTCATACTTTGAAGCGTTACCACGGATCCAGTTCCCATACTTCCATGGGCCCCTCGTCACACCACTGATCGAACCGATCTACTCTGCACTGCTAGACCATGGCTCTCAGTATATGAATGATGATATTGTCAGACTTCCAGAACCTGTACTTTCCATCTCCCAATAACACACGTTACTTTCCATATATTGCCATGCTCCAGTACTTGCTTGGTTTGGCTGCGACTGCTCTCGCAGTCAAAATTGCTTTAATGCTCCGGGTTAAACCGGCTACACCATCACAGCCAGAGATGGGCGAATATATTAAAACTGTTGATCGGGATGAGGTACCCCGACTATGTAATATCATCCACGCCGGGGATCTCTGTGAACTCGAGACAATGCCCCGGTACCAAGATATAGATCCAAGGGCCTTTGAATGGAGGGAACCACCAGCGTGCATTCTGTTTATCTCGCATCGATGGGAAACCCCAACGCATCCAGACGCAGACGGCGAGCAGCTAAAAGCTATCATATTTCTGATGCAAGCGGTTGCAAAACTCTCGTCAGTCTACAAGCTGCCCCTGGAACAAAGAACGGCAGTTGTTAAGACATTGAAAATTCATGGATACCTTCAAGCTGCGAACATTGTCAGCAGAGTCGCAGAAAGCATCGGTGGAGTGGACCGATCAGTCTTGGATAAGATTGGTGTCTGGCTAGACTACATGTGTCTGCCACAGAAAAACCTTTCCGGGATTGATGATCGAACATCTGCCAACAAATTACTCTTTAAAGAAGGACTCAGACAACTTCCTTCGCTGATCGCATCCTGCGACTTCATTCTCAGCATCAGAAGCCAGGGAGACGATTATCTTCAACGAGCGTGGTGTATATCCGAGCTCTGCTTCATGGACTGGAAGTACCACAAGAAGACCATCGTCCTGAGACAAGACCTGCTCAGCCAACCCATCGACGCCCAAATCCTCAACTCCGAGAGTTTCGAGTCAAGTTATCTGCCGAGCTACCGGAAGATGATCGAAGCATGGGAAGACAAACCCAACTTCACCTGGAATCCCAATATGTCCTTCTGCTATACCGAAATAGGACTCGCCGAATGGGACCGTGCCAGCGAATTCCGTGACTCAATTGAACAAGGTTCAACACCTGCCCCAAGTGACTGGCCAGCTCCGTTATTGACCACGCCCCTTGTACCACTAATCTGGCCGCACCACGCCGACTTCCTGATGCAAATCCGATCCCATCTTGTTCAACCTCCTCCACGGAATGTGGATGTGTTGATCGCCATGACCATGCAGGACTGCGAGCTGTCTTGCCTCAACATCCAAGACTACACCCGCTGTGGCCTCCACATTTTCCGCGCCCGCATGACGGGGCATTCAGGCTGGAGGAACTTCTCCAATGACTGCCTCCATCGACTGGCCGATGGGAGACCCCTCATCCTTGCCGATGTGCCCGTCCTGCACGTCGAGGGTGGACTCGACCTTGGCTCTCCATTGACCTATCAATGGGAGACCGATGAAGACGTTCTAAATCTCCATGCCCGAGCGACGGAGATCTGGAAGAACTACATCCAGGTCCACAGTGACCGATGCGAGCTCTCCAAGAAAACAAGCGTCCTTCTTCACGCTATGGTTTCTCATCTTGTCGCCGTGTCTAGCGAGTCCAATATGCTACTACGCCCAAGGGTCTGGTCTCTCACAGCCCTGATCGGGGACGCCATGAATGCGGCCAATATAGCTTCACAGCAAGAGGAGGAGGGTAGCCTGAGCTCAGTCGCGCGGACTTCACTAGGTCTGGCCCTTCTGTATGCTAAATGCCAAGCGATATACAGCGTTGAGCAATCTGGGGCCTTCCGTCTGTCGAGCTTATTCCTTACCGCACTTGACCGGTTGAACAAAGATCCTGGTCTAAATATCTCGAGGATAAAGGACTTTGAATGCGAGTGGGTGGGCGTTGCTAGTTAATACTGGACACTTTGTCTCCCGTACTGGAGGTTGAGTATGTTATCAACGAATGTATACTCATCGAGTCTCGGTTTGCGACCCGATTGACTAGGAATATACGATATAGGCGTATCACAAGCTCGCTCACTATATATAAATAAAATACACAATCTGTGGTCTCCCAATTCTCGCGTGAAACAGAGAAATTGCACAAACTCACTAAGTGCTCGACTGATTGTCATTGGGCCGGTTATCTGGTGGCATGCACGTCAGACGCGGGTTAAATTCGCCATTGCCCTTAACTCCGTGGATTTTGACCACTGCGCAATTCCACAGCGCTCACATTTCCAGGTCGAATTCCGTCCTCGATTTATAAGCCCTGGGGTATCGTGCGGGTCTATACAACGGAAACAATCCTTACTTGTCTGGTAGCATAATGAGGGACACTCCCTTAAAATGACGCCATTGTTTGTCGAATTTATATGAATTGTATTGGGTAGCCCTCGCGCCTACTACAACACTTCTGCAACTTTTCAGAAAATTCAATATTTGAATCACACATAACAGGTCTACCGTCATAGTTGGCCCATCAACATGTCAAATTCAAACAAAAAACCAAAGCTAAGAGTGGCAATCATCGGCGCCGGCCCAGCAGGCCTAGGAGCGGCGATTGAATTTCAAAAGCTCCCCTTCGTTGATCTCCGCATCTACGAGCAAGCCCGAGAGTTGCGTGAGGTCGGTGCCGGCATCAGTATCCAGCGGAACACCTGGCGCATGTTAGACGCGTTGGGTGTATACGATAATATCGATCGGGACAGTGTGTTCAGCGCCGCAGATGGCCACTCCGTGCAACATCGGTTAGTCGATCTCCCCCTACATTCGAACGATAGTAACAAAAACCAGAAATGGCCGAACGGGAGAATTACTCCAGTCCAGCGGACAACGTGACACGCCCCCTCGCCATAAGCATGCCAGGGCCTTACGCTCTGTACTCCAGCAAGCGCTGTTGAAGGGCGTAGATAAAACAAAGCTACGGCTTTCGAGTCGCCTTGTTGAGATCCGCGAATTGCCGAAGAAGGCATTATCGTTGCGCTTTGAGGATGGACATCTCGATGAAGTAGACCTTCTTATAGGAGCTGATGGCGTTCGATCGGTAAGTTTTATCACTATTCTATCTAGTGTGACGGTAGACCTGAGTATCAAAGGTTGTCCGCCAATTCTCCTTCCCCGACCATCATATCGGCTATACCGGTACAACGGCCTTCCGGGCCCTAGTCAACGCGAGCGATGTTCTGAGCATCCCTAACTTCCCTGACGCCGTGACCTTCTGGCATGGCCCGACCAGGTGGGTATATACTTGCAATCTCAATAAGGGTATATACGAGATTACAGCGAGAACGGACCTTCCAGAGACCAGCGAGACGGTCAGTTGGGGGCAAGATGCTAGTCCGGAGGAGTTTATAGCGTTATATAAGGTGAGTATTTCTCAGCCAGTCAGCATAGATCAATGTTCATTGGAATGGAATAGGACTTTGGACCAATTATCCAAGACGTCCTTAGTAAAGTGGGAGAAGTGAAGAAATTCCCTCTCTTCGCAGGACCGCGTCTGTCAAAGGTCGTCTCACATGGTTCTATTGCTTTGATTGGGGATGCATCTCATCGTGAGTAAATGCTGTTTGCCAGTGGTGTCAGCATAGCTAACTGTAAAGTAGCGTTATCTGGAGCATTTGGTATGTTTTCTCGTACTTTAACATATAGTATTCTAATAGCATCCAGGCGCTGGAGCGGGATTCGCTTTGGAAGACGCGTATGTGCTCGCCCGCGCAGTGACTAGGGCACATGAACGCGCCCTTCCGGTCAGCAATGCTTTGGCTCTGTATGATAAAGTCCGATCGCCACATTATAAGGACATGGTATGCGCTCAAGCCTGGTGTTATGTCGATCTACTAACTGCCGCAGTATGATATTCTGGATGGCTTCGGGAGATCCGATACCGCAATCAAGGGCTTAACCTCCTTTGACGAGATTGTAGTGGCTAATGTCCAGAATAAATGGACGGATGCTCACGATTGGCTATATCACTATAACGTAAGTTTACAATCATGCTGGGCTCTACCTCCGATGCTAACACAGATATTTAGGTCCAAGAAGTATGGAAAAAGGCCTACGAGGAGGAGGATGCTCGTCGCATACCAAGGATTAACGATGCAAAGGAGGTTGATGTACATTCTCGTTTGTAGAATAGAGAGTATCGTCTAGCCATATATCATAACAGCACATTAATAAGTGGTCAACCCGAACGCCAAGCACAATGCAAATACACAGAACCGTGAGGCGCAAATCGTACGCAAATTGTAACAACTTCTTGCAACACTGTTACTTAAAGTCGGATCTTGTTATCGTTCAAGTATTGGTCATATCGTTTCGGTAGGCTGGAGGGCTCCGCCACTGCAACATACGTATCCGGCCGGACCAAATATGCTGCATCTTTTCCCAGGCCGACCGACTGATATTTGCCATCCCAAGGAAAGACATGCAGGGGAATTGCCTTGGACTGACACCACTCTTTCAACCCGTCTTTAGCTTCGCCATATACATGGACCTGCCATGTAATCTCTTCCAAGCTTTGGAAATTATCAAGCCCATCCACAGGGGCCCAAGGGATACGGTCACCTCCTTGGATGGTACCAGCCGAGCCCGCCGACAGCGCACTATCCCGATAATTTAGCATGATCTGAGACACGCCACGGAACATTCTTTTTCGCACGAAATCAAACTTGGAAATAATAGGAGACACATAGGGGATGAACCATGTCCGAATAAAATAAGACAGATACCCCTCCGAGGCAATAGCGTTGAATGCCGTATCCGTCGTGTTCACCAGCAGTGATGCGAACGCACGGCGCTCGGCTTCGTAACTATCGAGGAGAGACATATCCGCTTTGTCTTGAATTACCGCTGCAAGCTTCCAGGCGAGGTTAATCGCATCGCCGATCCCGGTGTTCATCCCTTGTCCTCCGACCGGGCTGTGGATGTGCGCTGCGTCCCCGACAAGGAAAGCTCTGCCACTGCGAAAGGCTTCAGCTACCCTGTGGTGAACACGGTAGGTGCTGAACCAGTTCACCTTATCGATCGTGATCCCCACAGCCTTGCCGCAGTCTGGCGCAACGTCGTCGAGCGTGAGGTCGGAAATGTCCTTCGTCAATGCGCTTTCATCGACGGCACCGTTGAGTCGTGCACGGCGGTCTTTGTCGTACGCCATGAGCAAGAAAAATTGCCCGTCATTGAGACTCAAATGCGCTTGACCGTTGAAACTGGGTCCGCTACCTTCGATATCGGCTACATAGAACAGCTTTGAGTATGTAGCTCCTTCGAATCCGATCCCGCAGCTCTGGCGGACGGCAGAATGAGCGCCGTCGCAACCAACGATGAAACTTGCTTCACAAATGTCGATGTCATCATCGTTGACGTGAGGTTTCGTGAGGTCCCTCAGTCGCGCTGTGATGGTTGACCCCTGCTCTTGAAAATCGATCAATTCGCGGTTGCGCTCGACATGCACGCCCATCGTGTTCAATCGCGCCTCTAACAATCGTTCATGCCGATCCTGCGGATAGATATGTATGAATGGGTAGGGCGTGAGGCCCGTACCAAGATCACCAAAAGGAACATGGGAGCGATGGACTCCGCCGGCCCATATATTGGTCGCGGCGATCTTATGGCCGTTTGCGACCACATCTTCGGCGAGGTCGAGCTGGCGATACAGCTCGAGGGTGCGAGCGTGGATTGCCATCGCGCGCGACGTAGATGCCTTGGCTTCTGATCTGTCGATGATGCGCACGTTGACACCTTGGCGAGTTAACCATAGAGCGAGAACGAGGCCCGTTGGACCTGCTCCAACGATGAGAACATCAGTGCGTGTCATAGTATGGAGGTGAGTGTTCAAATTAAACAATTAGAATTCGTCAATAATAGACCGTACACAAGGGTTGTATTCATGAAGTATACATGTATGTAACATGATGAGGAAATCCTGAATGAGGGCTCGTATTTAAAGGCATTCTTCTCCGATCGCTTCTCTGACTCAGTTCACGATGATGGGAATTGGAAACGAGAAAAGGTATGCACTCGCGTCATGATGCTTTAGGCGCCCAGTTGCAAGTCCACATGTATTCTAAATTTGGGGTCGAGGTCGGCGTATAGTTTCCGACGAACGCGAAGGCTTTACGAACTTTACCAAGGGCAGTGCAGTTTGGCTATATACATCGGCCAGCAGCATTGGAATCACCGATGTTTTCCGCGCGTCGGGCGGACACTGTCGGCCCGTCGGAGGTTAGCGAGGCCGACCGCCGGAAGAACGGCTGCCCGTTCGAAACCGGGCCTGAGCGTAATTCATTTCTTTTTTTCCTGGTTCATTGTCCTCCGGATCCAATGTGTTCCGTCCCATCTAGGCCAGCTCTTGCCTGATCAGGATTAGGGGCCATGTCATGCCCAAACGGGCCAAGTGCCCTACAGGTTGTGTAAAGAGGGATAACCCTTTTGGGCCAGTTCTTTGTCTGGCGCATCCAACGAGGGCGATGGCCACCTCAGGCTGTTAACTCTTTGAAGATTAGAGCTGGTGTCCATCATGGGCGAGAATCCAATGGACCCTGGAGCGGGTCAAGACTCCGCAACCCTTCTTTATTCGCGGTCACCCCCGTGTTCGTCCAACGTCCCGGTACGACTTGTCTCTCTTTCAACTGTCTTCCTCTCTACCGTCTGACAGGTCAATATATAGGCCAATAGACAATGTCCTCCACACGCCACAATGCATCGGCCACTTCGTCTGAAAGAAAACGCTTGCGCGATAGACGAGCGCAACAAAATCTCCGAGAGAAGCGGGAGAACCGCATGAGGGCGTTAGAGGAGCGGGTGGCCTATTGCGACAAGAATCATGGCAATGAATTGATCCGGAATTGTATGCACACCGTCGACTGTGTGAGACGGGAGAATGAGCTTCTTCATGCTCGACAGGAACACCTTCGTCGCCTGTTTCAGGACTGGGAGGTTCAGGGTAACGGCGCAACGGGGGTATATCGAACCCTTTCTTCTACGTCGATGACGACCAATTCTTTCTCAGCACCGTGGGCCCTGACGACATCGGCTGGTAGCCCACGAAGTGACATAACATTGGTCGATCCGGGAATGCAGAACCTCTCCGGCTGGTCCGTCAATGGCACAGATTCTGCAGGTCTCGGGTTAACTACCGACGGTCTCACAGCTCCATCGATGACGAGCACGTGGCCCGTGGCGTTAGACACTCGCAGCTCACCCTCACCAATTATCGATATACCTCTGATGTCCAGCATGCACCCCACACCAGGGCCGGACACATATCCCCTGATGACCCACAAGGATTATACTCAGATGGCTGCCAATAGTGGGAATTGGTCGGGGTGGTCCGCTCTGTCCGACACCGTCCACAAGCTACCTCTGTTACCATCTCCGTTCGACCTCCTGCATGGCTCCAGACGTAACTGGCTGGCAGACCAGATTAACCGACTACTTCGGCGGTTGAGCCTCCGAGAACCTGACCGTCTGGCATTAAGCTGGACTATGTATTCTTTTGCTAGATGGCGGGCCAACCCGACCCCGCTCACGTTTGCCAACATGCCATCATTTCTACAACCCGTGGCAGGACAGGTACGGCAGCATCAACACCCAGAATTTGTTTTCTTTTTGTGGCCCCAGCTGCGGGTCAACTATCTGGAAAGCCGATCTGCAATTGATCTTATAGAGGTCTATAGATATGGGATCAGCTCATGTAGGGTGCGGTGGCCGTCCTCTGTGAGCATCTGGGATTGGGATGATGACGAGAACATGTTTGTGAAGCCTGAATTCTTCGAGACCTTCCTAGACCGCAGTGGCTGGGGGCTAACGTCGGTCTTCATCGACAAATACCCAGAGCTGGTGAAAGGGATGGACGTGGAGAGCCTTCGGTACGACGTTCCGTAGATTGTGTCTTTCAGGTTGGAAGCAGACATGATGATCCCCACAATCACTATCTTAATTAAACAGACGCTCCAGATTGGACATTTAGAGAAATCATCCATTTTCTCGGATTTGATCTCTCAAAATCAGATTTCAGAGAATCCGGTTGGTAGGCTGGTTTGGTTAACTCGGTCTTATGCACGGCACTGAATCAGCGTCGTATCTTTTCTTTGACACCCGGCAGCCTCGTTATTCTTAACACACGATGATTGGCTCAGTGTGCCAGCTTGCGGAAGGTTGAATCGGCGTGGCATAAGCTTCTGGCTTTGTCGTTCTGACCAGCTATCTTAATTTATCTGTGCTTCAACTTGGCGAGGAGTATTGGTGTTTAGATCGTTAATTGACGTATATATGCAGCTTGCACAGACCTATTCTTTCTTATGTGAGGTTTTATAGTTCGTGGATTCTTTATTTGGTATTTGTCCAATCTATGCTTCTTTGTCTAGCAATCTATTTCTCCTAGCTCTATATACAGCGCATCTATCCGTACTTTTGCCAGCTGTGCCCATCTTACCTGCATAATCCCTTCCATCAATACCCTGTTCTACGATTGTGAGGCGTTCTTTCAGATGCAAAAGAAATTGCCTTGAACTCGATGAAGCCCAACATCCATCCGTATGCCAGCCTATTAAACTTTCTCGCCAGCAATATGCTTCCTCAGGATCCTACTCGTCCCTTCATACTCCTTTCCTATCACAGATCAGCCCTGACAACTGTAGGGCCAGCTTCTCCGCTCTGACCGTAGATCCACAATCCAGCATTCTCTTTGTCTCCCGCACCTGGTGACCCTTCGTGGAACGTGCATTGCGGAGGTTATACTAAACCAGGCCAGTGCGCGACGAACATAGTTTCCTCCATGGGTTATTCTGGTACTAGTGCCGGGGAACTCCGTACGGTCCGTCGAACAATCTCCCTAGCCTGATTGATTGATTGACTTTGCATATCGGTTTTGCGCTACAGGCATACGCCAGTAGAGAGAGAACAACACATCATTGTGCCATAGCACAGTAGAATGAGGCAATCCTTTATTCTCGAGCTGAAGTACGCCACCACCAAACCAGTCGGAGGTCCAGAGCTCCGTGAGCCTGTTGTTATATCTGTGGTCTGATGCAACCTGAGCTGGGCTTGCATTATCACAGCTGATCCTGTGGACAAAGGGTGCATTGGGGGGTGTGACCTCCGGTTTCTATACGTGGCCAGTCGGATAGGATGTTCCCGGTCATTCCAGGAACGGAGCCAAGTTTTGACCGCAGTATCAAGCTGGACAAACTTCCAGAGTTGCCCTAGCCCAGGCAGGGACCGACACACGGCATTATTCCGAACTAAGCTTCTGTCAAGGTCTGCCTGCATCATGCCCACAGCTAGGGGCGGGCTGCTAGGTACCCAGATTAGTAGGCAACAAACGCATGGCGCGGGTAGCAAGTGCCATTAGGCGAAAGTAACATTAGAATCGTGCTTTGTATTCGGTACACATTATCCAGTATGTAGTTATGTACATAGTATCAGGCTGGGGTTCTCGGATCTCCCCAGATCCCCTCATATTCCCACCCAGTATCCATGCTCCCCTATCTGTAACTTTGGGAGTGAGCTTCTCATGAAGGCTGTGAGGATGAACGAAAGCTATCAGTTTGATGAACTGTTCCGGTGCTTGCTGAAAAGCAAAAAGACAGACAGAAAAAGACAGAAATGTTCTCTGTGTTTCGTTTGTGCAACTCCTAGGCTTCCTTCGCCGCATCCACCAAACCCTGCAACATAGCAACATCCATGGTAAACATATCCGACCCATCATCTGCCAAGAACACAGACGCACCACGACTGACCATCAGCAGCTCGGTCTCGCAATCAAAAGGCAGCGGGTCGTGAAGCGCCCCCTTAGCCTCCGAGATGTAGTCGCCTGCCGCGTAGGCACCAGTCTGAGGATGGGCTCCGGTGCCCTTGAGAACATAGATCTCCGCACTGTCAAGATGGCGGTGTCGCGGAAGCAGACCTCCTGGTTGGGCGCGCACCATGATTGTGTTCTCGCCAGTCTCGGGGACAAGCTTGACGACCTTGATCTCGACTCCGGGGGCGAGGGGGAGCCATTTGAGGTCGGCGCAGTGCACGGTGAAGCCTGCGTCGTCTGTAGAGTGCATCCTGATTGATTTCACTGGGGATGTTGTGTCTCGGTTGAGTCTCTGTTGCGTTCTTAAATATCAGCATCGGCGCTCAGTAACAGGGATCTGTGAAGAGATTTCACCTACCTACTGGGGAAGAGCTGGTCGCAGTAATTTTACGACAACAAAAATGAGGCTCTGAAAAACAGGGAATGGATTTGGATTAAATAACATGACTGACGCTGTTTGATACTCGACTTCGGATATCCGATGAACTCGGATATCCGACTCAAAAGGGTAATGGCTTCCCGAGACTCACCCCACTAGCCCTACACAATTGTCTTCTAACCAGCGATGCACGAACCTAGGCAAAATTTCTATCTTCCACAGGAGAGTCAAAGCCTAGAAGTGGTGCAGTGGTTGCGATGATGATCATGGATACCTGCATATAGCGAGCAGGAGATGTACGACTAGACTATCTGCTAGTCTCACAGAACCATGCATGCCGGGCTGATCATCAACCCAGGGTTGTATCTATTAGAAGACAGATTCACCAGCCTCCAGGTTTTCTACATGTAACCTCATTCATAGCCCTCCATTAAACTAGACCCTTCCCTCCCCGCCTGTCTCCCAGCTCCATACTCCTATTTCAGACAATACCTCATAATGGCTGCATCAGTACCAAGCGCAGACCCAGACCCCTTCACCACATTGTGCTCCCTGCTACGTCCCGATGAGATAATTACCCCCCAGTCCCCGGACTATGAGGCAAGCATCCAGACATGGGCAGCCCAGAAGCAGGCACGCCCCCGTCTGGCAATCCGGCCCACCTCGGTCGAAGCCCTGGCCAAGGCCATCAGCTATCTGTACACCACGAGCCTGGACTTTGCGATCTATGGCCAGGGATTCAGCTCTGCTTCAGCCAAGGACGTCGTGGTGAATACCTCGGCGTTCGATGATTTTCACTTTGATCCGCAAGCCGAGGTGGTGACCATTGGTGCCGGTCAGACATGGTCCGCCGTGTATCACAAGCTGGCTAAGGCGGCGCCACAATATGGAAGTAAGAACCTGTCCTCCAAGAATTTAGACTTCATTCTCCAAAAAATCAAAAATAATAAACAAAAAGAAATATAAACGCTGATCAATGATTGTCCCATAAAAACAACAGTCGTGGGAGCTCGCACGCCTTGTGTAGGCGTCGCGGGAACCATCGTCAGCGGTGGCTATTCCTGGCTTTCCAGCGAGTATGGCTGCATCTCTGACACCGAAAACATGCTGGATGCGAAAGTGGTCAAATGCGACGGCTCGGTGGTCTGGGCGTCTTCAGAGCCGGAGTTGCTGTGGGCACTGCGTGGTGGCGGGGGTGGCTTTGGTGGTATGTCTGTTCTATGTCCTCTTCGTGGCGCATGTTTCCATAATGAAGGGTGTAGAGAACTGTACTAAATCTTCCATATTCGGGTGCAGTGCTGGCCCAGGTCAAGCTCCGAGTCTTCCGCTACCCGCAGAATATCTGGGCAGGTCCGATCCTGGTCCCTCGCGAGAGACTGGAGGAGGTCGCAGAGGGCATTGAGAAATTCTTGGCACAACCGGTCGACCCAAAGATCACTATGTTCCTGTACGTGGTCAAGGGCCGACTGCTTCAGTCGATTGGCACCGACTCGGATATGTTGGTAATCCATTCTTTCGACGCTAATGGGGAAGAGCACGGTCGACAAGCGTTTCGGTGGGCATTGGATATCCCTGGAGCTATTGACCAGACCAAGATTACTACGCTCGCCGGCGTTGCCAATTTGCAAGGTATAACTCCAGACGTTAACAAGGAACAGCAGATACTGACGATGATCTGGAACAGACAAGGCCGGTATCGTCAAAGGCACTATGAAACAGTTCTGGCAGCCATTGTTGGTGCAGGAGATATCTAAAGAGATCGTCATCAAAGCGATTAAATGGTTCGAAGAGGTGCAGAAGGTCGACGAGTCGTTCGGCGATTGCACATATCTTATCTTCGAGCTACTGAGCTCGGTAAGTGTTCAACTGCTTAGAGAGCCCGCCTTTTTGGAACACACTCTGATGAATTTAGCGCGATCCGGCGGCAGGGAGTGCGAGCTCTGCCTGGCCACGTCCCAAGGGTGCGAAGCATATTCTGCTCCTCGGTACCGGATGCCCTTCGGACGCTGGGCCAAGCAAAGAGAAGCTGGCTCGCGATCTAGCTATCGAAGCTCCATCCAAGGTCTTAGAAAACAGTACGGACGTCCATGTGTTACCCAATGGTATCGAGGACTATCATGATCCGACGAAGGTATAGCTCCACTGTCCAGAGCTATGTCCAGACACTAACCAGGCATACAGATATGGGGCCCTCATGTTGCCAAACTACAGAGCTTGGGAGTGCGATACGACCCACGTAGGAGATTCAAGGGGGCCGTGAATCCGTAGAATGGTGGGCGTGAGCGGCTTTTCTGGTATGCTACTGTGACTACTCCTATGTTTGGAAGTATGCAATTGGTATATTTTGTAGATGCGCCAAGGACATGGGAGAGGAGAGAAAAGTGCTGACTGTGCGAGATAATTGTAACTCTTTGTACAATTGAAAAAAGCCAACTATATGGTACTACAAGTCTACAGGCTCAGATCAGAGTGGGCCTCATTTTCACCATCCCAGTCCACTTGAATCCATGGTAAAAAGTTCAGTCAATCTTACCTAAAGCTCGCGAATAGCTATCCACTGTACATGTATTTAAGGTTATTCAATGCCGCCATCCTCTCATGCAGTATAACTCCAGCACACTCAAGGAATACAGGCATAGCATTGTGATCCAAGATGCAAGGCATTAATAATATTCTACATGAATGGCTGTATTCAGCTCGAATCAATCGGCAGCATTTCCGTAGTCCGAAAATTAGAGAAATAACCCTAAGAACAACTCGGTAATCTAGTGATGGGAGCCCTAAAGTTCTAGAGTGCCATATCCTAATCTAACCGACCCTGGTTAAGCTTAGGTTAAAGTAGGTTAACCGCGGTTAATCGTGATTAGGTAAAGAACTTCTATTAACCTAGCCATAACCTGGCAGTTAGGTATAACTGACCCTATTAACCTAACCTAGCCTAGCCATATGCCAGTCTACTTCAAACACCTAGTACCGACACCCCTAAATCTAGTACTGGCATTTCTTTTGAACAGATTCTTAAAGACAGCCACTATCTCAGAACTGGGCTAGTTAATAATCCGGAACTTAAAAATCAATTAAAGTATATAATTAGTTAATATAAGGTGCGTTGATACTGATAAAGTTGGTAATATTTTAGCTCCATTTAGTCTGCCGTATCTGCGGCCCTACTTTCCCTATGGACTCGTGCCTCTGGACTCAATGTTCGACCGGAACCGGATATGCACGGTAACCGCAATACTTCCAGAAGCCGAAGCTCTATTAAATATGACAGTAGTTAAGCCAAGGCATGGATCATGCGGTATAGTACCGCCTAGACCTAGCGAGTGAGCCTTAAATCTTTCACTAAGACTGTGATTGGAAATGTCCTCGATCGACGTTATGTTCAGACAAGTTGAGAGCTGCCACTATTCGGATGGATTGGTGCTAGTAGGGCAAATTGTGAGTCAAAAGGGGCTTGGCGTTCTGCACGACCGTTAGGAAGGCTAAAACACGGGGCTGCCCAGCTGTACTATAGTGTATTCCACTAAGACACATTAATTGCATGGAAAGAGAGAGGGGAGTTGAGTACCTGGCAGGAGTGAACGCAATGTGATCTCCTCCCCCGACGGTCCGTAGTGCCTTGAGCAATCCATATAACGCTATAAAATACAATGACTTCGCCTACCCACGACATTTTCCCTCCTCTGTACATTCCAACCGATAGCCTGTGATCTTACTTCCCGCAGGCTTCTCTATCTTAACATCTACTGCTCACCCTTCCTCCCGAGCACTGATAGCAAACCACATGGCCATCAGGCTCCAATCACGCCGCATTACGCTCGTGGGAGCCACCGGGTCTTTGGGAACCCAGGTCCTGTCAGCTCTCCTTGCAACCGGAGTCCATGACGTGTCTGTGATCATCCGGCCTGGAGCGAGCACTGTTTTCAACGAGAGAGTTGCGGTGTACCCCGTTGATCTGGATGACGTGGACGCTCTCACCTGGTGCTTGGAGGGGCAGGAGGTCCTCATCATGACCCTCAGCCCAGACGGCTACAAGAAAGAGATCTCGTTAATCAAGGCCGCAGCAGCAGCGCGAGTCCCGTACATCATCCCGACTGAGTTCGGCTCTGATCCCACGCACCAGCGGCTGAACAGCGAAATCTTCCTGGCAGAGATGCAGCGGCCCTTCCGGGCATTGATCGAAGAACTCGGGGTCAGCGCATGGATCGGCGTCGTGACTGGGCTCTTCTTCGGCTTCAACATCCGGAATGGCTTCTGGGGCCTGGACCTCGCGAAACGGTCCGTCCGCCTCTATGACGACGGCCGCGTCCCGATCAACACCACCACCCTGTCCTGGGTGGGCACCTCGTTGGCCCGTTTCTTTTCCATGCCCGACGACTTCGTCCAGCGGTATCGGAATCAATGGGTCTTCTTCAGTTCGTTCTTGGTCAGTCAGCGCGACGTGTGGGAGAGTGCACAGCGAGCCACGGGGACCACCGAGGCGGAGTGGCGGGTTGAGACAGTCGATGCTAAGGCATCAGTTGAACAAGCCAAGAAGAGTATCCAGCAAGGAAACTGCGTGGTTGTGTTCAGCTTGCTGTTCGCCTTGACCTTCCAGGATGGCTTTGGATCCGACTTTTCGGACCGGGTCATTGACTATCGTGCGATGGACCTGACTCCCCTGCCCCTTGATACTGTCGTCCAGGAGCTTGTGGAAGAGTGTACCTAGACCGTAGCAAATCCTGAATGGATATACCATTTAGAAGCCATATGACGCTAGTGTTCTAGGCCAATATCAGTTGTTTTAATCATTTAGGCTATTTCCTTTTATCCGTCAACGTTTTGGTACTTAGCAGTGTGCCAGGGTGAAACATGCATGGAGATAATCTCACACCACAATGTGGATCTGAACGGCTTCGGATTTCCGAGCTCCATTGGGTCGGATTCCGAGCCAAATCAAGTGTAGCATGTTTGTGCCGGACCGATGCAGTCTTCTCTCATCAACTCTTTTTCAGTCACCTGTATGCGAGCTTTCCATCTGTCCACCTTGGGTAGTTTGAACATGGCTCCCAGATTCAAGTTGGTCCGGTTGGTGGCAGGCACTGCCATCACCGGAGGCAGTAGCATAGCACTTTTGGCATCCTATATTACGTCCGATATCGAGTTTGTCCCCTTGTCCGCCACGGACCCTATCTTCCAGTCGAAGCACCTCCAGGAATACAACCCCAATAGCAATCCCACAATCCATGACTTGCATATCGCCAGGGTGCCTTTGACCCAAATCCATCCTCGGCTTCTCGATGATCCGAACAAGCTTCTGGAACGATACTGCGGAGGAATATGGGCGGGAGCTGGTAAGCCTCACAGTATCATAGAAAATTTCTCTCCACAGCAGATGTATCTGACCCTTGGCTCTTTTCATGACCCAGGCTTCGCTCCACAAAGAATCATGCACACGTGGTTCGACCGAGGCGAGTCGAGCTCTCCCCAGCTGTGGTCAACTTCTGAGCTTCTCCAGTCGGATTACAAGGTAGGAACCGATATTGCGGGCAATTTTGAAGTGGTCAATCGGTCCAACGAGTCGATTCTGATCCGGGCCGGGGACAAAACCTCGAACAAAGGGTTGCGTCCTCTCGACGCTCTGATCGAGGTTGGCTCGCACATCGATAGAGAGAATAATGTGGCTGTGTTTGAATTCAAGTCGCTGTTCTTCCAAGGGATCGGGACAACGAGCAACCCCCCTATGCCGGGGCCTATCGTGTGGTTGCATGAGCTTTACGCGAAGATCCTTTTGAAATCCGGTGTCCAGCATGTCCTTAGATAGTGCATAATTTGTAGCGAAATGAATGCCATTCTCTCCTCTTTAGAACTAAAAAGGTCTACAGAGTATACTTGCTCCCCGAGAAACACGGGACCATACAGTTGGGTAATTCCCTTGCAATAAGACACTTGAACCGCCAGCCCGTGCAGTGACCCGCGAGTAGTACTTTGGGCTCCATCTTCTTCAAGTCGGCCATCGTAGCGTTTAATTTAGTATCGTCGGCATCCGCCAGGTGATATCCACCCACGACGCAGTACAGAGGGCTACCATTGCCCAATTTGATTGCATCACGGCAGGTGTTCACAATTCCGGCATGGCCGCAACCAGTGAAGACAACAAGGCCTTTGCCTGCAATACACCAACCAAGAAAGAAACGCACGTCAGAAATCCGGACCAAAAAAAAAAAAAAAAAAAAAACGGAAAAGCAGGGGATATAACATACCCTTCAGATTGCACATCACGTAGCGCTCTTCCATGATCAGGGTGTCTTCTTCCCACTGTTTGGTGTCTTCGTTGTACCGCAGCCCTCCGTAGATGCCATCCTCGTAGCTGGTCTCGCGCGGAATCTCGCCTGAGATGAGAAAGAAGTCATCTAGTACGGTATGCGGCTGGTGGCTCTTGAGCAGACGGGCTCCGGCGGCTTCCAGCTCCTCGAACGAGGGATCGGCTTCCAGCGAAATCGGTCGATCGGCTTGCACGCCTCGATACGCTGGACGGTTCGGATGAACATCTACCACCGGTCCCTTTCCCCCCTTGCCGGTATTCTGGGCGATGTGTTCAATCGCCCGGGTCAAACCACCTGGAATCTTCGTATTAGTGGGGAGCTGTTCCTTGCTCATGGGGCAACAACGAGTGGATTGCATTCATACCAGAGTGATCGCGATGATAATGCGAAAGAGCAACGTGCTCTATCTTGCCAACCTCAGTCCGAAGGCGACTGGTATTTCTCTCCCACACCGCGCCCTCTGGCCCAGCGTCAAAGAGGAAGTGGTGTTTCTGGTCGCCCTTGGTGGCAATCTGTCGGACATCGTCAGCTTTCTTCCATAATCTTGCAGGAAAATGCGCGCAGCAATGGAGAAACTTACAAGAAGCAAGGAAATGCCATGCGCGGCGCAACAGATGTTGTCCATTCGCATTTCCATCTGCGCACCGCCTCGTTCGGTGTTGGAGTCCAACGGGGAGAGCGGGATGCCCATAAACCGGCTGGCTACCTGCACGGCGGGATTGGGACTGGGAGAAATGGGGTCCAGCTCGTCATTGACAATGACATGGACTTCGAGTTGGTCGATTTCCGTCAGCATTGTAGAGATACCTGGGTCATAGAATGGGAAATTGTGATAGGCGTTGATGTTGATTTATGTTATGCACCACCGTTGGTTGGAAGGTAGTGAGGTCATATATATATCCGACCAAGCAAGTATGGTCGCATTGTGCGACTATTCCCTTTCCGTTCGGCAGTCCGATAGCGGATGGAAGTCGATCGCCGAACATTTAATGTCATGCATTACTCCATCAGTGTATTGCAGTAGACTGTACACAGTAGTCCATCCCCGAGTCGCCGACTGGTAGAACCCCCGGGACAGGATTGCGTCGGGCTGGAGTCGACCTCTTAAAAGAAAACTTTGCATTGTGATACCTTGAAGGCACTTCCATCGGCATCAGTCACGGGAGCTCGCACATATGTCTAGATTGATCTAGGTCAGGTGATGTCCGCCTATGACTCTCTACTAAGAATGTCGTTGATTGAGTCCGAGTCTTTGCAGAATGTTGATATGTACGTGAAGTCACGTGTCGAAACACGCCTCCGCGTATGTCAACGCCCACGTTATACGCAATAAGACCGGTCGGACCTACATGTTCATCGACCCACTAACTCAGAATAGAGAGATTGTCGCCGACCGATGCCATTCGAGTTCCTCTAGTACTGGGACCTGCGACCGCCATGGACGGGGAGATTGCAGAACTACGACGTCAGCTTGTAGAAGCGCAGCGGCTTCGAGAGGAAGCAGAGCAAGGCCAGAAAGAGGCGGAGCGTCGCCGGGAAGAAGCAGAGCGTCAAGTCGAGCAGAATTCGTTACCAGGATTACTAAAGGACTGCCATAAGCTCTCCCAGGCAATCCGCGTCGAAACGAAGGTGACGTGGACGACGCAGGGGGATACCACGAATCCAGTTAACAGGTTGTTCCCCAAGCGCATCGTGCCCTGGACTGAGTTCCCTCGGCTACAGGAGAAGATATGGGACAAGTTGAATCGCGATCGTACGTTTATTCGCAAGCGCCTCTTTCAGAATAACAATTTCCTCGACCAAATCCACACCTACTTCCAAAGGCATCTAATTTTCTCTGAGGAATCATTGCGTTATTTTCAGAGGGATACCATAGAAAGGTTTGTGGATGACATCCTTGATGCGTTGGTGCTTACCGATGTCACAACAGACACAAAGCAGGAAGCTCACCAGAGTAAATCTACAGGCCAGCACGATTATCAGGGTCAGTGACCTAGCTGCATAGCTCGTCAAGACTCCTCGAGCTTTGGAAGTAAATTTAATTAAAGCGATTGACTTGGTTGTACATACGGTCGTCTAGAATGTCGCTTTTTGTATATAATGAATGATGATAATGACTGGTTATAAGATAGAAATGCAGCTTGAAAAGACCGCAATGTAGTCAAGCAATTCCAGCACCCTACACCAGGAAGGCAGCAATGCAAGAGTGTGTATGGCTATATATTTACTCTATATAGACTGTATCTCCATAGAATGCTCAACTTGCTCCCTTTCACCGGAGGCGTAATATGATGCCATTATATCTCGTCAATCTTTCTTCATTCCACAAGTGTAAGAAATATTCAAATTAAATGTTATAGGGGACGCGATTTGGTCCGTATGATGTGTAGAATAACCTAATGTATGCCATGTCTTTCAAGCCCAAGTAGGTACATCCATCGCACTGCCCCTAATATATTGAGAACACTAGGCTAAGGGCTGGCATTGTGGGTGATTGAATCCTTGCATCATGCTGTGGAGATGATAGACAGGGGAACATAAAAGTTCAATACGCTCTATCCCCGTTGACTCATGTCTGTATTCCAGAAGGATTCAATAGCCCCTTGTATATATTAGACGGTCTATATGAAGGGTAGTGGAGCAGGCCGGAGCACGGTGATACCTGAGAAGGAATATCAAATACAAGACACGGCTGAATCCCCCTTCCCCTGTATCGATAGTTTCATAAGCTGTAGAATTCCATTGATGTGACACAGGATGTTATGGACATCAGTGATACAGATCCTTGTTTCACGTTGAGCACTTCGAGTTTCTCCATATGCAGGACCCCGATGATCTTCATGCCAAGCCTCATGAGATTCCTCCGCACTCTCGTTTATTTAACGAGGATGAAACCGGGCCCCTTGATCAACTTCTCCTCCGCCCCTTTCCTCCTGCTCTGTAGTATGAGACTTCATCCCGCGGTTGTGGACAGACACTATACACAGTATGATGCTGCTGAGTATGCCGATCTCGGCTGGCCGGGAAATTTCAACCTCAGCCATTCCAGAGATGGAATAATCATGAGAAGCTAAAGTAGACACTAAAAACTAGTCAAAGAGAACCGCAGGCGGGAAAACAGAAAAAGAAAAGGGACATTGGCGAACCGCACATAGCCCTAATTTTGCGACAGGTGCTTTTCGCTAGTTCACAGCGACTGTAAATGGCGCATTGAGCGATGTCGCAGAGGATTCAAATGCCCGCATACACCAGCCTTTACCCGTGTCTTTGGTGGGCCTGTTCCGAAGTTATCCCGTCAGCCAAAATCCGGTCTAGTGAAGCGTGTACAGAGAGTCAACAATTGTGCGGCAGGACATTTCTCTTGGTGCTGGTGCCTTAAGAGGCATTAAGGCATCAACGATGACCTCAGGCATGATATCAGTCCATTTGATGTTCGCTCTCAATTTCCTCATCCAACACACGTTGCGATCATGGCCCACCACATTCATCCCCAGCCTCCTGGACGACATCAGCTGCCGGAAAAAAGAGCACACATGGGTTCTTTTGAAGCACGTCCGTACGGTGGATGATGTCGTGATCTACCCAGCGCCTCAGTGACCCAGCTTCAAATGGGCGCATGATTTCGACATCTTGATCAATGCACATCACAGTTTATGCAATGTGATTCGGGAAGGAAAAAGGAAAAAAGGAAAAAGAAAAAATCCTGTTCTCGGCATGTTTAGTACTACCGATCCCTACTATACAGGGAACAGCTTGAGCGGAAGCGCCAAACATTCATTGGAATTCGGCCAATTCAGCCACTGTTTATCTATCCGGTCCGACTTGCCTGTGAAGCCGTCAGGGTCTGCGCCGGATCCTTGGGATCACAACCTATAGATGCAGCTGATAGGTCTCCTACTAAAAGTCTGTCCGGATACAGGCCGAGCTCTCCGCCAATGTACGGCCAGAATAGACAGTTGATCCGCGGTTCTGAACAACCACATCCATGCTGGTGAAGAACATCATGCTGAGATGAGGACAATACGCAACATCCACAAGGTAGCGGTCGCATATCGAGTCCATTCCCATCACCGCCTGAGCTATGGCGTCTTCATTGGATACAGATTATCACAGTTCGAATCAAGCCCCACAGATCGGCACTGATCTTCATACGAGCGCGCTTCTTGAAAACAGCTTCTGTGTCATCGAACACGTCGAAGGATGACCAGAAACAGTCCCTGAAATCAGTCTTTGGCGCAGAGAGCTCGCCACCAAAAAAGCACGCGGCTGGAGGGACGTCGTAATAAACATATCACGCCAATGCTGGTGGCTTTTGCACTGTTGCCAGGTCCAGTGGGTCCATTGCCACCGCAACCCGACGTTGTGCAGCAAACCTGATAGCCTCTGGCCAGTTCCACATCGCCGATCAGCACGGCCAGACACGTTGCCGCCAAACCTTGGATGTCGGACCCTTGGATGTCATCGTTGCACCATGGCTCAAGGTTGATAGCCCCAGGACAGAATTCCTGTCCCTGGCTACTGCAGGTCCGTAAAGTCTTCTGTTATTCGCCCACGCACTTTGGCTTCCACGCCAACCTCCTACCGACGTCGGCCATGGGCCGGTTCCCGACGATAGGATCCCCATGTGCTGTTACCTTATCTAGCACTAAAAGCGTGAGCGAAAAAATTCATAGCGGCTGAAGGAGAGAAATCTCACTAGCCGCTAAGCCGCGACCTGGACTTGAAGCCATTATAAAGGCACACCTCATTCCAGAGAGCTTTTATCCTCTTTCCTCTCATACTACTATCAATTTATACTACTACCCAAAGCAAACAAGCTCAGCACCATCTGCCAACCCTCACTATGAAGTTCACTAGCTTCGCCATTGCCGGTCTCATTGGCTGCACTGCTGCCTTGCCTCCATTTGCCGCTTCTTCTACTCCGTCCAGCTCTGTTTCTGTTTCTGTCACCCCGAGCGCTTCCCCCAGCTCATCCAGCATCGCCTTCGCCGGTCTTGGCAAGCGCTCTGAGACCCCTTCAAGCTCTGCAACTCCCTCCAGCTCTGGTATTGCGTCCAGCTCTGCAACACCATCAGGCTCCTCTTTCGCTGCCCCATGGGTCTTCCATAGACGCCAGTTGGCCACCCCCTCCAGCTCTGCGACTCCTTCTAGCTCGGCTTCTGCCACCCCCTCGAGCTCCGCTACTCCTTCGAGCTCTGCGTCCGTGACTCCCACCAGCTTCGCCGTTCAGAAGCGCAAGTTCTCTAGCTCCAGCAGCTCTTCTTCCGCCTCGCCTTCGTCGTCTGCTACTCCTTCCTCCGCGACTCCTTCTCCCTCTGCCTAAGCCCTAGAGGTTTGGAGTATTGCCATCGGAGCTATCGTCACGCCTTCCTGTGCGGAGTACATTCGATCCTGTACTCTCCTCGTGCACCATTGACCAACATAGGAGGCTGACACAATCACCAATTAATTTTGCACTTGTTTATCGCGACCGTTACTGGTTTGTTTAATATGTTGCTGTTTTTAGTTATGCTGGCGTATAATATTTGCTTTTCTGTGCGATAGAGTCGGGTACTCGTCCTGTTTGTTCCGCGATTTAGTTTAGAAATAGAAGTCGTTCGTTTTACTGTTTGCCCATCAAATAGTAGTCATAAATACACTGCTGCAGGAAATCGACCGATCAAAGTGAAAATACCTAAGAACGTATGCATGCGATGCTGCCACAAGGTCACTACTTTCCACGGCTTCTATCTCAAAATCAAGAACACAGATGATGCATACTTTCTCGCAGCCACAGCTGCGAAAAGAGTGTTTTTGAAAAGGTTAAGTCATAGCTCGCGTCCTTGTTTCGGATGGCTGCTATCGTCCACAATCAATTTCTGCCAGTAGAAATTGCAAGGTTGTCGTAGTGATTCTAAACATTCTATATTTCTCGATTTATCGCTTCGAAACCACAATAGATGCTATGCAATTTATGGACAGCATACATTTCTCTATAATATATTTCCCTCAAGTCGACCACCCGCGTTGAAGGCTATCCTAGCCCTAACTAGTGGTGAAGTACTCTGTGTGGAAACGTTAACTAAGGCGTTATTGGAAAACAGCTTGAAATTCCAATGAGATGCGTGTGAAAGAGGGATGTCGTTTTATTAAAGATGTCTCGATGTGTCCTGGGGAAATATTGTCGCTTTCTGCTGAGTTCGTGAACAAATTCTGTTTTGTTTGAGTATTTAGCACGGGCGGATGACCTAAGTCAAGATATATTTAACTATCGAGTCAAAGCGTAGGTTATCCCCACTAGACGAGCCATATCCCGGGGATTTGATAAAAGTTGTATATTCTGGTGGGGAGACGGTTCTAAAATTAGATCAGAGCTTGGCTTGAGATATATATGGCCATGCATATCTGAGTGTACCTGTGTGAGGGAGACAACGCATCCTGTGTCACGTCATAGAACAGGACATATATCGATGGGAAAATCCTTCTTGACGGATATCTTATTGTTATCGATAAGCTATCGGTGCCTAAATAGTGGGGCACTTTAGACTATTGCTGCATAAACTTGACTAGTCTCTTTCTAAGAACTCGCCAAGTGTCCTCTGGATTCACCACGTCCATTCGGTAGATCAATCGTGGAGATCCATCCTGCCCTTGCTGTCACACCAAAAAGGGGTCCAGAATGGATCCAGATGAGGGGCAGAGCACAGCTCCCAACAAGTCAAGAATGCCCGGTACCAAATATGATATCTTCGCGCCGTTCCAAAAAGCCAACGCGGAAAAGGTCTGTATTGAATATCAAGAGCTACTCTCATCAGTCTGACTCTTTCAAGATATGCATGGAGCCTTTCGAGTACACTAGGTCTCTTCCCGGCAAGAACACCGTTGGTAAGGTCATCGCGAGCTTGCGGCCTTGGCTGAATATTTCCGACCATTCTGCAGCGGTCCTTACAGATGTCATGACAATGTTGCAGAATGCATCTTTAATGTACGATCGTCGCACAACCCGAGATATGGAGGTAAGGGATAGCTGATGGGATGTCTTTGACAGGCTAGATGATATTGAAGACCGCTCTCAACTTCGACGTGGTGAACCCGCGGCGCACGTTAAGTATGGCTTGAGTCAAACAATCAACAGCACTACGTATATTGCTGCCAAGGCTGTCTCCGAGGTTCAGACCCATCTACGGCCAGATTGTGCCAAAGTCCTGTCTGGTAAGTTGTTAGCGTTGCTCAATCGACGACCACGTATTAAACATGCCCGTAGAGGAGCTCCAAACTCTCACGTTAGGCCAAGCTCTCGATCTCAACTGGACATTCCACAAACAGTGTCCCAGCGTGCAAGAGTACCTTGTCATGATTGACCACAAGACTGGAGGTTTCTTCCGCCTGCTGCTTCGGATCATGGAAGTGGAAGCCAATGCCACGCCGAATGAGGAGCTACATCATCTGATTACTCTGCTGGGGAGATACTACCAAATTCGAGATGATCACCAGAACTTAGTTTCTGATGAGGTAGGCTGCTGCTTCCTGTGATAGTCGATACCGGACTAAAGAGCTTTGTAGTATACCGCTAAGAAGGGCTTCTGTGACGATCTTTCTGAGGGGAAGTTTTCGTTTCCGCTTATCCATCTGCTCGAGCATAGTCCCAATGCCAGTATGCTGCATAAACAGATCTTCGACCGGCAACCCGAGGACAAGGGGGAAATCTCTGAGGAGACAAAGTCGTATATCATTGCACAAATGAAGGAAATAGGTAGCTTGGAGTATACGCGGGAGGTTCTGGATGGCCTCTTTGATTCAATATGGAAGACAATAGAGAAGGTCGAAGAGGTCATGGGAGACAATATGTGGCTCAAGGCTCTCTGCACAATATTAAAGCTGTGACAGAGCGGCGGTGAATGATCTAGGACTCAGCGTTGACAACTGATGTATGGATCCCATAATCCTACCTTTTGCGGTTTGTCTTCATGTAAGCGAGGTTCTCTATCCGCGTCTATTTCCAAGCGATCAAGAATGCCTCCCCAGAACGCAGCGGAATTCTACATCTGGCGTATATGGTTCCTGTATAGCCATTTTCACCATGTTAACGGGTGGCACCCTCGCAGGCGCAGGCATTGTCACCGGTGGCTCCAGATTGATCAACACTTGGGAGACCAACACGGCTTCCACGAAGATCATCGGGTATCAATTCTGGCAGGGGTGTGCGACGCGATCTGCGCACAAATCCCGGTGATAGTCGCCCAGGTCTTTGTAAACTAGAAATACCTTGCCACTGTGACCGGGTTAGTCTTTGTGTGAACTAGCTACTAGCCACACTAAATGCTGACCTGCATGAGATCGCCCAACAGTTCGCAAATTGTTTAGAGGCCATTTGTGATGCGTAACGGTGGAAACAGGGGTGCAATGCGGTTAGGGCCACATACAGGATCTCCTTTGTTTTAGAAAATCAACCAGCAAAAGCCTCTTCTGCTTTAACTTGCCTCCTTCCTCCCATTCAATGGCTGTTCCTGCTACTTCTTCGACTCGCTTTTCGTAACCAAGTGAACTGTGCAATCATGGCACTCCCGTCGTCCTTCACTGCCGCCCTCATTACCGTCCTCCTTGTAAGATTAGCCACACGCAGAGGGGCCAAGGAGACCCAAGTTCCCCCCGTTGTCTGACCCGCATTGTGTAGTTTCCCGCCCTTTTCGCCGTCAAACGGCTGTACTTCCACCCTCTCTCTCGGTACAATGGGCCTCTTCTCTGGGCTGTTACCCGCGTGCCGTATATGCTCGCCTTCCGGAATGGCCAGCTGGCGCATAAAATCAAGCACTTTCACGAAGTTTACGGCGAGACAGTCCGCGTGGCTCCAAACGAGGTTTCCTTCATCAACCCCGACACCGTGAAAGACATCTATCAGCGTCGACCCAGAGGTGGGGGCTTCAAGTCACTCCCCAAAGATCCCATCCGTCAAGCACCTCCACGGCCGGGGCAACCCATGAGCATCCTTGACGCGGGAGATGCGGACCATACGCGACTCCGCAAGGCCTATGCTGCCGCCTTCAGCGGCCAGGCCCTAACCGCGCAAGAGCCGCTCGTGACCTCCTACGTCGACAAGATGATCACCCAACTCCGATCCCAAACCCAAGATGCTACTCAAAGTATTGATATCCAAGAATGGGTCAGCTTCTGTACCTTTGACATCGTCTGCAAGCTGAGCTTCGGTGAAGATTTCGGCTGCCTGGACAATCAGCGCTACCATGAATGGGTTGGTCAGCTCGTCTACTCCCTGAAGGCTAAGGTCCAGCTAGCCTCCTGTCGCTTCTACCCCTGGCTGTTCAACTACCTCGTCAAGCGCCTCCCCAAGTCCGCGGGGATCCTTATGGCCCAGCACCAAGCCACGACCCAGGAGAAAGTGAAACGCCGGTTACAGCAACTGCACAGCGGCGGTAGCAGTAACACAGCAGGTAGAGATGTTGCAGGGGTCAATCAGCCGGACTTCTCAGCGCGCCTCGTACAACAGCAATCCCGGCAGGAGATCTCCGAAGCGAGATGGTCGTCAACGCCGCTACCCTCATTGTCGCGGGAAGCCACACCCTGCAGACCGCCATTACTGGCATCCTTTTCCACCTCCTCCAGCATCCAACTGTGCTAGACCGCGTGACAAGCGAGGTGTGGGGTGCATTTCCCTCGGCCAACCAAATGAGCGTCCAAGCACTGCTCAGACTGCCTCTCCTAGAGGCTGCGATCAAGGAAGGCATTCGTCTCACCTCGCCCGTGCCCCTGGGGTTGACACGGCTCGTTCCCATCGGGGGCCATATGATTAACGGCGAATTCTTCGCGGAGGGAGTAAGTCCAGCACAGTCCCACCCTTGCCCTTTTCTCCATGTTCCCTCCAATTCAGACAAGGGATAGTAACAAGGAAGCTAACCATGTATCTCAGACCGTCGTTTCCTACATGCAATGGGCTGCCAACGTCTCCCCACAGAACTACACCGACCCTATAGGCTTCCACCTCGAGCGCTGGCTCAAGTCACCCTCGTCCCCATCCCAGTCATCCACTTCTTCAATAGACGATCACTTCGGCAGGGACCGCAAACACGCCACCCAGCCGTTCCTCCAGGGTCCACGCGACTGCATCGGTCAGAATCTCGCCCGCATGGAGATTGTCCTCATCCTAGGAAAACTGCTATACCACTTCGACCTGCAGGCCGAGGGGAAGCTGGGGCGATGGGAGGATCAGGAGACGTATGCGGTCTGGGTGAAGACGCCGCTACCCGTGAGGTTGCGGGTAAGGGACGGGTTGATTTGAAGTTTGCAGTGGCACCTAGCTACATGAGGAGTTATCCAGGGGGCACATTCTATATTCCTGGTTTTTCTCACTCCGTTAATATAGTTATGGAAGTTTATGGGTGTCACGAGACGGGAGAAGACGTGATAGAGGTATCAATTGGTCCCGAGTAATTACCGAGACTAGAGGCGCAATTGTCTCTCTTGACGATCGTATGCGCTGGACGGTTGGATCATAGGCGGAAGAGTATATAAGAAAAGCACAAGTTTAGCACGGAATAAACTTTTGAAAATTGCTCATAATAACAATCTGTGGTCTCCTAGAATCTTGTTTAGTCTTTCATAAGAATAAGAGCTTTGTTCTCATACTAGACCAGTCGAGCATCAACCGACCTGGCCCTCAACCTGCCCTGAATGCGTTAAGAACATTAGAGACTATATAGCTTCCCTGATTGACACCAGTGACACCACGTACCTTAGAGATATACAATACCAATACCCCTGCCCCAAAAGCTCCATATAATATTTAATATGATACTCGTTGGACGGGATAAGCATTCCAATGCCGTCCTCCCACTTGGCATAGCGGAATTGCTCCTTCACAGATCGACCGAAGCATAGTAACAGTTTGAGACCGTAGTCTGGGAATGAATACTCTTAGCCAGTCTAGTCTCCATATGTCAGAGGGCTGCAGACTTAGGACTGTATGAGGGCAAGCTATATATGCTACTACAATGCTCATTGCACGACTGCCTGATGCATTCAACGAACTGTAACCCGGGACATCTTCCTCTCAGATAGATCCCTACAGGGTCCGTACTATATCCCAAACCCAGCACGATCCACCCCCAGCCCCACCAGCGGAACAACCAAACCCATCACTCCAGTAAACGTATCCACGGTTAAATACCAAGTCGGTTAAATACCACCAGAAACCATCGGCCCACAGCGCCCCGACCTCCAGGTCCCCAAAGGCGGGGTTCCCAGTCCAAGCTTCAGCCCCTCCCGACAGGAAAGCATAAATATCTATAAACTACCCCAGGTAACCACGCCGACACCCAACCAATATATACACGAACCAAGATGTCTATGACCGTATCCGACTGCACGCAAATCCGGGATGGCTTTCCGCGGCCGTTCCCGGATACCCCTGCCAACGTCCTGCAGCAGTTCAAGTTGAACGGCAAGGTGGTGGTTGTTACAGGCGCGGCGGATGGTATCGGGCTTGCTGTTGCTGAGGCCATGGCAGAGGCGGGGGCTGCAGTTGCTTTGTGGTATAACTCGTGAGTTTCTGGCTTCTATTCGGAGGTTCGGGGTATGGTGTGAATTAATTGTTGACGGGGTAGAAACGATGCTGCCGTTACGAGGGCCGAGGAGTTGGCGAGAGATCATGGTATTAGGACTGTGGCTTATAAGGTCGATAGTACGTTGTTGTCTGTTTTTAATCTACGATTTGTTGCTAATGATGGTCAGTATCAAATCCGGAGGAGGTGCAGAAGGCTGTAGCAGATGTCGTGAGGGATTTCGAGAGGATAGATGTTTTTGTTGCTAATGCCGGTGAGTTCAGTTCGTAGAGGCTGTCCTGAGAATACAAGACACTGATGACAAGCAGGAATGGCCATCTCCAAACCAATCCTTGAACAAACGCTGGACGAATACAGGAAGCAAATGTCTGTCAATGGTATGTATTCCTTATTTCCCTAAAGTCCCACCAACTATGGACTAAGTATCTATTCTAGTGGACGGAGTCGTCTCCTGCGCAAAGTACGCAGGCGAGGTATTCCAGCGTCAAGGCTCCGGGAACCTGATCATCACGTCAAGTATGAGCGCACATATTGTAAACGTGCCAACGGATCAACCCGTCTACAATGGATCCAAGGCTTTCGTAACGCAATTTGGTAAATCGCTTGCCCGTGAATGGCGCAACTTTGCGCGGGTGAACATTGTCTCGCCAGGATTCTTCGATACCAAAATGGGTGCCAGCCCACTGGCTGTTAACGAGGCATACCGAATGGCTGTGCTTGGAAGACAGGGTCATGTGAAGGAGATTAAGGGCCTGTATCTGTACCTGGCGAGTGATGCGTCGACCTATATGACTGGTAGTGATGTGTTGATTGATGGTGGTTATGTACTTCCTTAATAAATGACCGTGTGTCATACCCGTTCAATAGCGTCTTTTCATTAGGTTTTTTGATTTTATTCGATGAACATGAAGCCAAATGTATAGAAATGGACCATCCCCACTCCATCTCCCTTCTCTGTCGAGTTTATATCAAGATGCTATCACCCCAACCATTCAGCAGATCGCATGGCAGCTAGTTTAGCTAAGACAGGGAAAGGGCCAAAGAATGGGAGAAAAGAGGACATCAGTTGTTCCTCCATTGTCAAACCTTGGAGGCTAGCCACAATATCTGAGTCGCTTGAATCAACTCTGGCATTTTCCGGTGCAAACCGAAAAATCCCCTTGGGATCCCACTTGCTTTTAACTTCCCTAATCTTACTACTGTTGGCGCCATAATATGCCTCATGACGATCCTGTTCTATTTCACAGAGCTCCCGGTCCGGGAAGTTCAAGAAGCCGGCTTTTTCGTCAATCGAGTAATGTTTCAGGTCCGCTTTGAACCTGTTACAGAACGCCTTCATCTGGTCACCGAGCCATTTCTCATCCCATTGCAGCATGATGTATGCGATGTGAGATGCCTCTCGCCAAGGGAAAGCTGTTTCATCTGCCCGTTTCTCGCTAGCTTTCTTTCCGGTGTGGATAAAGGTCACCTGCAGCAACGCTGATTCTCCATTGAACTCTATCTTAAATTCGTCCATGCGTTTGGTGATGGAGTCGATGATGCCATCGTAGTTACTTCCTCTCCCGAAAACGAACGATGAGTAAATGGCATGCACCTTATTAGCGGGAAGCGCCTTCATCGTCTCCTCGGACCACTGGGCTACCAGCGTCTCATGCAGAACCCGCGACGACTTTTCGGCAACTGACCGACGTTCGAGATTTGTTCCCAATAGGCTCTTCATCTCTTGGAGTTGCACCCGATCCTCCGTCACTTCAAGACGTTCATAAATTTCGGATTTGAATCCCGTCTTATCCCCGTCGTAATACGAAAGAAACCGAACAGCAAGATCTCCATTCTTTTCCTTCGGATTACAGAACCAGCTGGTGTCGATTGTCATTGTATCACTCCAGTCGGCAGCATAAAAGTCCTTCATTGCATTTATGAACTCCTCTTTTCTGTCCGCTGGAGGGTAGCAAGTGTATCTCCCGGTCACAACGTCCGTCCCTCGCAATCTGTCGAGAGACATCTTCATCGTCAGCACGGCACCAAAGTTATTGGCGCCAGCTCCGCGGAGAGCCCAGAACAGGTCTTCCTTGTCAGTATCTTGATTATGGCCTTTGGTCACCTTTACCAGCTCCCCTTTCCCCGTGACTAGCGTCGCCTCCAGTAACCTATCACATCCCATTCCAAACTTCCGCGTAAATGGACCCAACCCTCCCCCCAACACAAAGCCGCTGACCCCTACTGTCGGACATCGCCCGCCGTTAACCACCAGCCCATTGACCTCCTCGATGACAAACTGCCGGTACGCATGTGCCCACAGTGCCCCACCCTGCATGGTGATTGTCGGAGGGTTGGCGGTATGTTCGAGATGTACATCATTCATCCGCGAGAGATCCAATAGAATGCCCTCGTTGGTGGTGCAGAGGCCAGCATACGAGTGCCCACCATTCTTGACGGTAATGGGTATGCTGTGCTCGAAAGCGTGTTGGACGACCTCCACGACGTGAATCGACTGCTCGGGCTTCACGACGCACTTGGGGCGGCTGAACCGGTAAAGGAGATTGGCCACATCGACAGAGACCTCATATTCCACATCGCCGGGCTTGTAGACGGGGATTTGCGTCCCAAGAACCTTCTTCTCTTTTAAGGCTTTGTAGACGTCCGTGCTTGCCATTGCGTACTCTTGTAGTAAAATGGGGCAGAAGTGCAATGGTTCGTGATGTAAGATCCTCTTTCCCTAAAAGGCGTATTCAGATTGACGATACGGAGAGAAACGTCAGGGCAGAGTATGATGGGCTTTTTATATCCTTTTGGGAACCTATGGCAAGAGACCTATTTCCCTAAAAGAGGGCTCTTTGGCACTGGTTGGAAGCAAGAATTTTCTCATGATCGGCATGAGTAGACCTAGTTGGTGAGATTGAGTGCAGTCAAGAGACACCATACTCCTCGTAGTTGCCCCATACGTCTTTACGAGCGGTTTTGGATGTTCTGCACAAGCCAGGTGTTCTGCATGAAAAGACCAATAGCGAGTTTGCCTTCGCTCTCCCCGATGCCTCTCCCCGCAGTGACAGGTATTGTCTCCTTGCGACTGGACAGTGCCAATATGCCACAGAATAACATGAGGAGGGTGCCCGCAGCGAACGATCTCCGCTTCGGCATCTCCTATGGGCGCCTTGTCCAAACCATTCATATGCGGTTGTATTTCATTGGCCTGTCCCATAGAGACGAGATAGAAACACGCCGGGAAGAGGGATTTCTAACCGGGCATGCTCATGACCAGTGATGAATGCATCCAATGATGAGGGCATGAGTAGCTCACTCAGCTAGCCACAACGAACTACTCCGCCCGGTTTAGGCGGATCTGCATATCCAATATGGTAAACCTCGAAAGTACTAAAATTGAGCACTGCAGCGTGTCGCATATCATATGCATTGTGATCCCCCCTGGCCCACATTTTGAGCCGGAAAGGATTTCCCAGATCCATGATACGACAAGTCATCATGAGATATATGAAACATAGCCGCGGGGTTGCATGCATCGCACTGTGTACATCTGTCCTTCCCGCCAAGTAGAGGACACCACGTCGACTCCAGCAGCCCCGCAGCCGGCGATCAAGGCTAGCTAGTCCGGTGGTAGAAGATAGTACAGGAACTATAGTTGTATTAAAGCCCTATTCAGCTCTTTGCATGGTTGGGCAAACCTTCCTCAAGAGCGTCCCTTTGCCAAGTTCCATATTATCCAACCATAGTTCTTCCCGCGGAGTCCGAGGCTGAATGCAGATCAACACTATTCCCCGCTGCAAGTGTTGAACCTTCGTTAGGATAAGGGATTTCTCTGTTGCTACGGTCATTGTATGTGGGGCCTTTCTATAGCATTTAGATCGTGATAACGAAGTACCAGGTCTCAATAAATCATAACTCTTATACTGTTACATGGTGTCGAATGGTCCCAGGTATCACGAACCAGTTTAATAAATCCCAATCACGCCCAGATGCAGAGATTAAGAACGTCTAAGTCCTTCTTGACCCAAATCTAGATATGCCTATACAAGGGATACCTAGGTATAAAGCATAAATCAAAGCTCAAATACAGGTTACTGGGGTGTTGGGCAACAGCGTTTTCTCTCCGTAGTAGCATCGGAAATGGCTGGATAGAACAGGGAAGTATAGAAGCTAGTCAATACAAGAGACACACTGCGTGCCGTCGCTTCATTATCTATGTGTCAACAGCTTTGTGCTCTTTGTGCAGTATATTAAGATATTTGTCTCGAAAAATATATATGTAGATTTTTTATAAGTATTTCACAAATTATATTGCTTAGTATAGTTGATTTAATTCATGTTTATTGGATATTCTTAAGTATCGAGAGAATCTTGAGTACAATACTCCGTTTGCAAGATTGAGAATTGCAAATAGTAGTTGATATACTGTATGCGCAATTTGTGGAGAGGATACGCGGATATCCATACATATTCGGGATGTGGATGATGGTGTATCTATTGTCGACTGCAGTGTATAGAGCTTCGGGTGGCTGTCTGCCGACGGCGACCGATGTAGTCGGAGGAGAATGGTCCGCATAGACAGCGCCGATGTAGAATGGCGGGGCAAAACATGGATCCACATACCGGCGTAGTTCCGACCGAAGTTGATCTATAATAAAGACATACAAGTACATCCAGCACTATACATACATCTGTATCTATTCCACGTTGTTGCGATTCAGACCTGCACAGTCGCATTCATCCACTCGCGCAAATGACTGCCCCCAAGGATATCTCGAGCCGCGATGAGCTCACTAAACGGGCTGTTCCCAGTATGGTATTGAGCGACGGCAGCGCATCCTCCATGACCCCACCACCGACATCAACTATTGAGAGCGACCCCACGACAGCGGCGCAGAAGCGGTTCACGGTGCAAGGAAATGCCGTTGTAACCGGCGGTGCCGGTACTCTAGGGCTGCAGTCGTGTAATGCGCTTCTGGAACACGGCCTAAGTGGCCTGATGATTATGGACATGGATCCAACGATTTCACAGAAGGAGATTGAAGAATTGCGGGTTAAGTTCCCCAAAGCCAAGATCGCCACATTGAAAGTCGACGTCACAGACGAGGTCGCCGTAGACTCGGCGTTCGAGGAGACCACCAAAGTGCTGGGGTCCGTGGATGCCTTGCTCTGCTTCGTTGGCGTGGTCGGATGCGTCGACTCATTGGAGATGCCCATCCCACAGTGGCGCAAGATCATGGACATCAACACTACGGGCTCGTTCATCTGCGCACAGGCTGCTGCCAAGCGCATGGTCGCTCAAGAAACGGGAGGCTCGATTACCTTCGTGGCATCCATCTCCGGACATCGGGTGAACTTCCCGCAGCCTCAAGCAGCATACAATGTGAGCAAAGCGGCCATTCTCATGCTGAAAAGTTGTCTGGCGGCGGAGTGGGCGCGATATGGTATCCGGACGAACAGCGTCAGTCCGGGGTACATGGATACGATTCTCAACGCTGGCGACGGCATTGCCGAACACCGCCGGATTTGGGCCGAACGCAACCCCAGTGGAAGAATGGGCAGTCCATCCGAGTTGACTGGCGCCATAGTGTTACTGGCGAGCAGTGCCGGTACTTATATGAATGGTGCTGATATCGTTGTCGACGGGGGGCAGATTGTATTCTGATGGTAATGGCAGTACCAAGACTTTCAAGAACATGTCAGGATCGGTCTTCTCGAAAAAAGACATACTTCAGCCATAATGAGATACTTTTCTTGAAACTTTATGATCTCCTATCGTCTTTGGATTCTATGACTTGCGGAAAAGGCAAATGTTCTATCCTACTGGATGTCCTGTATGTAATAATGTTTTTATGGTTCCAGAGTGGGAATATTACAATACTAGTCCCAATTCAACGTCCTTCAGTCTCGGCATTCCGGAACCTCTTAAGTTTCATCCTCAAGCCGCCGTCAATTTAGAAACCCAGCATGCCAAAAGACCTGAGACAGAGTAAATCAGGGGCGGTATGTAGTAGCTAACTCTGTCACTCTTGAGCCTCACTGACGATACATAGTGCACGGAATGTCAGGTATGCCGCCCGTAGACATGGCCCAGGAGGGGCAAACCAAAACTCTAGGGTTGCACCAGGCTGATCATTTATGAGCTGCGACTATCTACAGAAACGTAAAAGCAGGGTTAGATGTCCTCACCCGTTACTAAGATGCCATGCTGATCACGATTCAGTGTTCTGGATCTGCGCCGTGCGCGTACTGCGCTCGGAGTAATAAGCAATGTATCTTTAGTGGGCCGCCTCAACGCACGCCGTTAACTCGACAGTGAGACTCTCGTTCATGTTTTGTGTGGTAATTAACTGTGGCAGAAACCTTGATGAACTGGAACACCGATGTCGCGCGTTGAAGAGGCTGCTCCAGAAACTGAATCCTGACTTGGATGTTGACCGTGCTTTGAAAGAGATGAACAGAAATGATACACTAGCATACGTCAGCAAAAGAGGCAATAGCAGTATAACTGAAGACAATCCCGCCACACCAGATAGATTTGATTGGTCCGAAGCCTCCCTGGTCTCGCCGGCAGCAGAGACGTACCAGTCCCCGGAACAGGGTCCAGACGGAATGGCCTCACTGCCGAGTAGCAAATGCGATACGGGATACCTTGGTAAGACCTTTCTCGGCACAGTACTATGTGCAATGTCTAAGTCAATCCAGGAACTGGCTCGGGATCTAGCCTAATGGAAACCATCTCCCATTTGCTTCCCGCACAACCGACATTGGCTACTGGAGGGGAACGCAGTACTTATAGGAAGTCTGTTGGACCTACAAATAAGGGTCGACCTGATAGTCTGGCCTTGGAAGGGTCGCTTTCTGACACCACTACCACGCTCGTCTCATTGATGCTTACTTTCTATCGTATAATCGTGCATATCCCATCTTACACGAGCCAACATTCCGTGAAAGGTACCGGTATAGACACCAGATTCATGAGGCCTCCAGCTGGCATCCAATCTTCTATACCGTCTTAGCAATTGGGAGTTGGATAACAGGGGCCGACATGGAGCCGGACGCTTATGACTTCTATGCTGCAGCTCGATCGCGTATGTCATTGCGTATGCTTGAAGTTGGAAATATCCTCACAGTACAGGCGTTTCTGTTAATGGTGAGAAGCCCGGATCACATTATTGGGGAACATAAACTGAGCTATTAACTCTATTTCCTTCCAGGGTAATTATTTGCAGAAGCGTGACCGTCCTAACACCGGTTACAACTTCATTGGCATGGCATACCGTATGGCATTGGGACTCGGTCTGCATCGCGAGGCCCCATCGGGAACGAAGCATGACACACTCCTTCACGAACGGAGACGAGTCTTGTGGTGGATTGTATATAGCTTCGATAGCGGATTCAGTCTGACCACTGGCCGTCCCGTCATGGCCTCCGATTCATTCATCGAGACTCGACTGCCACGGAACATAGATGACTCGGTAAGCCTGACTGGAGTTCTTGGTACCCACCTGCGTATTGACTTAGTAGAAATACTCTATGGACTCAACCGTGCCCGCACCGGTTGACCATCCTACGCACTACTCTGCTGTCATCGCCCAGTCTCAGCTTGCATCCATTAGCAATCAAGTCTTTCACGAGCTGTTCTCAGCTACCGGCCATGTCCCGTTTGACATGAAGCTTCCACGGGGCATAGAACATCGCCTAAAAGTGTGGAGGCTATCCCTCCCCGCCTACTTCTCTACGCATAATATACCAGACTGGTTCCGCGGCCCGAGAGCGGTCGTTCTGTGGAAAGAGCAGAATGTCCGCATGCTGCTCTGGTGGGGAAGTCACCGAGTATGCAATTCCACGGCGGACCGGAATGAAGCTCTGAATGCCTGCGAGTACACCGCGATGGAGACAATCCAGAGCATCAGTGCCTTTTGCAACGAGAGCCCTGACGCTCTACATCCTGGCTTGACTTGGTACGCGACGTACTTTCTATTCCAAGCAGCCCTTGTCCTGAATATCGTCCGTCTCCAAGAACCTTCAGTTCAAGCACCGGACATAGGGAGAACCACTGAAGAGTTATGGCTACTGTCGCTTACGCGCGCGCATGATTGCCTTGGCTCACTGAGCCAATCGAGTAAACCTGCATCTCGATGCCTTGAGGTGTTGGAAAGGATCAAACAGCGCTGTCAGTCACGACAACTCTCTTCACTGCCAGTGTCAACATCCACGAGAGGAGCTCCTCCGAACTTTACTTCCATCACCAGAAATACCCTTCCTGACCTCCAACCAGCAACCTTTGCGGCAGATCCCGCGCTGCAGATATTTCTGGAAAACACCTCTCTCGAGGCTGACCCGTTCGAGGGAATCGATGGCTTTCCGGGTACACAAGAGCTGGAGCTGTTTGATTATTTGCCATTAAGCGCCTATGGAGTGGGTGAGGGCGAGGGATCCATGCTTTTGACTTCCGGCACACATCCGCCGTAAGATTCAGGTTGGGCAGGCTCGATGTTATCGCTGTCTATGCCCTCGCGCAGATATAATTAGATGATCAGTGTATGACAATAAACCCTATCTATGAGTAGTCGCCCGCCAGCGTTACCATGGCTACTTCTTTGGCGTAAAAGGATTGTTAACTTTCCCTAGCAAGGTCACTGTACCTTTTTTGCATTCGCAATTGCTTTTAGTCTTTTTATTATTTTATCATCTCGGTGTTGTTTCATATATTGGTTCAAATGCTCCAATATCCCAAATACTTACAATAAATCCACTTTCTGGGTTCAATTGAGCACAGACTCGACCCCTCATTCAAACACGAGAGAGAAATCCCGACGGCCCAGGAAAGGCCGGACCATCGGGCGACAGTCAACCGACGACAACCAAGGATCCAGATAGCTTTCCGGTGTCCAGGTGGGGTTGTGGAGATCGCTCTATAAACTGTTGGACGGCCATGGACAAATGCATGGGAAAAGGTATTCTATGCTCAATACTATAGACGAACGAAAATGAACCCAGACACCAGAAACCCATCATGTCTTCTGTACGGAGCGTTAGATGCGCGATACGAAGACCGCCCGATGCCCGTGCTTGACAACCCGCATGATGTTATCGTTCAGATCGCATATACGGGTGTTTGTGGCAGCGATGTGAGTATTCCCGCCTCCAACTCCATGGTCCCCTCCAACTCCATGGTCCCTTTACTATAGGACACCGACCTCATTACAACCATCCATACTAGTTGAAGGACAATTCACTAACCAAGCCATAAGGTCCACTTCTGGCTGCACGGCGGAATCCGCACCTACGTCTCCGAAACGCAGCCCCTGACCATGGGCCACGAAGCCTCGGGTACAATCCACGCAGTAGGCTCAGGCGTGACCACTCTCGCCCCGGGAGACAGAGTCGCCATCGAACCCGGCTACCCCTGTCGACGTTGTCCGCGCTGCAAATCTGGTCGCTACAACCTCTGTCCCGAGATGAAATTTGCGGCCGATCCGCCATTCACCCATGGAACTCTTACGCGGTATTTCAAGCTCCCTGCGGATTTCTGCTACAAGATCCCCGATCATATCAGTCTGGCTGATGCCGTGCTCATGGAGCCGTTGGCGGTGGCTATCCATGCGGTGAGGCTGGCGGATGTGAAGCCGGGGAATAGGGTGGTTGTTTTCGGGGCGGGCACGGTGGGACTGTTCTGTGCGGCTGTGGCGAGGGAATTTGGGGCTGCAGTGGTGGTTTCGGTGGATGTGTTGGAGAAGAGACTGTGTTTTGCGAAGGAGTTTATTGGGACTGTGGGACGGACTGCTATGCCGGATTTATCGATTACTCCGGAGGAGAATGCTCAGCGCTTGATACGGACTCATGGTCTAGGTGAAGGGGCGGATGTTGTTATCGATGCATCTGGGGCTGAGGCTTCTGTGCAGACGGGTGTGTTTTCCTTGCGCATGGGGGGGGACGTATGTGCAGGCTGGGATGGGGAAGCGTAAGATCGAATTCCCTATATCGGAGATGTGTGAGAGGGAGATTGTAGCCAAGGGTTGCTTTCGATATGGCGCGGGGGACTTTAATCTGGGGATTCATATGGTCAGTTCGGGGAGGCTACAGTTGGCGGGATTGGTAACTAGGATCTTCCCGTTTGAGGCTGCCCCGGAGGCTTGGGAAACGGCGAAGCGTGGTGAAGGTACTAAGACGTTGATTGAAGGGCCTAAAGTTTAGGATGTGTGTTGTAGGTCTCTCGAGATAGATGGTAGGGTTTGAGGTCGGGGTTAGAACAACATAGGAGACATCACTTTCACTCCGAGGAGCTTGCTATAGAGCAACTACGACAGAGTACCTGAATACATCTGTTGCAGACAAAGCCCTAAGCCAACATATAGAGCTAGACTCACAGGGTTTAGGGAAAAGTCACATTTCCCTGTTTCAATCCCAGTGTGAATTCGACGGCAGACTCGAAACATCTGACACCTTTGTATGGTTATTTTCTAACTTTGTGCATCATCATCAGACCTGATAACCTGTGTATATGCACATGTACTACAACACGTAGACTGTGTCACACAAGAGTACAAGCATATACTTTTTGGACTTGATATGGTACGAATATGCATCGTGGCCATCAAATACTCACGTGTCGCTACGTCATGGCCCGCACCACCGACGTCACAGCCCGAAGGAGTAATCTATTTATATCAAGCCCTATACATACTATTCAATACCTTCATTGTGCACCTCACAACCCCCTTCGTTTTCAAAATAAACTACTTAGCGTTACCACAAATAGCACACCATACTCTTCTACCATATAAGTTACAAGACCTACACCATGAACCCTCTCAGCCCCTCTCCCCAGCCACAAAACGAGGATGAAAAGCAACAGCAACAATCCTACTATGACTGGCTGCGTGAACAGTACAACATCCAATACGAAAAATGGTATCCCTGGATCGAAGACCAGTATCTGAAGTGGTTCGGAAAAGGCGATAACAAAGCTTCCTATGTTACTAAGGGTCAGTGTGCCTCTTATATATGCATGCATGTACCTGTGGAAGAGTGGGATAACTAACTAGGGACATCTCGCTATAGACACGCTGAGCAAGTCCAAGGTGACTGGAATCAAACAGGTGGATCAGCTACAGGATGACGTGCATGATCTAGTTGGAAATCAGCTTGGCGATAATGGATTGCTTTCGCCTGTGGGCAAGATTGTTTCGAAAGAGGGGATTAATCGGGCGGAGAGGAAGGGGAAGGATGAGGATGGAAGATATGGGTTTGGTGGTTTTGGTATTCCAGGGAGATGATCTATGATTCTGGGATGGTTATGGGGCTGAGGGAGATTGTATGATATTTCTGTGGATATACCTTGGTTTTATCCATCTGGGTCTACTTGATGTTGTAGTTATAGTTGTATTATACCTGCTTTTTTTCATGTTATACATGATATCCACGTTTTTGCATGTGTTTGATGGGGTAGTATGGACCGTCATGGCTAGAAAGCCACACACATTTCAGATGTTATATTTGTTCGTCGGTGTGTCTATAGCGGTGAGATCTCGTATATATCGCCCTTGGCAGTCGAAATCTCCTCTCTACACACACTGCCATTCACACTAAACTGTTTTCCATCCTGCACACGTATCGCTAATATCCCACCCGCTCTAGCCGTGACCCTCGCCCAAGTCAGCTTACCACCCGACCACTCCATATCCACCACAAAGTTCCCCCTGGCCACCAGTCCGGTCACCTTCCCATTTGGCACAGCTGACGGCAAAGCTGGCAGCAAATGCACCACCCCAGCATGACTCTGCAGCAGCATCTCAGCAACGCCTGCCGTGAACCCAAAGTTACCATCAATCTGGAAGGCCGATCCAGGTCCAGAGTCTGTATTCCACAGATTCCCACTCGGATACGTCTGCAGGAATACCCGGGTGTGGTTCCACGCGGCGTCTCCGTCGAACGAGCGAGAGTAAAGACTAATCGTCCACGCTCTCGACCAGCCTGTACTGCCGCTGCCATGGGCGATACGGTGGTCCAGTAGGACCTTTGCGGCGGCGGCTAATGTTGAATTCACAAGGGGCGTCATTTGAGATCCTGGGAAGAGCCCGAAGATGGGGCTCATGTGTCGGTGGCCTGGTTCTGTTTCTTCGTATTCGTGACGCCATTCGAGGATTTGTCCGTAGGATCCGATCTGTGGGGGCTTGATGAGTGGTAGCGTGGATACTGCTTTGCTGGTATCTGCGTTGTTGATACCCAGGATTTTACCGGTTTCTATAATAGAGTGGAAGAGCTCTGATAAAAGCGTATTGTCCATCGTCGGAGCAATGTCGATGCCCTCTTCCTTGCCGCTCTGGCTCATGTCGTCCGGCACGACAAACGCATTTTCTGGTGAAGATGACGGTCCCGTGCTCAGATAGCCATTGAAAGGGAACAGGTAGCAATGATAGAACTGGGCAGCAGACCGCAAGAGCGGCCAGATGCGTTCTTCCAGGAGAGCTGCGTCCTGCGTGAAACGATAATGTTCCATCAGATTCGCGGACAACCATGCACCACCCATCGGCCACATCGTCCACTTAGTCCCGTTGTTCACTGGAACCGCATCTCCCCAGAGGTCCGTGTTATGATGTAAAACATAGCCGTCATTATCGCAGTGGTACATGCGCCGCGCAATATCCTGCCTCGGGGCTTCACAGTTTCAAGGAGAGATATAAGCGGCCCTAGCGTTTCTGCCAAGTTCGTTACGCCGGCTGGCCAGTAGTTCATCTCCAGGTTAATGTTCACCGTATACCGCCCTCCCCACGCAGGCTCGAAGTCTTCGTTCCACAGCCCTTGGAGGTTGGGAGGCAACGGCGAAGCACCCGTGTCCCGCGATGACGCGATGAGAGAATACCGACCGAACTGGAACATGAGAGTCACTAGTTCGGGGTCCGCATCAGGGTCGATCTTGTATCTCTCAAGTCGGACATCAGTAGGTAACTGCCCTGCAGCACCTGATGACCCTAGTTCGAGATGTACTCGCCCTGCGAGGGCTTCATGATCAGCCGTGGCTGATTTCGCGATGGCAGGAAACCCGGCCAGCACGGCTGCGTCGAGCTTGCGCTCTATCTCTGCGTCCCATGTTGTCTGGTCAGCATACCGATAGGATGTTTCGGTATCAATGAAGATGTCCACGATTGTCGCATTTTGGACTACTACCGAACTTGCGTTGCGTGATACCCGCGCTTGTATGGTTAGTAATTATCCGTAGCAAATCTCGGGCACTCACCTTCATGAGCGACAATCCGGGCCGCTGCAGAAAAGTTGATCCCGTCTGACTCGGCCGTTGTAGCGCGGAGTTTGAGTATTCCGGTGTTGTTTCCTACGGTCGCTGCGTTCTCCACGACATACCGATCACGAAACAGGGAAACCGTGACCTCTAGCTGACCAGCCTCGCTAGCCCTAAGTCGCGCTGCAATCACACCAGCTGGGTGGCTGGCAACGTACTCCCGCCTACTTGATATTAGCCGGTGTTGAGCGCTACCAGACGGCTGCACATACCGGAATTTAACACCGTGATACTCATAGTCCACAACCGCACGTCCCTTGAGCAAATCCAGTGACCGGGTATAGTTCTTGATATGAGAACCCTCATGTCCGAAGTCCAAGACCAACGAACCAAGTGGATGATAAGCCCGAGGCTCATCTGGACTTCCGATCATATTCTCCAACGTCATCTCTCCAGCCGCTGTGATGTTCTCTTGTTTAAGCATGGACCGGACAGGATCTAAAGCGTTGTACGCATCCGGATTGGCGCGGTCCATGAACTGGCCGCCCCATATGGAATTCTCGTTCAGGGTTATATTTTCCACTGTAGAGCCCCAGACTGCTGCGCCTAGTCGGCCATTTCCGAGTGGTAATGTTGAGGAGAAATTGTTGGCTGGTGTGGTGTACCATGTAAAACGAGATGGGTCGAAATGCGCGTGAGCGATAGTCGCCTCGACAACTAGGTGTAGGAGGGGAGACAGCCGCATTGTATCGGTGTGTATATATGAGACCTAAATTGTTGTAATTGTGGGAGGAGGCAAGTTATATGTTGCGACCGGTAGTCGTAGCGAAATTCATGCGTCAATTGATCGATTGTTCACGATATTCCACGAATCAGCTGGCCGGAGGACATGTAGCTGCATGAGGATAAATTAAATACAATAGTGCGCACACCAATCCTTTTTGGAGTTATCTCATCTGGCGAAATATACCGTATGCTTCCCATCTTGACTTGATTCTTATGTTGGTATATTGTTTGCTTTGTCGATTGCTGTAATGGCATGCTAGGGTAACCAAAATGCTGTCGAATGCAAAATCGGTTATTGTGCCATTATTATCTCAGTACCATTGGCTTCTTGCGATATGGGTTATAAAGGGTTCTGGAAGTCTTTATGCAAGAATCAGATGGCATAGTTAGTTTCAGCTTTGTCATAGTTGATTGTTGAGCTTCCATGGCCGTACGATGCACATATTGCGTATTCCGTCTCCTGTCAACCATATTATATGAGTTTGAGACATCATGAGTTCACCCCAAATAATAACAAAGCTTTCTCATAACCTTCATATCTGCAATCTGCATAGGAAGGGTCTTCAGTAGTATGGCACGATCCACTCCAGAAAGACAGCTTCCTCCGCTCAGAAGGACACGTAAATTATCCCTTACCATGGACAATAAATACCCAAGAATATCCAGTGCGGCAGGGATAGATTTCACGACAACACTGGCCACTGCGCAGAGTTGTAGGAGAGTCGGTACGATAAAGAGCACTGCTGCCTATCCCAGCTAACTCTATACACGGCCAGGGTGTAGGGTCATGGCGGCCGTCTCGGGATGAAGTTTATATAGCTTGACATATCGGGTGGAGATGTATTCTCCTTGCCAAATTGCGCCATACAGGAAATATATTCATGGGTATATGGCAGGGCGGCCACATCACGTTTGAGTTTTATCCAACGAAAGGCAGAAGAAACTCTTGCGTATCGGAGGTCCATCCACAGATTATATCCCACACGAGATAGTCTGCACCAGACGCCGCCAATATTAACATAGCAAGTACAGGAACTGCTTTACGGACCATAGCCAGCCCACCCTGTCATCTATAATGCGGAATGATAGGGTACCCGCGGAACGGCTCGAATCAATCGCTATCACACGAGCGGTGAACTGTCCAGTTTATAGAATGTATTAGCGACATTTGTATATTGTGCTGGGTGGGCAATGACTGAAGGTATCTCGGACAGCATCAAACAACGCGGTATAGAGCGAGCCCATTTACCTAGTTCGTGGCTTCATCGAGCTTACCTAGTTGCGACTCGAAGATTTTCGCGAGAGGTGTACAAGTTCATTGCGTAGACGGCAAGTACTACGTAATGTAGTATTATGTGGACTCACATCTCATAGAGCAGAGTCAGTGCAGCTCGGTGATGGCGATGCGCTACCTGTTATGTGGCATAGGGAGAGAGGGAGCCCATGATCGCGACGAGATAGGATCACGTGTCTATGTCAGGCACGACCACATTCCATTTTGGGAAATCCTCATGTAGGGTCTGCTTCCCTAGAATATCAACGAGAGTACGATTTGGGCATGAGTAGCTCTGGCGTAAGAGACTTCTGGGTATGATAATCTATATGGATCATGTTGGGAATATAATCATGTAACAGCATCTACATATCCGCCCCCACTTCTCCGCAATATATACTGACTTGAAAGCGAAGGGGCGAGACCATAGGTAGCCGAGCCTGTCCTCTGGCAAATCACTAGCCCCAGACAGACAACCCTGCATGCCTGCCTATAAGGCACATATACATCACATGACCGCGTAAGCACACGAGAGATCGTCTGTCTTACCTTACTCAGGATTTAGTGGCTTGTTTATGGGGGAATACGAAAATCATAGCAATGAAGAGGACTCTTGAGCGGTGATGATAAGATATGTGGTGCTAAGTTTCATTCGCTATTTGAGTTCACAGAAAGAGTAAAGTTATGAGGGTATTCGAGACAGCTGGAAATGCCTCGTAGCGTTGATCATGACGCGTTGAGTTGGTGTGGCGGTCGTCATGGTTAAATATAATGGTAGTGGATACAGGCAATTACCAGTCTTATAGTCAACCATGCTTCCATTGTTACGTCAGTTAGGGCTGGCTCTTGTACATATCGAATTTCTATTTGTAGGTATTTTACTCCATAATGACACTAAATATACTGTTTCTCGTACATATGATGCCTTAAAACTAGTAGATGGGCTCCTTACTTAAAGAACAGTTGAGTGTTATATTAGGTGTGAGGTTGGGCTTCCATGACACCATGGTCGTCAGCCAGGAGCAACCCTTGAGACACGTAGGAATTCTAGGTGCATCCCACCAATACTCATGCGATCATGACTTGCAACAACACGACCGCTTCGACGAACCTATCATGTCGACGCGTTTAGCATTGGGTGGCAATCAACTCCTTGAAGCTTGCAAAGCTAGTCGAGCCACCACGCCGTTTCATTGGCATGACCACAGCGATCCGTCGCGTTTCCAGGGGCGCTGTGCAGCAGACCGGATCGACGACCACACCATATCCAATCGCTCCCCTCCATGATGATCAGTAGGAAAGAGACTCGACAGGTCGATACGCTGGATGCATGCAGATGTCTCGTGACTCTACCCCGCGTTGTGATGTATTCATACGGCCCAGCGATTGATATAAAGGAGGCTAGTCCTGTCCTACCTGTTCTCGTATTCCTCTGGTCCTCATCAAGTCACTCGGGAGTGACAAAAGCTGAGACAAAACCTCACCGTGACTAGCTGATACTTCTCCTTGAATCTTCTTCTATCTACTCTCTATCACTATCTAAGCACGATGTCTGCTCCAGTGGTTCAGGGCCTCTCCTCTTTGGGCTCTCAGGCGGGACAATATGCCAGGCGACAGGCCAACGCATGGAGGGACAGACTCTTGACTACAGGTATGTAACCCGATACGAAACTCTCTGCAATGTCGACACTCTGGAAGATGTGCCTAACCCAGAAAAGACAAATCTCGCCGCCGGGCACAGATTGTTCAGACCTCGTTCGCTGTCCACCGACCCGTCTGGATCTCCGCGGGCGGTGCAGCATACACGACAGCAGCGGCAGCACTGCTGACTCTACGATACATGAAACGGTTACGATGAAAGATGGGAAGGAGGGGTAGCAAGATCCTTGATGGATACAGGGATGTTTCTGGTAAACATACACATACAGCGGGGGACTGGTCCACGACTGCATTTTCATTTCCTTTGTGATTTTTCTTTATATTATTTATGCGTGATTTATCATATGTGGGAAATATTTGGGATTTCTTTATTGGGGCGGGTGAATTGTCTATAGCCACCTTGGACGGGATGGCAGGGATGGAGTTACAGAGTTGTTACATTTAGGAAACTCAATGAAATGATGATCCAAATGAACTTTTGGCCAGAGTAGCATCAGTGGCTGTATTGCGCAGGGTACGGTATTGTCAGAAAGTATCCTGAGCGCTCCTTGGATGTTCCATCAATGCAACAACAAGGACTGGACCGGGGTCATCACACCACACCCGTCATGCCACATCGACAGACGCTGGATGTACATCGATGTACCTCCGTGGCTCTCCCTTGGTCTTTGGACGAAACACAATACGAAGACCCGGAATAAAAACCCACCGACCCAATCCAGAAGCACCATCCAGATCACCCACGGTAGAGCGGGTCGATATCGATACTGACAAGCCTTCCAGCAGACTGGAGATACCTCTGAGGTACTTCATGGAACTTCTAGGTCCAAGGTAACTCCCCCCACAGATCCACCAGAGCTGATACCTTAAATTACGGGCGACTCCACCGTTGATTGAATTGACAGCGTACGTATCCGTACTTTGTCATGGATGGGGTCGATTGGACGAGACGTACCGTGAGACTTTCAACCCCGCTCGATGGCGTCCAATGGCGGCCCTGGCGCCGCGCTAGGGTGCAGGATACCCCGGATCCAAATCTCAAGGCAACCCCGCACTCGGCACCACTTGGGCTTATCCACTTGCCGAAACTGGGTCCTGTAGTACACAGTAGTGCACACTACTAGAACTAGTAGTCACTAGTCCTAGTTTCAGGTCGAGTGTCGCCTGAGACATTCCTAATTTCTCTCATCATCAGTCTGACGGGTGAATACTCCACAGTCTACAAAGTCCTCTTAGGTATAGCCCCCTAACGTCAATCCATACGCTAGTTCGCTATGCGCGACCATGGAACTCTAGATGAGCCACCACGCAAGGTGATATCACCGGTCCCCCGACGGTATTGATAATCCTCTGTCCTTGCACTTCCGCTCGGAGCCGGGGTATGTCATATGACACCCACAGCCCTAACGCGCAGATTCCATTTTAGGCCACCCACGCGATGCAGGATCCTGTCAGCGAATGATTCGTAGTAAGCCAACTGTTGACGCTGCACGGAGATAACAAAGGCGATCCCGCCCCTAACTTCCATCCCTTGTCCTATATTTTGGTGTTCCTGAGGGGCTGTATGGTTGTGTTAATAACGTTTTCGTCACATTACGGACATTTCTATATGCTGCAATCATTTTGTGATCAATGAGTTCCGGGATTATAATTAAATGGCTGTAAATCCACGTTGCCTCGTTAGCCTAGCCATAAATTATGTGGCGATTGTACCATTCGGGGCAGTGGCATCCCATTGGCTATCTGTCAATGGATCGAGGTTCAACTTGTTCGGAGGTGGTTGGTTGCTTCAAGGTTGGTCTGTGCGAGGGATACAAGCCAGTCTTCATCCTTGATATATTTCATACGCGATTGTGGATGAACTATGATTCAGTTAAGTCGCCTGGCCACCTCTCACCTCGATTAGTGAATGATTTATCAGTATACTGAATGCAAATTCAAGAATACAACACGTTCAACTCAAGATGATAAATAAAGATCCCCAGGTTTCACGATATAAGCATCTAATTAAGCTATACAGGGACTACATTGAATACTAAAATAATAATCATAATACCGAACTATATCTCGTCTACCAGTATAAAGTCGATAGTCAATTGGTTTTTTGTAAATTCAAAGATATCATGAAACAGGTATGTGACCCGCCATTCGACAGATCTTCAAAATCCCCCAAAACTGTTCCCCTCCTTCGGGCATCTAGCATGGCATCGGCTTGGATATGTAAGTCAATACAGTTATGAGTGTTAAACTCATCGGTGACACTCCGGTCTTTTTACTCTATACTAACCATTATCCTCTATCGCCCATTAGTAGCCCTTTATCGCAGACGTTCCACTCTCGACCGCACTAGCTCACTAATCGCAGTTGTCGATCTTTGAGTGCCACAAGGTATCGTTGGTTCCTTGCCGGCCTTGCATTAATATATATAAGGGACGGCTAGAAAAAGAAGTTCCCTTCCTGCCATAAAACGCCCCGTCTGTTCATAGGGAAAGAGAGACTTCCAGCGGTATCGTTGGTTGGATCATTGCAATTTTCGATAAGTCGTTAAATATGAATGCGGAAAAGATGAATCCCGACGGCGACGTAAGATAATACGATGGCACCTGGGTCACCATGTTCTTCTTACTAACGAGGATCAGACGCTCTACGATGTCTGGAAGCCCGCGGACGGTTTGTTTAGGGGGGAAAGTATTGCAAAATGGATTTCGTTCGTCTCCAGCATCGAAAACTCCGTCGGCTTTGTGAGGGTAGTTGGTGGCGAAGCAGGATTTACTAGTGACGCTCCAAAAAAGTATTATGTTCCTCCGAATCACAGCTGTGAAGTCTTAGGGTGCAAGATTATGTTCACTCGAGCTTGAGTTTTGTCGTGTCGAATCTGTGATTTCGCCGCATCAACACTTTATTGTCCACCCTGATATTACACGATCTATCTTGAGGTGACTCCACTTATTACTGAAACTGCTTCAATAGTGTATTCGGAGCAATAGTCTAACATCGAAAGATCGTTTGGCTTGAAAATGCTAATACCAGGAAGTGATCAGCGTCATTTCCCGGACCCAGTTTATAAGGGTCTTACCATGCGATTACTCCCAGGCTTGCTTCGACACTCCCACTATCCAGAAGGACAGCTGCTATGATAGCATTGATTGTGCTACGGAGTACTGTTGGAGATTCCTTCCCAGATCGATCATTGTATCTGATGCATTGGCTGATCCCGGTCTGCTTGGCAGCATATGTGAAATGATCCTTATGCAGGAACCCGTCTCTCAACTTAGCCTTAGTTTCTTTCGATATGTCAATTAGCGGTTCCTGTGTGTTTCTAGGACATGATCTACCTACCTCTACTGGCGTTCGTGCGCATTAAGACAATCATCAAGAGGGTATCCATCCATGAGGCACCTATCCGTGCCAGAGCTCGGTTGCCATCGTAACAGCTCTCGTCTGCTCCAGCAGCTGTGAGGGCCTGGCGAATATAACTGTCTGTCGAAAATTTGTACTGTATAATAGATTCCACCGTTTTCACTTGCTCTGCGGACGCCATGGAGTGCAACAAACGAGCAGAGAAGTATGTTTTGGGGGTCACACCTGGCTCCTTGACCGTTTTGTTTCAAGATCTATATCTTGTTCTCTGGTGTTCACTTGAAGGATGTTGAAAGCTCAACTATGAATCCAGTAGCCTGCTACTTCGTTCGATAGCAGAACGAAACATTTGGAGCGTACGCTTTGATCCTGATCTAGTGCCATTGGACAATATTTTCTTAAGTGTAAGGCCGTATATCCCAGTATCGATCACGCGTTACGTATTTCTTATGTTATTCTTTTATAACCCCTCGACAGAATCCTGACTAGCCTTATGCCCGGTCAACAGAAAAGGATTAACCTACACTTTGAAAGAGGGGGTTAACATCCTCAATCCAGTACTAGTAGCTTAGGTTCGGATATCTCAATTGCAACCGAGCTTTCGAACCTGATATAAAAGCTTTAGGTTGCACCACTATGGCCCTGTGATCCAGACAGTTTTCCTGGGTTGTCTGGGTTGTCTATTCTGGTCTGAAGTAATAATAAGGTTTATATTGCAACGCGAAGCATCATAGAGACATGAAGCCGGGTCTTGCTTAACAGAACATTGGCCATATGGCTCGTTCCTTTGAGATGTCGATCCAACTAGGCAAGGGTGCCTGCCAGCTAGCTGTCAGCTGTTCATCCTGCCTTCTCCAGACTTCAGTTACTAGATCACTTGCAATCTTATAAAGAGCAAGCCCGCTTATTAGATTTGCCTTTTCCAGTAGGTATAGGATAGATTCACGCTGTCTGTGGGTTATGGCTTCGCAACACGCGATAAATAAGGGCCAGAGAGTGCCTAAGCCCAGGGGATCCCCTACTTTCAGCCTTCTATAGAATGCAAGCAAAGATATAATAACCTTCTCAATTTCACCTTCTAGGAGTGCTGGATATGTTTGTCGAACACGTCTGTGGAAAAATATTATCAAGGCTGAATTGGGTGCGCGGAAGATTAGCGTATCATGCGTCGTTTGCTCGCTGCGATGATTTGGCACGGTTTCGCGCGCGGTATAATCATATATGACACGCTCAAGGCGCGAGGCGCGGTCCTGTAATGCTTGATATGTATTGCAACTCATCGTGATCTCTGTATTCTGTGAATTTCTCAGGATGTCCATGATGTTTGCGAGGCGGGTAGTTTGTGATAACAAGCTAAGCCAAATCTCGGGTATTCCGTAAACCTGTTTACTAAGAGTTTCGGATGATTTCCTGGAGTCCTGTAGGTGGATATCTGTAATGTCCGCTCTTCGGCATTTTGGTTCGTCGATATTGAGGTCGTTGTCAGGACTTTCTATGTGTAGAAAATCATCTAGACAAACGCCCTGCACATGGCTTTGTATGGACCGCTCTCCACTTGCCATGGGCCTCTTTGATTGACAGTGAAGATTGAAAGTACTTAATGACGACGGCAATAGAGTGTAGTCATGGAGAACATAGGTACTTTCACCTGAAATCCGAAGCCAGGTGTAGATATTGAGCAGAAGACGCATTCTTCGTGAGATCTTGCGCTTTGGTAGTCCCCGTACGCGCAGGAGTCGCTCCGCATCGACAAGATAACACCTTGCATCTATGTTGGCCGGAAAATACCTTCACGTCGTCAGTACTGATAGCAGGAAAGGGGGTAATTGCGGAGTGTGGTGCTCCTATTGTAAATTGTATCATTCCATAAAGGGCCATCAACTGGTCTTTAAGCTTGGCCTTCCTGGGTCCTCCAGTCTCCTCGCTCAAGGATATCCGTATGTGACTTTTGGCTTCTGCATAACATTGCTCTGCAAGCTTTTCCCAATACTCCCGCGAAGAACGCGTCTTATCCTTTGATGGATTCATAGCGAGATCGATTGCAGAGCATGCAAGGAGGGAGTATAAATGTGCTTGCCGCGCATGAGTAACGGTTTCGCAGTTCATTATCATCAATGATCCCAGTGTAAGCAACGCAGCCGGTATATTCACGATATCCCAGGGTGACTTTTTGCTTGGAGGAATAACAGTCATCCGGGGTATAACATTTGTTTGGAAATGCTTCAGTAATTCAGGGGCATTCTTCAATATATCATCATTTACGTACGACTGATGCGTCAACGTCTGCTGATACGCAGTGTTTTCGGAAGAAATATCACAGCCTTCAGCGTCATCAAAAGTTGGATATGCTATTAGTGGCTGGTCAGTCAAGGGGCCATTCAAATGCAACGAGGTCGTGCAATCAAAGGTAGATCGAAATTCTAGGTCATGGTAAGCCGAAAGCGCAGGAAACTCGCTATCAAGATCGAGAATATCCTCCCATTGCAGGAAGGGATCTACAGGAGCCGGGGAAACATCTAGAACTATTTGAATGCTCGCATTGGAGGCCTGGATGCTGGGGATCTCATCTGCAGGTGGTTCTGTCGTAAGACAGGGGACTTGTGTGTCTTGCGATTTGTTGGAGAGAGCAGAAATATGAAGAACAGCGGAAGGGCCAATTCTTGGCTCCTTTTCGGATCGAAAGCACGGAGTTCTCGGTCTTGTGTCAATCTCCTCTAAAGAAGCATCGACAGAACCCAACAACAGATCCTTGCTGAGGGCAGCAGTCATTGAGCGTCTATCCTCTTCTAAACCCCATGTCAATCACTGGCTTTGCATGGACTATTATAATATCCACTGCGGGAAGGTATAAGTACCCGTTAACAAATAATGCCTGACCCCAAATCTGGCGATAGGGCCAGATTCCATGTAGGCGGATGTACGTTTTCGGGAGGACGCCCATCGAATTTCATTCGAAAACCCTTCGCAAGTTAGGCCTACTGCCAAGCATGTCTGGCAGGTAGGCCGTTGCGTATCGCACCTAACATGCCGGCGTCTACAAGTTCTGCAACTGCCCAATATATGGTTTCGACGAGCTCTAGATCTGGCTGACATGGCTCCAAGGCGGAGATAATGCCACTAGAGGTTGACTTCAGGCTGATCGAAACATGTACCGGAATCTCTAACCCAGCAAGAGGGCATAGAGAATGAATGATAATAGATAATCAGGTGACCGGATCCGCTTGCCCTAATTGATGTAGTTAGTGTTAAGTGCAAGTCGTTCCGCGGGGAATGCTGATAACGACAATGATATCATATCATCGGTTAAACAACTACTTGTAACGAGTATGCTAGTCGTCCGGTGTTTCCAACGCCGACCCTCCTTATTCTTTCGTCTTCCTTCTGTAAAGTACCGGATGAAGCTTTATATCTATGGTTTGAAGTGTTATCCTAAAGCCTATAGAGAAGTTTGCAAGATGCGGCTCGGGACCTTAACGCCATATCGTGTTTTGGTCGAGTGGGATTGACTGGTTTCGTCAAATACGGAGATCATCAATTCCTGACCCAACTGTTTCTTTATACGATATTGATGTAGCATTATGAAAAGACCATATACATTGTAACATTTCTCTTACTTCGTCTATATTTATTTATTTCTTCAATATTTTTTTTTCTCCTCATCTCGTAGTATCAGAGAGATCTATTTTAGACCGGCAACTGAACTGGCACGTGACCACAATCATATCTCGATTGCCGATGTGATTTTCCGCTTTTCCACCGCGCAATATGGCGAACGGAAGGACACATACCAAAATCGCTGGAACTGCGGACTACGATGACCCTGCTTTCTGGGATACGAAGTTTGCGACCGGGCAAGATGTGGGAGAATGGTTGAATCCTGGAGAAAATATCGTCCAAGCTGCTCTATTCGATCTAGAAAACCGATCATTTGGCCCAGAACGTTCCCCTCGCGTGTTACATCTGGGACCCGGTATTTCGAAACTAGGGACAAAGCTCCGCGAGGCATTCGTGGACCGCGACTGGAAGGGCTCTGGGATTGTGGTGCGTTTGCTCACTACTATTCGAAATAAATCTCTGCTAACGCTCAACTCTCAAAGAATGTTGACTTTTCCTCCGAAGCCGTCCGCCTTGGCCAGGAAATCGAGAGCGAACAAGACCCGTCGCATGCAATGCACTGGCTACGTGCTGACCTTCGTGCCTGGAACGATATGTCGAGCTTGGCCCCATTTGCCCCTTTTGATATAATTCTCGATAAAAGCACGAGCGACGCCATTGCAACCTCCCCATCCGCACCGTTCTCGCCGACCTCTATCTCACACGATACCTGCCCGGTGCTGCGCGACATTGTGGATACCCATGGAGAAATTACTGTATTCCCGGTCGAGCTGTTGGCGCTACATCTTGTTCCATTGACTACCGAAGGGACGATGTGGATTGCCCTTTCGTACTCAACTATGCGATTCGATAACCTTCCACGGCTAGCAAAATATTGGGATATCGTTTCCCGCACCCCGCTCAAGGCACCTCAAGGTCAGGTTTCCTCATTTGCGCATACCCCTGAGGTTTTCCACTGGCTATATACACTGCGGCGAAAATGACGGGTTCTTCGTCGCGCCGAGATAACTACATCACAGACAGGACTAGCGTGAATTAAACGAGATTCCATGAAAGGTAATTTCGACACTATCCACATGTCGCTCCTTGCGAAAATTGTGAGGAACGCCACACTGGCAATGATCACAGATCGCTTGAATGTGTCGGCAATCCCATCTCCCAGCCGAAAACTCTTGCTGCGGTATGGACAACACAAACATATGGCTGCCAGCTCAACCTTTCACTTGGACATATCAAATCAACTTCTTGTCCAGTAGCGTTATTCTCAGTAGCTGCCGACTGGTCTGGTGAAATAATGGTGAAAGTCACTATGGTGTATTCACATAAGGCAGGGTTCGTTTAGGAGCCAAAGCCTTCGGGATTCCTTAGTGAGACATTTGAACCACCGTGGTCCATCATAGCTGCCCTGTATTCCATTGCGCCAGATTGACTAGACTCTAGAGTCTTTGTAGATTCTATAACTCCATAACGAAATATTATAGTAATAGACGAATAGTTTAAAAATGGAGAGCAGAAAGGTTATCAATCAAAGCCGCGTTACGCTAGATCTAGCTCCCGAAGTTACCCGCAACCTTCAAGCATCTGATGGATAGACACTTCGACGTCGCGTCCGAGAGTAGTATAGATTTCTACGACGGTGATTGATCAGAAAATTTGATGCTCTATAGGAGAGGGTGCAGCAGAATACTCCGCATTCAATCTTCGTTGTTCATAGGTCCGAATCGATGGTCACGGCTATTCTAGGGTATTTTACAGTTTCGAGTCCCGAATATATATTTTGCCCATTGGCACGATCACCCTTCTACTTGTGAAATCCTTCACTAATTTTACATTATTTTTACTACTGTTACTTGGAAATAATTATATACACATAGCATACTAAATAGTACATACTATTGCTCTTTCATTTAATATTCCCATTGATAATTTTGTATTTGCCATGTTTGGCGAACAATCCTCCCGTAGCGCGGGGGGCCTCCAGGTTTCACGCCGCCTTGAGGATGCGACTGAGCCTCGCTTAGGGGCTTTTGCCCCTGTAGCAGGAATAACTTCTATTATGCACTCTTGAATCAACCTACATCAAGAGTTATCAGAATCCATGTCGAGATTTCCGACCGATGAAAGGGGAGCAGAGGTGGTACAGTGTCGACACGGTAGATGTGGATCAAGTTGACGTGATGCGAGATCTGGCGTGTCGTTGAACGACTGGGTAGTCCCAGTTACACACCCAGCGTAGCCTTCAATCCTCATAGTCCAGATGACATCTTGAGAGATGCGGGTGGTCTATGTTTCGTCCGGCGTGGAATTCGGTGGCCGGGGAATCTGCCATGACCCTTGACCCAGACTCGGCGCTCCTTATCAATGTCGCCCGCATAGATAGTCTGGCATTGGTCCCAAGATGTTCGGTTAGTGACTTTCACCAGGGATAGCCTTCCCAATTAGCGACTGTTGGGGACGTGCGTAAGAAGTGGGTTGAGATGATGAAGGCGGGGAGGAGCGATCTCGACCATGGTTCAAACGGCATTGTTGGTGTCCGACCGCGACGAATGGGTCCACGACATTCAAGGGAGGCGGTGTTCGGCCATGACCGAATGGTGGATTGTTGGTTCAGAGCTTGAAGGCCGAAGGTGGTGGTAGTTCCTATGCATATTAATAGTTTTGGCAGTGCATCTTCGTATCCATCGTTGCGGTTACCCCTGGATGCAACCTTGAACCTTCGTTTAAAATCAACTTAATTGACAAGGCTGAATGAGTGTGGCGCCACCAATTGAATTGACATAAAATACGAGGCGATGTGATTCGCCCAGTCCGGACTGGATCAGTGCGCACGGAGATGGCCCGCGCTCGCCGGAATGTTGGCTAGTCGTCGGGTATGGATTGATCCACACAGGACGACTACGTAAGTATAGGACTTGTACGTAGTGGGATGGTTCAGTGTACCCTTTGGTTCAACGAATATCTTTTGTCCCCGATGTATTGGTCTAATATTGGTAGTAGTCTCCTCACCTCATCTCCTGGTATCGTACTAGTAGTAGTACTCCGTACTCGCAGCACTGGTACGCACGGTATGTATGTACATTCTCTGCACTTGGTGGACAGGCTCCACTGGCCGGAGATATTCTCCTGAAATTTGGCAGGAAACAAACTGTCATTCTCAGTCAGGGTCATTTCTCTCTAGGTGCTAGTCTTGTGCGGATCATTTTCAAACTTGAAGAATAGTCCGATCGGAACATACAGACGCCTCGCATCGTATTCCTGCCGGTGGGTCAGGGTTTCATCAACCAAAAAAAGGACCGTTGGAAAGTGGATGGAGTTTGCTCAGTTTGCCTGGCTGTCACGGGAGTTGAGCCGTGGATCCCGTTGTGGAGGTGGACAAGGTCAAGGCTGGCGTCCTGGGCGGTGAGGGGCGATTCTGCCAGGGGGAAAAAAGAGTAGTCCGACGCCCCAGACCCATAGACCATTTCTGTTCTCCTTTGCGGGGGGAATATTGCCTGATCCTTCATTCCTCGGTGGGCTAAAAAAGCCATGTCCATGCTCCCGTCCCTTTCTCCGAGCTTACTGCCAATCTCCGTGCTACTTGCATATGCTAGCTTTTTCAGTCACTGCAAGCGCAGTAGTATGTGATATCGCCACCGCTCCTCAATATCGACTATCCATCCAGAATGGTTGGGGTTCCTCGCAGCAAAGGCTGTTCGCTCTGTCGGAAGAGACGTATCAGGGTCCGTTATTGTTCCCCTTACCCCGTCCCCTTTTCTTTCTGAGTAGATATCCTACTTTCTCGTGGATTCTATCCTGAATCAATCGTTAACTTCGATGGGAGTGATTAGTGTGATCAAGGCCGACCGCATTGCTCGCAGTGTCGCAAATATGGCGCCGCGTGTCCCGGCTACAAGCGCTCTCTGAAGTTCCAGGACGAGGGACCTCGTCTGCAGGAACGGTACCTCATTACCTCCCCAGATACGGATGGGAGTGATGAGGGATTAAGTCCAGTGTCAGACTCGTTGCCGGTAAAAGCCCAGAGGCAAATGCGTTGCTTTGTGGGTCCCTCCCTCGACGAGCGGGTTTGTCCGTCCCTGGCATACAAATCGTTCTTGGGTCAGCAGCCACGCCTTTTCAAAGAATTTGTCTGCGCCTCGTTCCCGACCATGTATTATCATAATGAATTTCGATTTGGACCCGGTTTTACCTTCCCGGACAACGTTGTCAAAAAGTTTGGCTCCAAACCTTACTACGATGCCACCGTGATGTCTCTGTCCATAGCCTGGCTTGCACATCAGACAAAGGATCCGAACTTAGAATATGCAAGTCGACAAAAGTACGCAGAAGCCTTGAGTGGTATCAAATATGCCCTGACATCGGAAGATACCGTGTCGGACGCCCTGTTGATGGCCGTCATACTGCTGGCCTTCTATGAGATGAACGTACGCACCACGGAAGATGCGTGGCTCTTCCATGCCAACGCAGTGAAGCAGCTGATGAAGAAGCGTGGCATGAGAGCCCATTTGAGTGGCCCGGGGCGTGTGTGTCACTTTGCCTTCAGGCCATTTCTGATTGGCGCTGCCCTCCAGAAGGGTGAATCATGTTTCTTAGATGAGGATTCATGGCAGGACTTGGCAGCATCTTTACGGAGCGAAGATTCTCGGAAGCAAAACGAATGGGCATTCTATATCGACGTCTATGAGACTATCTTCATGGAGCTTGTTAAGTGTCCCGGCTATATCAAGGAAGCCCGGGAAATCGTTTCTGTGACCTCACCAGAGGCCAAATCTCTGGCTCAACGTATTCGTACAACATGCGATCGACTGCGACGGCTAAGCAAAGAAATGCGAACCTTACTCAGTGCGCATAACCAGCGAAAACAGGGCATCACTCTCCGCTTCGTCGGACCGGAGCCCAAACTCTTCCCGGACACGAGCCCATCTCTTCTTCTCCGTGCTGGGGTCGATGCTGTCCGTATCCTCGAACAAATCTTAGATCGAATCACCATTCCCACACCGACCGTGGAACAGACTTTAATCATCCGTGATGGAGCGATAACACCCGTGTCAAGCCCAGGCAGCTCAGGCGATGCGGACAGTCCACCACTTCTCTCCTTCGGTTTGTCCTGCGAACTCGGGAACGGTCCACAGGCCACGGTCGGTAATGATGCAGAACTCGCATTGACCTGGCTGGATCGGGTCGCCGGGGCAATGGGGCTATTAGGAGCGGAAATCACTTACGGAATGAAGCCGGGAATCCAAACAGATCTTGCTCTGCGAACTGTTCGCACGTTAACCCCAGTGGATGACGACCTCCCGGAGCCTCGTAGGTCGTCGGACTGAGACAATCGAGACCAGCAGATTGTATTCAATCAGTGCCCCAATTCCGTCCTCAATCGACCCTAAATCACTACAGATGGAACGTGTGCATTTGTGAATAACTATAGTACTCGCTTCGTCAGCGTTGGACGACTGGTTTATCCGCGCTGTTCATCTACCAACCACCAATATACTTGCGTCAGATTATTGCACGCCGAATCGCCCCACGCTGCAGCTCATTCTGCGTCATATAACGGCCGCGAGACATGCATCTATAAAGCCTTGACGGCCACCGACCCCTCCGTCCTATCTACCCCCTCGGAAACAACTATGCACCTGCAGGCTCGCATAGGAACACAATCGAGTTAAATCATCTCTCCTACTTGTAGAGCAGTCTCCTATTCTTCACTATTGGGTTCTGTCCTGGCAATCTGAGGTTTCTGAGTCCTCCATACTAGATTGACATGTTGGATATACCTCCCACCACATAATCATAATAAAACATTCGTTATTCGCTACGCTGAAACTACTGTCCATTCAGTTCTTGGATCTCATCGGGGCCCAGCAAACCCAGGGCCTGTCTTCGGGTCGGGGCGTTGGGATCGAAGAAAGGCTTCTCCGCGAGGGCCGTGACTCGAGTGCCATGCCTGGGCTCCGAGCCTTCGTAGTCCCAGCTGGCATTATGAATGGTAATTCTGCTTAGTGTTAGTTCCCGATCTAAGGAAGATGGTCAATCGAGGACTATCCACTAACCTGTTGTCCCACAAAGCACTAGTCCGAGGAGTCCACTTGAAGCGAACTTGAATGTCAATATTCTTCTCGTATACATCAAACAGATACCCTAGAATCACATCACTCTCCGCCTTGTCTAGCCCGACAATCCGATCAGTCATGGCGCGGTTTACCCACAGCGCCTTCCAACCTGTCGCCGGATGGACACGGACAATCGGATGCTCTCGTTCAATATATTTCGGACCTGCTTCGGGGTTCTTGCGATCGAGATAAGGATGTGCGGATCGATAGATGGCTGTTCTCCCGTCGATAATTTTACGGAACTCCGGGGACAGCTTCTCGTACGCAGCATACCCGCTGGCCCATAGAGTATCCCCGCCGATGGTCGGGACCTCGTCATTGTGAAGATGTGTCACTCCTGCCGGTTGGCGCTCATGAACTAGGTCAGTGTGCCAACGAGAGGCTCCGCCCGGCCGACGATAACCCGCTGCCCGCTCCGTCGCTTGGAGAGCAGGCCATAAGACCGACACGCCTGGTAGACCAGGCACCTGGGGCACTTGAGGCTACGGCGATGCATTAGAAAAGGAACTCGACGATGTGACACAAAAGATGAAAACGAACATGGACCTCGACCTCTCCAAAGTATTCACCAAGAGCCTTCTGTTGCTGGGGAGAGAGATCCTGATCCCGGAAGAAGACGACGCTCCGTTCCGCAATCAGTAAACCCAGCTCATCCTTCTGTTGGTCAGTCAAGTCTTTAAGCTGTAGTCCCACGATTTCGGTTCCGATGTGCCTGGTTAGGTGAATCACTTCTTTTGCTGCAGACAACAATGCCTTCTTCTCGGGGTCGGCACGGGTGCCAGGATCTACATGTGGACGGTCATGGTTTCTGATGTTGTAAACATCGTCAGAGTACAGAGGGCGCGACGGCCGATATGGATAGCCATTGGAAAGATCAATTCCCGCTTTTACAAGCCGCTCACGGCTTGCTGCAGGAAGGGCGAGAGTGTCCTTCTGCGGCTCGGCGACGTCAACGATACGCGGATCGATAGGAGCTGGTGCCATTGTGCAATTGATATTTAGTCTTTTCTTCTTAACAATTCTATGTTACACGATAGCTTTGGACCGAAATGAACACAATAGTTTTATTATATTCGTTCTATGGGCACTGGATTGATAATCCTGATTAAGTTCACCCACGGCGACGCGGATCACATCATCGCCAATAACCATTGCGCCTTCTACATCTCATTCGTCGCATATTGGAAGGATTCCACACATATACTTAGTACCCACAGATGATAACCCCTCATCTCTCCGCAACTTTCTTGCTTCTAGAGTTGCTTATCTGCACCCACTCCGGAGCTTGAACTCATTCAACCGCAGCCCCTCCGATATCACCATACAGGGATGTGATGGCGACTCAAATCGCCTGATTTCTAATCGGTCAGCACTACGGGTTTTGATCCAATATTGGTCCACTATATTCAGTCAACACGTTAGACGGCACACCTTTCCGATATCTCGCTGGAATAACATGGTCGTTGTGGTGGCGCGTTGCATACTGCCGCGGCTTGTGCCATGACACCACTCTAGCCTCGCATAACGTGAGCTGTGACGGCACTAGTGCCCTCACTACCGTCATAATCATAAAGGTCCGCATTCACACATGGTAATTGCTTCAAAGTCCAAGCAAATACACAACAGTAATATTATGACTCGCACACAAATCCGGAAGGTAGCGGTCATTGGTGCCGGGATTAGTGGTGTTGTTTCCGCGGGACACCTGCTGGCGGCCGGATTTGATGTCACAGTCTTTGAGAGAAATAAATTTGCAGGAGGAGTCTGGTAGGTGCCGCGTGGTCTCCTCATTATGCCCCCGAAACTAATGGAAGACAGGCTGTACGATGAACGACAGCCGGTAGAACCGCAGTATCCCGCCACGAAGCCGTCGGAAACAGATCAGCCGGCGAAAGATGGACACCAGAAGGAGACATTCGTTCTCGAACATGCACCGCCTGGGTAAGCCCATTTATTATAGCGTCTCCTACTTATCGCTGACTGTGTAGCCCTTGTTATGAGGGTTTGAGGAATAACGTCCCCACGCCTTTGATACGCGTGAAGCTCAATGCATGGCCGGAAGGGACTCCAGACTTCGTCAGCCACGATGTAATCAAAGACTATATTCAAGACACATCTCGCAAAGCGAAAGTAGATGACGTCACAATCTATGGAGCGCGAGTAAAAGATCTTCGCAAACGTGATGATAAATGGGAGGTTGTCTGGTCGACAGTTCACGAGAACGACCAATCAGACACCGTGGTTGAATTGGAAGAAATCTCGGTAAACAACATAATTGCATAGAGGAATTGATGGTGTTTGAATTAACGGGAAATCGCGCAGGTATTTGATGCAATCATTGTCGCATCTGGACACTATCATGCGCCGCGTATTCCAGATATACCTGGCTTGTCGGAAGCGAAGAGCCATTGGGGTTCTCGAATTATGCATTCGAAGGGATATCGAAAGGCAGAAGGCTTCGAGAACAAGGTATGATCGCTCCATGATATGAATAGACAGAGGCTGACCAATACTAGAATGTCCTTCTCGTTGGCGGTGGAGTATCATCCACGGATATTGCGAAGGAAATTGGCCCCGTCGCCAAAACTGTCTACCAAAGCACAAGGAACGGCGACTTTGATCTTCCCGAAGCGATGCTCCCTGATAACGGGGTGAGGATTGGGGAAATATCCCACTTTGACATCGAGAGCGACAAGGGCACAATTTCCGATGATGAGCCTTTACCCTTAACCATACATCTGAAATCGGGGCAGAAACTATGCGGAATCGATAGGGTTATCATCTGCACTGGTTATCACATCACGCTTCCTTTCCTGCGAGATTATCACAGCGACGACACGCCTGCTGAGCTTGCCGATGAGAGGATTCTGGTCACTGATGGGACTCAAGTACATAACCTGCATAAAGATATATTCTACATTCCCGATCCCACGCTGGCCTTCATCGGAGTTCCCTACTACACCGCCACATTTACACTGTTTGAATTCCAGGCGATCGTGGCGACGCAAGTATTTTCCGGAATTGCCAAGATACCCTCTGAGGATATTATGAGATTAGAGTACTTGGCCAAGATCAAGGAGGTTGGGAGTGGAAAGAAGTTTCACTCGTTGAAAGATAAGGAAGAATTTTACGTGAGAGATCTATTGCAATGGGTGAATGATGACAGAGCTACCTACGGGCTTGGTCCCCTGGAAGGACACTCCCCCCAGTGGCTTGAAGCCAAGGAAGTGCATCGAAAATGGATTCAAGATCGTTGGCAAGAGACAGGTCGGAGGGACAGTGGTGTCGGCGAGCTTCCGGTGTTGGCAGTATGTAGTTAAATTGGGCCATGCTGGAACCTGCCCTATTATCGGACACTATCTCGAACCAGGAATAATATCCTGTCCAGTTGACAAACCGTCGCTTACTGAAGTTTTAAAAGTATTGGCCAAGCTCGCCAAACGTTAAGTTCAGTAGCATCCCGCCATTAAAAATGCTCGGCACATCATCCATACTGGCGATGACGAGCTCCGCGACAACAACGAATCTTTAGCCCCAGTCACGCCACAGCTTCCCTATAGAAACTGTCAGACAGACTGCCTACATACGGTCTTTATTGGCTAGAACTTCCCATCATGACTCGAAAAACGAATGTAAATTTTCCCCGCACCAAGCTGTATCACAGCTACAGATGGCCGTTCCAACTGCCGATGCAGGAATTGCGCCAACACCACTATTATGAGCAATTGAGACTCTTATCCAGTGGCTAGGATCCTTGACACTAGCTGTGTGGAGTCAGGTCGATCTACTCAGACGTACATGGACGGATATAATTTATATTTAACCCCGATCGCATTCCCTTTCTTCATAGCACGGTTAGCTGTTGGAACCTAGAGCCACAGGGAGATTCCCAGTGCCTTTGAGACAGACAACATGGCTCCATCGCAAGCCATAGCAGAGGAGCGAGCCATCGATTCAACAAGCGACATCGTACAGAAAGCCCCGAAGCGCAAATGGGTCAGCTATATCTGGGATACATTCGACAAGTCGCCCGAGGAGCGGAAATTGATGTTCAAATTGGATTCGGCGATTTTGACATTTGCCTCTCTTGGTGCATTTGCTTTTCCTTTCTGTCTGGTTTTATGACTGGGTGGGGACTAACGAGGTGGATAGGATACTTTATCAAATACCTGGATCAGATCAATATTAACAATGCCTTTGTATCTGGGATG